GGTTTTCCGCGGCGAAGTCGAACCATCTGTAGCGTAGCGCAGGCGTGAGCTTCTCTATGGTTTGCTTGGTGACTTCCGGGTTGTATAAGTAGTAGACCCTCTGTAGAGCTTGCAATGTTGCTATGATGTTGCCTACTCTGGTGGCGAAGATGCAGAGTTCCTTCGGTGAGTCTGTTGGCCGTTGGAGGCTTCGTAGTCGTTCCAGTTCGGCGAGTGCGATTGCGTCGGGTCGGCCGAAACGGGATTCCAACGTCTTCATTATTTCTTCTGTTTTCGCGTTGTACATGAGTAGACTTTCCACGGCTTCTTTGGCTGTTCCTCGTAGGCTTCTGCGTAGTCTTGCGAGGTTTTCATATTCGCTGTGCATGCTGGCTGTTTCTGTGTAGGCGGCTTTGAATGAAAGCCATTCTTGATAAGTTCCGCTGTAGCTCGGTAGCTCTTGTATGGAGCGTGGTGCCATCTGTTGACCGGATCTTGCGGCGAGTGCGATCGCGGATGCGAGCTCCGAGATGTTTATCTGTTGCTGTGTAGGCTTTGCGATGGCCATGGTTTCTTCTCCCGCCGGTATTAGAAGCGGGGCTTGATGCGTAGACTGTTGCTCGACGAAGCTCTGTTGCTGTAGCGTGGCTTCGTGCGGCTTTTCGGCGATTGCGATCTGTGACGTGCTGTGGTTCAACCAGTTTGTGACTCGATGCGTCGTTTCCTGTCGAGCTGTGACTGTGCCTTCATCGGAGTCCGGTTCTGAGTCGCTGTTGGCTTCGTCTTCTAATGCGTTGACTCTGGCGGCGGCGTATTCCATTTGCAGACGGAGTAGCTCTTCTTTTGCCTTCTGCAGCCGTTGCGAACGACGAGATTTGACGCTCTTGCTCTTCTGTACTGTGGGGTGACCTTCGGTAGCCTGTTCTGTCTGTGGTGCTTCGGTCGTTGAAGAGAAGACTGTCTGATCCCAGGTGTTCGTTTCGGTTTCCGTCGCGGCGGTGTTTCTCGTAGCCGTCGTCGCTGTAGCAGTTGGTTGTGAAGCCGGTGTTGTAGCGGTCGGTTGCGGAGCTGTTTCTGTGACGGTCGGTTGCGGAGCTGTTTCCGGCAGCGGAGTGGTGCCAGATCTTGACCGTGTGATGGGCATCTTGAAGCTTCTGTGATATCCGGCAATGCGAAGGACCAAATGTTTCGAACGGCGTCTGTGGCGCTCTTCCCTGTAACCGTTCGAAACGGTGCGGTGGGGTGCGGATGCCTATGGGGCTGGCAGCTTCAATGAAATCCCTTTTTCTAGCTTCAGTGCGCTTGTTGCTTGTGCAGTGGTGTATCGATGAGTGGTGAAAGAGATCGAGGCTATTTTGGTCACTACCTATGTAGGCCACAAGTGTTCGCACTTAGCGCTATATCACTGCGCTAGTGCGCCTATCGGAGCAATGTGAGAGGGACAGCCTATAATGCTGTCTCTCTCACGGTGCTATTTCTGTTCGCGCTTTGTGCGACGTTATAGCGGCCGTGGGCCTATCCTAGCGCTGTGCGAGAGAGACTGTAGTGTTGTCTCGCACAGCGTTGTGTTACTGAATGTGTGTACCTACCTATCGTGAAATGAATGTTGCGCAACTCTTTTATTAAAATAACAATAATTTTACATTTCACTTATAACTAACTATAACTACTATTTACAACACATAAGATTATTAAACTATTAAATTAGGGCGGCGTCTGTTCTGTACAATATATTTAAGTCACGCATCCTATGATATTGCAAAAGTTGTTTTAATTTCACCGTAAGGGTTCCCACGCTAACTTTTATTTTTTGAGTGTGTATGCTGTTGGCCGCCGCACGTGGTCTTTATAGCGTCACCGGGTTTGGGGACGGTGTAAGCCTAAGGGGACCTCAAGCCGAGAATTGGCGAGTGCCTCTAGAGGTATTCCAGGCGGATAGCATCTCCCCACGGGGGGAGTCTCCTCTCCGTCTGGAACCTCTAGAACACTCGAAATTGAGGGGGTCGGCTCAACTAGAGGGCATCTCTGAGAGCACGCTAACTACTGCGTCATTGTGCTTCTGCTTAACATTATACTGTATCTTGCGCGTTAATATAAACGCAATACATTAAAGTGATGAGAGAGTAAGTATCGATTTCATTCACATTATTACCTTGAATGGCTTTGTTAAGAACATAATCAATACACGGGTGCGTTTCATTCAGTAGTAGGGCAAAGCGACAGACAGATTCGTGTCGAGCCGATGGGGATGCTTTCATACTTGTTACTCTTTATTACAAAAGGTCCTATTCTAAGAAATTACGTATTATCGTATTACAAATACGATACGAGAACTTGGTAATACAATACAATCGTCAGTACACACACATAACAGTTCTATAGAATGTGTCTTTTTTAGTGAGCCAACTATTTGACCTACAGCAGGATAAAAAAATAATTCAATTCTAGGTAACTCTTAAGTCCAAACTAAACAAAGGACTCAAAGGCTGAGCGCAGATTAGAGTCACGACAGTCTCAAGACAGACTATTGCTTAACAAAAATTATGAAGATGCGCACATTCGAAACGAGACATCTCATAGACAAAAACGTCTTTATGTACACAAGAACTGCAAAGCGACAAGTCTGACTAACGACTGTCCGCTTCCCTTTGTAATGTATGCGAGGACGCACACCAACGACAAAATTGTCTAGCGATTAGGGATGATAATCGATACCGAAAGAAAGTATAAGTACAATACTTATGATAAAATAAGTACTATGTGGGTCCATAAATTTTGACAAATTATTAAATATACATTCATTCGAAATTACTGGTAAAACTTTCTGGGGTGGTGCCTTAATTTACTTTAAAATAAAAATCAGTGAAATCTCTTCTGATACTGATGAAATGGTGTGTGTCGCATCGTAGACAAAACAGTTTCGTCTTGGTGTGCGCCTTGTGGTAGACACAACTGTTTCTTTTTAATTGTAAAGCTGTCTCGTCTATGTAAGATAAGATTATCTAACAACTTTTGTGACTATAGTCTGCGCTCACTCAAAATGGATACTAAAAAATGGTTAAAAGACTGAGTAAAAGAAGATAATTATTACTTTGTGCTCATCGCACAACACGATTCGTTCCCAAGATTACAGCAGAAGGTACATTCCGAAATTTACCTTTAGGCGCCTTTCTCGCCGGAACTGTGCGGTATCTTCATTTCTGTACCGAATCTGTACAGATTCTTCACCGAGTGTCTCGCACAACGGTCGCGACGGCATCATAACAAATGACAGACACGGTAGCAAACAAAACGAAACGATACCGCGCCGAAACCGAGCGGGTTAAGATAAAGTTATCGGTAAAGAATATGCACAGATTCGGTACAGAAACGCAAACGAAACGATCCAATGAGAACGGCGCTTTACTGTCTACAAGGATTGTACGAAATACAAAAACTGTAATTCTAAACAATGTTGACTGATGGAAAGATTTGCATTTGCCTATTACGACAACGAACTGCACAAAATAATTGACCTTATTGCTAAGACGTTTGGTTCAATATGTAGGATGCTACAAAAAATGGTGATACTTTTTAATCACGATGTGCTAGGCGTCTGGCAATGCAATAAAATTATTTTCAATTGGTTTGTTTTCAGACATGAATTAGAAGATAGTCTACTAGTAGAAAATAGCAAAATGATACCGTATACGCCTTTTCGTCAAGGATGGGCATAAATTAAAATTATCTAAATTATAATAGATTCCAGTTTAATATCACCATACTGGCTACTTTCTACTGCTCTGGCTCTTTCGGAATGCAATTCAAGCAGTTCGTCCCGAGTAACCAATCCAAAAAAATCCTTCATGATAGCTTGTTCATAAAAGGGCTAATGATGACAACGGAATAAGAGCTCAAAAACAAAATTGGTTCCGCATTTTTAAGGAATCTATGTTTTATGACCGCCAACCTTTTAGCAATATAAAGTGAACAAAGGAGCCTAAAGCAACGAAGGAGGGGCCTTCGTTGCTTTAGGGTCCCCACACTTCGAAATTCTCAAAATTGTTTCTTGTACCGCCTATACCTCCTTGTATTTTAGTCCCTTGAAAGAACATTTTACCAAAGAACAAAGCGTTGAAAATAGGGTAAAGTTTTTAAGAGAAAATATTTTTTCTAATCAAACGAAACGCACCCACTAGTCCAGTTAAATATAGTCACCGACCTGGTTCGCCGCTATGAAGTCAGGATCGCAGATGGCAGGGCGCGGCCTCATACCGGCCATCTCCTGCTTGTGCTTCTACCAATAGTACAGTATAATATAGTCACTGACCTCGTTAGCCCAGTATAATATAGTCACTGACCTGGTTAGCCCAGTATAATATAGTCGCTGACCTGGTTCGCCATTATGAAGTCAGAGTCGTAGATGGAAGGGCGCGACCTAATACCGGCCATCTCCTTTCTGAGCTTCTGCCACTAGTACAGTATAATATAGTCACCGACCTGGTTCGCCCCTATGAAGTCAGGGTCTTAAGATGGCAGGACGCGGCCTCATACCGGCCATCTCCTTCCTGAGCTTCTGCCACTAGTACAGTATAATATAGTCACTGACCTGGTTAGCCGCTATGAAGTCAGGGTCGTAGATGGAGGGGGGCGACCTCATACCGGCCATCTCCTTTCTGAGCTTCTGCCACTAGTACAGTATAATATAGTTACCGACCTGGTTCGCCCCTATGAAGTCAGGGTCTTAAGATGGCAGGACGCGGCCTCATATCGGCCATCTCCTTCCTGAACTTCTTGCACTAGTACAGTATAATATAGTCACCGACCTGGTTCGCCGCCATGAAGTCAGGGTCGTAGATGGCAGGACGCGGCCTCATACCGGCCATCTCCTTCCTGAACTTCTTGCACTATAACAGTATAATATTGTCACTGACCTGGTTCGCCGCTATGAAGACAGGGTTGTAGATTGCAGGGCGCGGTCTCATTCCAGCCATCTCCTTCCTGAGCTTTTGCCACTAGTACAGTATAATATAGTCACTGACCTGGTTCGCCGCTATGAAGTCAGGGTCGTAGATGGCAGGGCGCGGCCTCATACCGGCCATCTCCTTCCTGAGCTTCTGCTGCAGGTCGTAGTCAATCACCTTCGCGCGGACCATCGACTCGGCCAAGTTCAGCGGGCTGATGTCCCAGCCGTCGATTACTGCGCAAAAAAGTTTGTTGATTGCAGCTATACATCGTATAAATCTAAAGAAAATTTTACTACAAAAATCCCTCGGTCCACGTAGCAAGCAGGACTCGAACCGCGCTTTACGCTATTCGGGCGGATTTGTTAGTGTTCTATTATAGATTTATGCATAAAGTAGTAGTAGTTTAATGTTTAAAATCTTTATATATATCATTCTTCTGTGAGTGTGTATGTCACTGAACTTCTCTTAAACGACTGGACCGATTTTGATGAAATTTTTTGTGTGTGTTCAAGGGGATCTGAGAATGGTTTAGATTCACAATTTTATCCGCTGGACAATGTTTTTTTAATTAATTTTTTTTATGGCGCGGTACGAAGTTCGCTGGGTCAGCTAGTAAAAATATAATATTGTATGGTATATTGTGATTTAAAGCTAACCCCGCTCGGTGGATAGCGCGTTCGGCCTGTGATAGTGGAAGTTAAATAACTTTCGCAATGGTCGGTTATTGGATGGGTTACCAAACCTATTATCTCGATCTCCTCCGTGCTTCGGAAGGCACGTTAAGCTGTTGGTCCCGGCTGGATCTACAGACATCTAGTAACCACTAATCCGCACTGGGCCCGCGTGATGGGTCACGGTCACGGCCCTATCGCCCTATTCCATCCATAGGGAAGGCCTGTGGTGTGGTGGTGGTGACTCGACTCTGCGCCGTACGCTATCCTGGGGGATTTTATTCTAGTCCTATTATATTTAGATTTATAAATAGAGAAGTCGTAGTTTAATGGTTAAAATAGCAATATAATATCATATAGTATACTGTGATTCAAACTTAATAGCAGCTGCGAAGTTAGCGCAAGTCGCGGGCCAGTAAACGGGATGTCACTGAACTGAAACCTGCGCAAGGTTGTGCTAGCTGCTAACTTCACAGCCATAAACATGTTATAGTCTTGCCAATTATTAGCCTTTTTGATAGTTTATCTTCCAATTACGGCAGTTAAAAATACGGTATTTTTATTCCGCACTGACAAGTGATAATTCACTATAGTATACAGTTACAAGATACCTAAGTCATCCGGGTGCACCATGGGTAGTAACTGCGACATCGGTATGTAAACATCACTGCCCTTCTCATCAATACCAAGCCTCACAGTCGACGCTTGCGTTATAGATCCAAACCTAAAAATAAATATTCAATAAGAAGAAATAAGATAGCAGATATTCGCAGGGGAGTATTTACGGTAGGGCCAAGAGGGCCATGCCCCAGGGCGACAAAGGGCGCCTGCAAGAGCTGCGAAGAGCGGCAGACACATGCCAGTTCACGCATGAGTTGTTTACAAGTGCTGATGTCGTTGCACTTTCACCCTTACGTCGCACTGCATAATGCTCATATTAGAATGAACCACACCACTCGACCACTCGCAATAATCGTGATCATTCACGTCGCGCACGACCCGCGGCGCTCCTGTCAAATCTGTTTCCAGTAATTTCGCGGTTTTGGTTCGAGAGCGTTTGTGACTATATTCCTATCAAAGACATTTGCTACTGACCTATATTTTGATATAATTTACTAACTCTAGGGCGAGTTGCAAATGGTAAACAGTTCGGGGTGCCAGATTTTAAAATACGCCCCTGTTTCTTTCGTAACTAACACAATGGCCGGATTGGATATATGATCAAAACATTTTTTATCTCAAACTCCTTACTGCTGAGTAAAGCACGTCAAAACAAAACCCATTGGTCCCAGCTGCGTCTGCAGTCGTTAGCACCCACAATTCTCCATATGCCATCCATAGAGAATTCCTGTACCTCAGCAGTGGGGACACTACATGGCTGATAATAATTAATAGTCGTCTTAATAATAACGTAATAGACGTCTTCTGCAGATGCTTACTGGGTGAGCATGATGGCTTTGGTGAGTCAAGACCTTTAACCACACCACCACAAATGAATGATACCAAGTGACTGAGTAGTGAGTACACTCTAGAAAGGTACGAAGCTTACTGGCTTACTTAGCAAAAGTGATAAGATTCGCAATTAGATGTTCTGGACGGCAAAACCCTTCTTTTGCTAAGTGGTAATGTCGCAGATAAGACGGCGGCAGAGAGCGATCCCTTGGAATAACACCCACTCTGACCCGATCCGACACAGATGAATGGGTGTAAGAGATAGGAGCGCGAGTTAGGAATTACAACTGAATATCCCCTGCGAGAATGGCCCCTGCTGGCGCAAAGTAGTGAAAAACTCATACCATTATTATTTCTGGTCATAGAGTTAAGGTGTTTCTGTCATAACTTGGTTAATTTTCTGAATCTTAGTTTCTCAATATTAATAAAGTAAAAAGTAAGTGCTACAAAATGCCAATAACATTATATACATAAATGACATACACACAAACATCACACTAATATTATAAAGGCAAAAGTTTGTAAGTGTGTATCTTTGTTACTTCTTCATGTCTAAACAGCTGGAGCGATTTTAATCTATTTTTTTATAGAGTTAGCTAAAACCCTGGATTAATACATAGGCTACATATTACTGCAGGAAAATATCTCTAATATAACACGGAAACACTGCGAGGCACAGCTAGTAGATATGTAAATATTGTTTGAATAAATTTTATAGTAACTAATAAAAAATGGACCAGGTTACAAAATTTAATATAAGCTTCCCTTCAATGCTTCCCTAGAGCATTCCATGCAAACAAATTTTTTACATGACATACATTAAATCATCTATTTGTCTATCTAAATTTTCAGTTTTGGTGATAGCAGAAGCACTTATGAAGACAGTGTTCTTAGACCTGTTGATAACAGTACATGCAGCATAGGTGTCTTTACATGGAGGTACATCTTTGTGGCCAGATGCCATGGTGTTACCTATGTGTCTATATATTTTATTTTTCTATTTAATATTTTTAAATTAATTTTAACTTAAATTGTTACATACATGTGAATTCAACTTTATGTTTCCACTCTATAAATATGAGGTTCCTTCCTATATTTAACCAAACAAAGTGGAAGTAACACTCCTTTATTTCGGCAGCTATAAAGTCCTAATACTATAAAATCTCGTAAATTGTTAACCCAAGGGATATAACGTATTATGATGCATTGCAATATAATCGAACTTTCCTTTCAAATTAGGTCTAAACAGCAAAACCTTGATTCATATTTATTTCACAGGTTACAAAGCAGAGCTAACTTTTTGTACCTCTCTGAACAATTAGTTTGTTAACCACACTGATAGAACATGATTCTTGCAAGTCTAAGTTTTTTTTTCACTGGATTTATTTAGTATTTCTAGACCATAAAAAGCAAAATTCATTAGTAGTTTTTATTATCCTAAATAATTAAATGAGTTTATGAAATAAGGTTAGTATATTTCAATAATTTACGCTCTATTTCTTTAAATTCAATATTATAATGGATAAAATAAAATACTTCATGTCTGTACAAGGCTTACAATAAATGTCAATTTTCTAAACAGGCCAAAAAAACCATCTTATTGACATAAAAAAAATCTTTTTAAATTATAATACTTACGTACTTCCATAATTTTTTTAGTTTAATAGTAAAAACGAAAGTACAATGGCTATTGTCCAAATATTTGAAATAATAAACCAAACTGATTTTTACTAAATGTGATGGAAAGTTGTGGGACATCTTAAAAAGGGGAGAGAGTGTACTGGCAAAAATGCCCCTATATCATCTAAACAGAACAAGTTTTGGAACCATGACCAAAAGTCCTTACCAGTTAGAATCCTGCACTCCATTCTTTGTGTTCCAAGACAGCTGGTGCCGATTGGCAAGAACTGCTGCTGTAAACGTAGAACCGTTGTTACCTCCCCATCCGACTAACATTACACCCACTTTACCAATCTTCTTTCCTGTTCGGATGCTAATAGATTTCTTGTACGGCTTAACCTATATGAGAAATTTAAATGAACTTTGAAATTTTAATAAAAAAATTAAAAAGATTGGTTTGAAATAACAGTTGTAACTCTTAATTCATGTCATTAACTAAGAATGAACACTGTCTACCTAGATCAAGCTTATTGTTCAATTAAAAATAAGGGAGATAATATAAAATAAGCCTATTTTTTCAAATTCAATCCCATTTCTAATAGCAATCTTTATAACAAATGTAAAACTAATACTTAAATATATAAAAAAAAACTTTAAAAGAAGTATAGCCACATTGTTATGGATTTTATTCACATGTAAAAAAAAGACCGCCATTTAGATTGAGTTCATAACTAGGGCTTCAATTTATTCTATGAAATAAATTAAAAAAATCATTGCACTAAAAAGTCGCTGTATGTACCGATAGAAATGGCGATTGGCATTTATTCAAACAAACCGGCGGATGAGCTAAAACATATTTTAAAACAGTGAGAATCATCTTAAAATTAAGACTTATGACTTACCACAATCTCGTTTGCATTTTTCGTTACCAGGGTCTCTTCGTATTCAAAGTCCGACAAGATATAATCATCGGTATATTGAATATTAGGGCTTGATATTATTAATTTCGAATTTTTCTCCATTTTATTAGTTTATAAGGAGAATCTAATGAATTTATATAGTATGTCACTCGTGTAAACAGCGCGTAGGTATTTATTATAGTAATTTATCACCAATTATTCATGCAATCAAATTAAATTGATTTTGTAAAGTTTGAAAGCAGCATGTACACAACTACCTTTAGCAGAATCAAGTTACTCTATGAGCAGAATCTTGTATGTGACAAGATCACAGGACAAGCAAGACCGAGCAAGTAATATATACAATGGTGTCGATTCTGGCACGATTCTCTAAATCTAAACTTAAATTTGACAACAGTGTATCCTTGTCATTCTCTATACAGAATGAAAAGGACAGACTGATGTTAAATTTAGTTTTAAGTTTAGAGAATCACGCTGGAATCGACACCAATATTAGTCTATGAAGTAATCTACGACTACATCACTCACAACCAATCAGTGTTACCAGATGAGGAAACTGATATTACAGTGTTGGGTGCAAAAAAATACAGTGTTCGAGACAAAAATACAGTAAAAGTAAAAAAAAGTACAGTAAATTTTACAGCAGATATCAAGAAACTTATATTGTTTAAATTTAAATGAAAATACACTTTCTAATTGACTAACCAACCACTTATTAATCACTATCACTATCATTTAGCCCGACAGCAGTTTCTTTTTTGTAGATGAAATGATTTTAACATTTTCTCAGTTGGTTTAACATTAATGCAACTGGTGCTTAAACAAGGTTGACAAAATTTGGGCGCTTAATACTACGTACCTACTCTACGAAATGATTCCTAGTCTACGTCCGGGGAATTCCCGCATAGTATACACCGCGCCACTATTCATGCTAAACGGGCATGAATAGTGGCGCGGTGTATACTATGCGACATTTCCATGTATTACAAATAAGACATTTCCGTTCTTATTTCAATAGTAATAAGAGTTGTGTCATAAGCAGAGAGGTGGCGCGGGACGGGGGGTTGCCTTTCGACAAGTTTGTAATAATCTTTTTTTACAAAGGCTGCCTTCAGTTTACTTACATTAAAGTACGAGTGCGTTCGAGATCCGGTGAAAAATAGCCCGGTAAGTTTTAAACTCATTCTCGAACGCTCTCCGAAAAGACTAGCCCTTAGAAAAATTACAGTGTTCTCCATACACTGTAATTTTAGTATTACAGTGTACAGTAGATCGTGTGAAAATACAGTAGATCTGCTGTAATTACAGTGTATCTGGCAACGCTGCAACCAATACTGACATTACTGACACAGGCAGACAAACTGACAGTGACAGGTAGCTACAATGTCAATCAGCGAAACACCTGTCATGCATGCCACCTGACTAATAGGGATGTACGTTACATTAGCAAATGAAAATATAATTAAAACGGTACATTAATTTGTAGTCCATGTGGGATATTTGGATTTACTCGAATGTGGCAGAGTAACATAAGGCGAGCAATTTTGCATTCTGTGAAGTACTGCCACCATATCTGACTGAGCCCTGTATGTGTGGAGGGACGAACGTAGAAGACAGCAAAAAAATCAGCAAACGGTCAACTCATGACTTTTCCAAGCCTATTCGCTAACTGCTTTTGCCAGATGGAAATGATAATCACCGAGCTGTTTTTAATTATCAACAATTATAACGCCACTATGACACTTGTGCTGAAAAGCATCCATGGATATGCAATTTTCTCTTTAGTCACACACTGGTGTCGATTCTAGCATGATTCTCTAAACCTAAACTTAAATTTGACAGCAGTATATCTTTGTCATTCTCTATACAGAATGAAAAGGAGAGACTGATGTTAAATTTAGTTTTAAGTTTAGATAATCATGCTAGAATTGGCACCACTGTAAATGAAAAATGTTAGTGAAAAGGCCGGCTAGTCGCGTCCAAATCGTCAGTCTTTTGAATAGGAGCAACTGGAGGGTTCCTTATTTATTTTAGTTACGTGAAGTAACATTCTTTCTAAATGTCTGAAGCGCTCGAATATTTTTTTCCTATATTCTAACTCTTCGTACGGCCACATTCCCACACCATGCAAACCGGTAGATCAATATTTTCCCAACCTCAGAAACATTACACGAATTTACGTGAACTCTCCAGTCACTTCTATTAGAATACTAACGATTACTGATATACTTCTTATTATGCTCTCACTTCATACAGTTAGTCATATTTACTATTTGTAAACTTTACAGCAGCCAGAAGTCTTTCTTTATGTATGATTAGGATATTATAATATCGAGTTTACAAATCGCAAATACGAATAGCTATATGAGATGAGATATTATATTTTGCCAATAATTAAATAAAACAGATATGATTCCCGGCGTAGTTAATTTAACAGTCGTTAGCTACTACAAGCAAAAAACGAGCGAGCCTTACAGTAGTCTCGTGTGATGTGTAACATTTGAAACCTCACCTTATATTAGTAAAAAAAGAAATAAAACGTACTACAAAAAGAATAAGCCATTTGAACAATATGTTCTAAAATCAAATCAAATAGCGCGCGCTTTCGCGACTTCCTATTACACACTTCCATTCCATTTCACGAAATCACTCCCACAAATTGCAAGAAAGCGAGAGGAAAGATGTTACATATCAAAAAGAAATAAAACCTACTACAAAAGAAATAAGCCATTTGAACATTATGTTCTAAAATCAAATCAAATAGCGCGCGCTTTCGCGACTTCAAATAATTTACTAAAATTACATTAATTGAAATCTCAAATAATTGCCTTTTAGATGTGGAACATCTTTCCTCTCGCTTTCCTGCAATTTGTGGGAGTGATTTCGTGAAATGGGACGGAAGTGTGTAACAGGAAGTCGCGAAAGCGCGCGCTATTTAATTTGATTCTAGAACATTATGTTCAAATGGCTTATTCCTTTTGTAGTAGGTTTTATTTCTTTTTTTACTTATATAAGGTGAGGTTCCAAATGTTACACATCATACGCGACTACTTTAATTTTCTTAAGCATTTAACTGCTAAGATTTAAATATCTAGTTTTAAATCTAAGGAAAATCCTAGAATAAAAATCCATCCGCGGTCCAGTAGGCCTATTTACTGACTGTTTTTGACATATGGAAGTGAAATTCACCGAAATATTTAGTAATACACTACTGCTTTATTTTAACGCCACAAAGATACTTGTTCAAAAAACCGTTAATGCAAATGAATTTTTCTCTTAAGTTACGCCAATGTGTATTATAGTAAAAGCAAATAATGTCAAAAAAGTTGGCGATTAGTCTAGCTGGAAGGAAGTAGAAGAGACCCGAACCTGCACTTATTTGTCAATAATAGGCTAGTTGACCCTTTTTGGAAAAAGGTTTTAAATGGTTAATTAATGTTTTATTAGACCGAAAAAAAATGTATTGTATTTTTTTTTAACCTAGAAAGCTACAAATCTTTAATTTTAAAATAGACTTTTCATGGACATACAAAAACGCTGTCGGCCATTTTATTCTATAGATTATCTATGCTGTGACGTGAACTGTGGTAAACAAAAACTCGTAAAAAAAAACATGATTTCTAATAAATACCACGAAAAATAAAGCAATTATCATTACTGTATTGTACGAGAATATAAAAACACATCCTTGAAAACTCCAGGAAAGTTGTGGATTAAAGTGCCGAAAGAAATTAACCTACGCAACTTTATTACACTTATTCATATGTTGTATCAGTTTTATGTTTATTACTACATTGTAATACTAAATGCACTATACTTACATAGATGCCTTGTCGTTTCTCTGCTCCGCAGAGCAGAAATCGGGGTTTAGTGCAACAAATTCACCAACCATCAATGCGTCAATTCTTGGCAGATTTGTTCTTTCTGCTTTCACAAAGCCGGCATCCATAATAAGTTTTGTCAAAAAACTGTTTTTTTCTTTCCTAAAGTTAAAAGTGTTTTAAGATAAATTTAGTCAGACGAAAGAATCTACCTACAGTAACACGCGAATGACATTTAGTTGTTTACCACAAGAGACGTCAAAATCATGGCGGATGTGGCGAACAGCGTTTTTAGTGTTTAAAAAATATAGACTAATAAATATTTTTTTAAATTAAATTTCTACAGCAATCTTCTGCTTTTATGAAGTGAAATCGATATATTAAGGTTCCTTAGACTAAATACTTTAAGAAATAAACATTTATTTAATACAATTCGACATGAGTAAACTAGCCTATTGGTCAGTACATTTTTTTAGGGTACTATATTGTTGTTATTTACATCGGACTGATCTGAGCTGAATTACCGAACGCTTCAGATTTAATCTAAATGTAATAAATTAACGATTCAGACTAAAAAGATTGATTAGACGCAATTAAGGAGCGCAGGTAGTACTCAGTCCAATCAGTCCCTTCGGTACGAGTACTTTTATTCTAATATCAGTCAAATAGTACATCCATGAAATTAGAAGTTTCAATTTTTAATCTATGGAGCGAAGAAAAAATGACCGAATGGTTGAGCCACAGAATTATATAAAGAACGACAAAGCGAATGAGGTTTATATCATTGTTACCATATCGAATAATTTAAAATTCCTACCATTCAATAAACTTTAAAAAAATGATATTTTTTTCTTGTATGTTTCTTTAATTAAGCTTTCTTCGCTCATACTCACAAAATTATATAAAAATATTACAATAAATAAACATGAATTCTCTGTTTTTTAATTTATTTTAAATATAAAAGTAATAGTTAACGAGACGCCTGTGTACTTATAAAATCTAAACTTTGATATCCAAATCTTATAACAATGTTATTTTCATTGTTAACTTAATTATGCACCTCACCTCACGATAAATATTAAATAATTTTCTCTTTGAGAGAGATCAATAAAGTTAAAGTGTAAACATTCTAAGTAAATGCCGTTGTTTTAATATACTATGGACTTTTAATTTATTATGTGCGTTTCATTTCATGAACCGCTCATGCGCCCTTCGTTTCCAGTCATCATAAATAAAATAATACAACTTTGTAGAATACGTACCTACTAACCTAACCATCGAGTTGTGTAGCTGGGTAGGAAGGAATCTCGTAAAAAAACAATGAACCTTGCGTGTGTGTGTGTCTACTTGAGAATGCTACGAACGGAAAAGATTGATGTATTTGTTAGGTTGTAGGCGGTTAATGCACTCTGCAAGCAAGATTTTATTTTGCCTTTTTCTGAGATAAAAATTTAAGAAATAACAAAGAAACTGTCTATTTCAATGCGAATTATTGAAGTTGTTAAGATAAATATGTAAAAAAAAGATTAAGAATATAAAATTTGAATTGTAAACATATTTAATTAAATATTTTATCAATAAGGAAATAATAATGTAACCGGGGTTTTTTTTATGTATGAATTACTTTATTCACTACTACTGCGCCTATAATTTCAATAATATAATGTAGAAACATTCTCGCTCGGAATGTATGTACGCTGTCTATAATACAATAAAGTTGTATATTAATTACGGTATAATAAAGCATGCGGGGGACGAGGGGGCGCGCCGCGCTCTCATATTCCGTATATTGATTGTGTGCGAGGGGGCCGGGGCAAGGAGGGGGCCACAGCGTGCCCCACTCTGTTTTTTACGACACGGCTTTCTGTGTAACATAATTATTGTATTTAATTTTGTGAAATGTTTCGGTGTTATTTGTGAAAAATCGGGAAGTCGGAAACGCAAATTCGAGGTAAGGAAGACAAACCGGTGCGGTATATTAATAAAATGCCATGTTACTGATTAAAATAATATAAAATTTTATAGTTCTAAATTCCGTCGGCGGCACGTACCTATAGTATATTACACTGTCATACCGCGTACGTATAGTGTTTTTTACGGGCATCGTTCTAAAAATAAGTTGTAATAATTATAATTTTATGTAGCGGTCGCTGTTGAGTCGGTTTTCTGTCGATTATACACCAGCTGTGATTTAGTGAGTTTGTGTTTGTGATCGTCTAGATGCAGGGGCTGGTGAGCGATAAGACGTTCCACTTGAAGTGGAACAACCACCTGCAGAACTTAAGCCAGCTGTTCTCAACCATCTATTCGTCGTCGGCGCTGGCCGATGTGACGCTCTCCTGCCGCGACGGCACCCTCAAGGCGCACAAACTAGTGCTCTCAGCATGCAGCCCGTACTTCGAACAAATATTCAAGTGAGTAATTGTGTTATTTATTCAATATTCATGAAATACAGTCATGGTTATAAATGCTAATAAAATTGTAGTACATATACATGCTCCATTAATACTTACATACTAAATGACATCATTATTTTTTTGTAGTTATTTTTATGAGAATGTGAGTGTTGAACATAAGTTGAACAGCTCAATGTTCTAAATGTAGCAAATGTTTATTTCATGATTAAAAGTAATTTCGGTATTCATTATTATAATTAGTTAATTACACTTACACCACTGGACTATTATCATTATTTAGGGTTATATCAAAGTATTGATATTTACTTTTTAGATTTTTTTAGGTATTTTATTAGCAAATCGAAGTATGTATAATAATGATACATATTAGTTCAATAAATAATTTTATTTATTTTGTTTGTAGGGACAATCCATGTCAACATCCAATAGTTATCCTGAAAGGAATTCCTTTCTCGGAGATAAATCTCCTTGTGGAGTTCATGTACAAGGGGTCTGTGGATGTTCAAGAGTTAGACCTACAGTCATTGATGCACACAGCATCAGAGCTGGAAATAAGGGGGCTGGCATACGAAGCTCGCGACAATGCAGCCCAAATGTTGAATGTCAACTTGGAATACCCGTCGTACCCGCCTCAGACTCAAGTCACATCCCACCAAAACTTCCCGCAATCTAGAACTGATGTCGAGCGATTGAAGCAGGTAAGTTAGAGTATTATTTTCTTTACTATCTGTACTTTTATTTGAAGGAAGCAACTTGAATCATCCTATCATAATATTAATTATGTAAGTGAGACAGCAGAAATTTATTAAATAACTTCCTTTTCTTGGTATCCATTGTAGTTGTTAGCTTAAATAATAAAATTATTATCCTCAAAATTTTACATTGCAAAAGATCAAGTTCGACCTGTAATTGGTTATTGTAAGGTGTTTGAAGCATTAATAGGTTATTCTTTTTAAAACTTTCGGATGAGTATTAATGGCAAATGAAATCATTAGTTTTTTATTTGAATACAGCAAATATTATTTTATTATACCCACATCTTTTAAGCTAACTGGAATGAGTATTAAAGTTACTTTTCAATATTGGTTTAATTTATCATATATCCTTAGCTATTTATAATGAGTGTTCAATTAAAAAATATCTGTTATATTGGTTAAATTTAATTATATCTTACTAAATAGGAAGATTGTTCAAGTAACTGTAGTAGTTAGTGGTTTTCAATAAAAACATTGACATTTTATCTTTACAAATTCATCAAATTATTTTTCAGTATGGTTTGTAGTGGGTCGTAATTATTTTATTTTAGAAATGTATTTATAATTTCTGTTGTTAGATAAAAATAGACAGTATAGAATAAAGGGTGTGGTAGCAATTACTTGGGTATATAGAAATATCCAAATTTAACATTTTGTGAGCCAATATTGTGCAGCATTATGCTTAATACTTCAAAAGTTAAAGGAAAATATACAAAAGTTTCAATTAAGTTTATACCACAGTCAGTCATTAAGTTTTAGAAATGAATACAGGAAAATGTAATTTCAATGAAGTCTTTTAAATACATACAACAGCAGGTAGATTCAAGTCTTTTAAATACATACAGCAGCAAGTATATTGGCTTTTTTTTAAAGCTGCTTGGTATTATAACAAACTGACTATTGCTCTAATGTTTAAATTTACAGATTTATTAGATACAAAAATGTGACATTATGTATATACATCAGATATAAAATTAAGAGAAAAACTTTTTTATAATATTTTTATATACCCTTTCTAAGGGAAATTGTTAGGTATAAGTGATTGCGGTTAAAATTTCCTAATTAGGCTCTGCAAACCAGCAGAGTTAATTTGATGAAATCTTGGAACAGTTACTTTAATGTTAATTAGGAAAATTTTTCTTTTCTTTAGAATTAACAATTAATTTGTGTGATCTGCACATGGCATAACTAGTAGAGGTTTATTTATTCTTCGTTTATTAATTGGGCATTGTGAGTTTTTTTTAATCAAATGTGTGTAGAACTACATGTCATGTTAAGTTCCTTCCCATTGGAAGGCACCTCTCTATTGAAATTTTGTATCCAAACTGTGGATGCTCTAAATACCCTCTAAATGTTGACTAGCTTTCAAATCGACTGATTCCCTTATTTCAAGTTTTTTCTATAGGGCGTGACCACTCGTTCTTTTTCGCCTTTGATGGTAGGTATTTCCCACAGACCGATATAATTAAAATAGGTGACTGGGGGCCCATGCTTTTTTACCACTTATTTGTTCTCGTGAGTACTCAAAATCGGACTCGCTCGATTTCCATACAATTTAAGTAAGAGACAAAGCAAGTGCTAGACGTCGGGCAAGTTTGAAGAAGAACAATGCAAGCGGCTGATAAAGACGAGCTTTGTGGAAATGTCCATACGTTGGTGCGCGTGCGCTATTAGTTATTTATTATGGACAAATGTTGGCGAGGAACAGCGAGTGCCGACAAGTGACGCCAAAATAATGTTCATAGGTAACGTTGGTGCTTCCCTACTCGGCAATTTAGGCAAACGACACCGATCGATGACAAGGCAAAACAAATATGCTGTCTATACGTTTGTATTGGCCTTCGTTTGGCCAACATGTATTTATGTTGCGCAGGATACAATTTTGCGACCATTATATTAGGATCACCCCATAACTGTAGGTGGTAAGCACACCATAAGTCCAAATTTGCTTCAGGATGATGTCTGTCGATAGTGCAGAGTTGATAGCTATGAGGCTGTATAGGCTTACAGTTATGTTCATTATTTAGACGAAAAGAGATCAGGCAGTTTATTCAGACTATGATTGATTACTAAAGTTAATCAATTATCACAATAGCCAGTTATTGAATGGGTGACCAAAAATAATTTCACTTGGTTTTGTGGTTGCATCCGCCAATATGACCTTGTACTTATTGTTAATCTTTTTCGATTTCCCCCATCCCTTTCATTTCATAGTTGATAAAAAGATTATTAAGTTATGTCAATTTACCACTTCTTTAGCTTTGAAGAGGTAAAGTTAGACAGTAATCGCCCTAGACACACATGGCGCGTTACAGACACTCTTCTCCCCTATTTTGCTTTACCAAGGTCACATTATTTATACCAACTGTTTACTGGGGCTACTCTAAACTATAAATAAAATGACATTTATGAATGATTTTGATGAGTACCATTTGTTGACGCCACTTAATTTAAATAATTTAATAATTTTGTTTAAATAATTATATATTATAATACCTATGTATTATATTATGCGGATTATGCCTCTGTTCACCAAGTAGCAATAATGTACTTTCTACTTGATTTGTATCTTATATCTAATTATAATTACTATAATGGAATCGATTTGTGGGTTAAACTACCTACAATGCGAAGAGATGGCGCTGCCTTGCAGCTTAAGAAAGGCTAGAGAAAATTAGATACCGCCGTCAGGGCCGCGGTAGCATAATGGTCAGTGCATTCGCCCGGATAGCGAAGTCCGAAGATGCTGCCTGGTCCGCGTGGTTTTTTTTTCTAGTAAAATTTACTATAATAGAACTTAAACCCATTGTTTATTATCTGTAGTAGATTTACGTTTTCGAAGTTTTGTTTCTCATGGGATTTCCGGGAAGCCTCTCTTTAGTTAGGTACTCAGTTGTTTTATTACGTTTTTTTTTCGCCGAGGGCATATAAAACTCGCTATTTAGGTTCTTGATCTAATATATTTTTTGTGGACACTACGTTTACTTTTTTATACCATCCAACTGGAACAGAAACAGAAAAAGCAATTAATGCGTCACCTGATATATTTCCGTGCAGAATCTGCTAAAATAGATGCCTATCAAAGCAGTTTCTGAAACTCGTAGATGTAGAATTGGCAAATGGCAACTGTAATTGTTTCCATGCGACGTCTAAAGGTCATAGCGCACCTGAGCCACGCGACCAGTACCGCTTCGGCGCACGCGGTTAATATTCTTTGTATGCATTTCTATGGGGATGCGCTCACTACACAAATTCCGTACCATCACCGCCTCGCCTCACTCTAAAGCTGTCCACGAATGCACGGCGCGCGCCGGGTCAGTGCTATTCGGGTGCTGGGTCAGGAGTACTATGACCAGACCCCTCTTTCCCAGTGGGCACTTTAGGCAAGTGCCCAGGGCCCCGCGTTCGATAGGGGCCCCCCTCAGATCAAATACAATGTCCCTAGTTCCTGTTAGATCACTAAACGATAACCAATATTTTATTACCAAAAACTTACATAATTCGATGAAATCGAACCTAAATTACTGACTACAATACCAATTTACTAGCTTTTACATAAGCGAAGCTATTCTACTCTCGCCCAAAAATTAGGCTTTCCTACTTCAGCATGCTAAGATAAGTTAGGGTATACTCAACGCATACACATTTTAAAGAAAAATCATCAGTAGTACACTCATCAGTATGACTCGCTTTATTTCAAGTCACAATCCATATCAAAGTCATAGGGGCCCCATTATCCTAATACGCCCAGGACCTCCAATAGGTTAAAGACGGCCCTGACCATAGTCATCATACCAATGATGACCAAGGTCATAACCTTAAAGCATAAATTATACCAATTGTTAGGTAAAAACTACCATTGGAAGAAAATTTTAAAATAAAGATTTTATTCTTTATACTCTGACAAGCAATGAAATAACTGAGTTGAGTACTTACCTATATGCTTTATTAATTAATAAAGAATTTATATTATTATTTTTTTTTGAAGCATTAAACTGCTAGATTTTTAAATCTAAAGAAAGTATTACTAGAAAATCAAACTTCCGCTTGGTCTAGATTTGAGACGGAATTTTAACTTCCGCCTCCGACATCCCCCATCCGCTTCCGCCCGGAAAGCGGAATTTGCTGGTTCGAATCCCGTATAGCCTGGAACGAGTGGAATTTTTGCTAGTAATATTTTCTTAAGAATTTATAGGTATTTATAACAGGTACCGCTAATTAAACTCAAATGTAAATAATAGTATTATATGACTTTGTTATGTGACAATAATAATTAAACACCAGTTGTTACCTAGAAAATTAAATTTTAATTTATCTACATATTTTATTGAGTACTTATAATTTAATTGTCAACCCAGAATATTCTATATCTATACCATTCACAATGTCATTAAATAATTTCGTTGCATACATAACTTACTCACCAAAGTGTAAATAATATTTATCTTGTTATTACTTTATTAGTCAGATATTTTATCTTTTATTAAACATTAAATTTGTTTAAATACACTTTGAATCATCAAAGGCAGGTTATAAGAATTGTTATTTTCCTGTAACTACTTTTTTAAAAGGGAAACACCTAGTGACGTCTAAGAAATAATGTTAAAATGAAACCTTTTTTTTTGGTCGTTCGTCATTTGCGGTTACGTTAGTTTTAGGTACATATGAGGAAATAAGTGCCGTACCTATTAAAACTCTTCGATACAATTGCGATTGTTAAAATGAGACAATGCTATGCGAAGTATAGAACACTGTCCTGTTTCGGTTAAGTTACCACCACATTTAGGTGTATACATAACATTTATATTATTGTTACATAAAATGAACTTTTAACGCGAGATAAACCAAGTTGGTTGAATTTGAGTTTCCATTCTACATGTCAATTACTCTGTGTTCGAAATGTTTGGCAAAGGGCTCATTGTGAAAGTTTCAAATACATTTCTTTTTTAAGTAAAATGAATAGTAAGTAGAATCCAAATTTTGGTGTAAATAGGTGCTTTTTGGCAAAATTGCCAGGTTTTTTGGTTTTTTCCGTGCATTGACTAAACTATTAGGTCATTCTTTGGTAGCACATTTGTGCTGGTAGTGTGTGAATATAATATTTTCCAGTATAGTTAATATACACACCATTAAAAATAATTCGTGCTAATTGTTATTGTTACATTTAAGTGACGCGTTATATGACTACTAAATGTAATGTAGGATATTGAAATATCAGAAAACCGGATAAACGCTGTCAGCGCGTGAGCTGTGTTTACATAATCCATGTCTCCGCTTTGTGCACGCGTAAATGAATATAATTATTGTAAGTATTTTTAGTAGTTCTATGTTACACTACAATCACGAGTTGTAGTTAATTTTAAAATTCTGTGTTGGTTGGTATAGTTAACATCAAAATAGTAAAGACTACACTACAAGGGTGCTATGCCATTCATTATCATACAGTTCGCTTCGATAGGGATTTCATACTCACACTTTGGTACCAAGTTTTCAGAGGTATTTTCGCCCGCTTATGATTAAGCTATGGAATGACCTGCCAGACGAAGTTTTCCCAAAAAAGAGGCGTGAAGAAGTTTTTGATGGGTCGGCAATACGCGTGTCATATTTCCGGCGTCGCAGGTAGGGTTACCAACCATTTTAGGGAGGAAACCTGTCAAGGTCTCACAAAGCACCTGAATTGAAAAAAAAGTTTTTCTTTTTAAAAACTTTAAAAGAAACTCATCTTATCATCATTCGTTCTAATTTGTTCGCCCAATGTAAACAATGCGTCCCGCAAATACGCGCTATCTTTTTTTCCCTTAATGCATTGCGTGGGCCACGGCTACGCTCACCACGTACGCATATGCGGCTCGCTGCACATGCATGGTGCGCGCATGTCGTGACTGAATGAGCGACGCGCGACATTCAAAAATGCCTGTTTCAGCCTAGCGCGCCGGGGCGGCCGCTGGCCTGACTAAACTTTAAAATGCCTGTCGAATGCGGCGAACGCCTGTCAGACAGTAACCCTAGTCGTAGGCGTCTACAGACCACGGTGACCGCTTACCGTCAGCGCCATCGTGTGCTTATTTTCCTTCTAATATATAAAACAGCAACAGGAAAATTTATAATTTTTATTTAATTTATGTATATTTTAACACTTATTTAAAAAAAAAATTATGGGTGTGTAACATAGTGTTCTAACAATTTCCTGGGATAACATTCCTCCTAACCCATATGAGAACACTACGTTACAATACCCAATAGTTTGAATTTTGGCACGAAGGCGCATTATAGGTTTCAGAACACACAGGTGGATAACCATTATCACTTAAGGTTATGAAAAATAGATAGTTGCCGATTCTCAGACCCACGGTATGCATATAAAATTTCATAAAAATCGATCAGGCCGTTTCGGAGGAGTATAGTAACTAACATTGTGACACGAGAATTTTATATATAAGATTAAATTTTAACTCAATACCTCCATGCTTTAGCGAGGTACTAAGGGTCTTAATGGACAACAAAGTGATCCTCGGATACGGAACCCTAAACAAATATGATGACAACCTAAAACATTGTGTTCAAGAATTTGAAGTTGTGTTGACTGTACAAAACTACAGACATTTATTTTTTAATGAGAAATAAATATTATTCCGAAAATAAAACTATAGGTAATCAATTCTTTCAAAACACTCAGGTACGGGAATAATCAAGTATTATCATTTCACTCAATAGGTAAATAATATAATATAAAATACATGATAAATATTTAACCAAGATAACTTTGGCTGTAAAAATAAAAATATATTATATTAATAATTGCGCGATAATATTTCGGTGACGCAAATGTACCTACAATATGAAACATTTATGTGTTATTTTAATATTATCATATCAATGTAAAGAGAAATGGAATTTGTTTATCATTTACTGCTAGTTTGTATTTTTTTATATATAATTTTATCATAGAGTCGTCACTATCAAAATTTAATACCCAAGATACATAACACCACTATCTAAAACTTTATTATTTCTCGATGCATAATATTTTTATTATTGAAAAAAATATATAGACTTTTGATCAAGACATCATCCCTATCGCTGTCGTTGCGGTACTCGCGTCGGTGAGTTGGGACACCATGGCCTCTCCTGCTAAATGACCATTGGCCAAGTCTCCCGCCACGCCGGCATTAATGACGTTATCCGCAGAGCTCTTATCGCTGTTAATGTACCAGCGGGCCTAGCGGCATCTTTCGCGACGATGGCAAGAGACTTGATGGTCATTGGCTGATGGCTCATTTCTTGGAAGCAGGGTCGTCCTCTTGTATGGGACGCAACTTGCGTAGATACGCTTACTCCGTGCCATACAAGTAGTACCTCTCTAGCTGCAGGAGCGGCGGCGGCCTCTGCCGAGTGCTCCAAGCGGCGCAAATATTCAGCTCTCAATGAGAACTACATATTTGTGCCGTTAGGTTTGGTTGGCCCGAAGGGTCCAAGCGCTTTTACCCTTTTTAAGGAACTGTCAAAGAAGCTCACTGAGGTGTCTGGTGATCAAGTAGTAGTTTTTAAGTTTTTGTTATTTAAATGAGTATATTTTAGCAATGTCATAATATAAACTTAATAAAACTTTTTTAATAGTAATTTCAGTATGAACCTTTGAAATTTTTGCCTAGCAAGTTAATTGCAATCTTGTAAGACTAGATCAAGCGCCAGGTTGTATTAAATCAGTTTAATAAAGGCAAATGGTCACATATCCCTAGATTTTTTGAACAAACATCAATTAGCCCCAAAGTAAGCACTGAAAGGATTCTGTTATGAGATACTAGGGTAACGGATAGAATACATATACTGATACATATAACCTAAATATATAAAAGAAGAAACTGACTGACTGGCATATCAACGCACAGCCCAAACTGCTAAGTCTAGAGAGACTCCGGCATGTAGGTTCCTTATGATGTCTAGGGGTGCACTAAGAAAGGATTTTCAAAATTCTCCCGCGAACCAACCAACCTAACCTAACCCAACTAGAGGAGGAAAGTTTGTATGAAAAATCTTATTCATTAAGTTAATAGACTTGAAACTTGGCACAAATACTTATCTAAATAAATTATAAAGATTGTCATTTTAAATTTTAATTATTAATTACCCTGAATTTGACACGTTATTTATGTTTTCAAATATAAAAACATAACTTTATAGTTTTCAAATAGTAAGTAGATTGATGAAAAAGCAGGGTTGGTAAAAATTTGCTACCTGAATCACTAAGTCCACGCGGACGAAGTCGCGGGCAAAAGCTAGTATAAGTATATTAATCTAGAAATACATACAAATAGCCATGACTTAGGTACATTTGCTCGTATTCATCATACAATCATTTCCCCACCGGGATATGAACCCAGTACCTCCGAGAAGGCGACACCTTGAAACCAGACGTAACACCACGTACTTTGTTTTAATGGTACTTTTGGTTGATTTGTGCTTTATTATACAATGGACAGTGCTATTTTATATACTAGATCAATATGTCTAAAATTGACCAAAATTAATTTATTTGTATTTTTTTCCCATTTAGATCCATTTATACCAGCAATCAATGATGCGTGCTGAAGAGATTCGGCGGCGGCGTCGCGACGATAACCCTGGCACGCACACAGCGGTGAACAATATCCTGGCCGCCGCCGCCAGGGAGATGGAGGAGGCCCGCCACGCCGCCAGGAGTGACAGGGTCGTCGCCAGCATACAGACCGAACAGGAAGGTGAGTCTTAACAACGCCAAAAGATTACCTTAAGGCGACAATTAGACGTTAGCTCTGTCAGTTTGCTGGAAGTTAATATGATGACTGATAAATAATCTATGGTTGGCTGATGCTGTTTATCAGATACTATGTCCAGGGGACTGTTCATAGACAGTTCATCATTCATTAATCATAAATTCCATAGCAGGATGTAATTTCCAGGTAGCCAGCGTTTAGACTAAACAAGAAGGTGTGTCATTCATCAGTTATATAAATTACGGAAGTACTCTCAAAGGCGGTACTATTTTTTAGGTTCGTTAAGAACTTTCTAATAATTTTACGTTGACAAACATGATATGAATTTAGCTTATACCGCGTGCGGCTGTTCAATTATATTAATAAATTATTGCTATCGCAAATTACTTGAATTGAAATTGAATAAGTGCAGCACGGTGTGAAAGACTTATGGCTGAAGGTAAGTTGACTGAGAGTGGAAGCACTTTCGCCCCTGTTTGCCAGGGGAGCAGACATGAAACAAACCTACTGTATTATTTAAATCCCTTTTGCGTGTGTGAGAAGGTTGTAGTTAGCATTTTGACCGAACAGAAATTTGATGTGAGACGACATTATTTACAGGTTATAACAAGCTTCTTGCTACTTTCTCTGTGTGTAAATGACGATTTGATACAGCGCCCTTAAGTGATTTATAACGAAGTATTATCCTGAATTTCCTCGATATAAGTGGTTAAGTCCTGTACTTTTTGAAGATATTACATTACCTGGGATAAAATTTACTTTAGAATTAATCCAAACAATAACCTGTTTACTAGGTCGCGTTGTTTTATCGATAGTAAAATTTTACTACATTTATTTACTGCCAACTCAAATACATAGTAAATGTGTAAAATATTGACAAATGGTTTTTGTAGGATATAATTAAAGTCAAAGGAGATTGCTCAAATTGGCCTAAATGCATAAAAAATATTGACATACACGGTAATTCTTGGCGTAATTTATAATTTAATTTACAGTCATTAGATTTCAACGGACACCTTTGTATAATATATTTACTTTAAAAAGGACTTTTAATTTTACCGGTTTGGAAAACATACGAATTATTTTTAATGGCTATGGGTGTAGTAACATTCAGCCAAAGACTGATCGAAGTTGTTTATATAACATAAAAACAAATCTATTTTGTTAAGATCGATAAGATAAAACATTTTTTTTATTACACTGTGGTATTAATATCCACAATTATATTATCATTTTCACTAGATACAAATGTGCTTAGACAATTATTATAGATGGTAGGCGACATCATAAAGTCTATTGCCATACATTTTTCGCCAAACACCTCCATAAACACATTATAATTTGTATATATGTTAGACTTTAAGGTATCTATCTATGGGCCTACGTTCCCTGACTATAAATTAATAAATAAATAAAATTGTAAGGTGTGATACACAAAAAATCTAAAATATGGTTATCTTAAAAACATAACAAAAATAATGAAGCTACTGAATATATGGCTATAGAATCTAAATCTCTTAGCTTTTTTGGTTAACGAGAGTTTAAAAATTCTCTCTAATCTGTGGCTCATTCACTGATTGTGAACACACAGTTTCTGTCACTGAGTACCTACCTTATTATAACCGGAAATAACACCTGATTTTAAAAGTTACTCTTATGCATTAACTTTAAAAACAGGCAACTATCTGTTAATCTACATGCTCTATATACCTGAATCTAATCCATAATTTCGGTACTTGGCTTGATTTCCCTAGTTTACTATATAACTTATTTCTTTTTTATTATTTTAATATGTTCAGTGTATTATGGTTTATAGACATACAAACTTGCACATTAATTATAACATTAGTAACATGTTTGTCTTTTATGTATTTACATTTTGGATTTTATGTACCTTTGCGACCTCAGAAACGTTATAAGAATATACTTTAAAAAGTGCTTTAAAATCATCAAGTATATTGTCACTGGACCCTGTCTTCTACTAGGGACTTTGTAGTAAGATTCGATTTCTTCTGTGACGGCTCCTTTGAGAGTTAGCCAACGTCCAATTGTCCAGTGTATGTGCTCTTAAATAACTTGTCTAGGTTTGTCCATTAAAATAAACTAGCTTCCTCCTGCGACTTTGTCCTCGTTAACTTTTATCGCTTAGAACCTTCTACAAAGTATGAAACTTAAAAAAAAAAAGAAATGACTGTAATCGGTAAAGTCGTTTTCAAGTTATGGCGCATAGCGTGACCAAGGAAAAAGGGACTCATTATTATATATAGGGATTTAAACTTTTAGAAGGACGCAGTCGGGCAGCTTCCGGCTTTGTAGTCAACTATTTCTAAAGCTTGATACTTTATATACGTATATTTTCGCTTTTCGAGTGCTTCAATGTTCAACTTTCGAAAATCACGTAACACAATCATATAGAGATATATTAATACACTGAAACCCTATATAAGTGGGTATTTATGTATCGCAAGAAAACATTTCAACAACAAGTAGTTCAATTGAATATAGTCGTATATCACGGCTCGTATTGTTAAAAGAAATAAGACTTTATTGAGCAGACAAAATTGTGCAGACTAGAAAATGTTTCCATAAACAAAACACTTGTTGGCCGTCCGTGGAGAGGAATGGGCTAGTTTGTTATATTGATCGTCCCGGCTACCAGGAAGGGAGCTACACGCAAAATTAATAGTTAAAACTTTGCTTCTGTGCGCTCCAGATATGTAGACGTTTTGTTTATGTAATAACATGAATCGTTTTAATAATTACGTAATACATACATGTATGTATTTTCTTATTCATAATACGAATGAAAATTTAAATCTACAGATTGATATTTGTAGAAAAAGCTGATAAAAAAATGGTTTTAAAGCATTTTTTTTTCGGAAATCAGTTCAGGTCGCCGTAAAAGTGTATTGATAAATAAGATGGTTTCGGGAATTATTTTGGAGGCGTTTAGTTGGAAACACTCATTGTCAAAATTTGCGCTTAAGAACGATTCATGTGTACACAAGGGTTACTGACAGACGCATTTGAACTGCACGTCGGTTACAAAATTGCAGTTTCAATGTAGTTGCATCCCCAACTGCTAACCGGCTGAGTAGTCTACTTGCAACTTGCGCTAGCTTACACCATGTTTATAAAGAAGGACTTACTATACGTCTTGGGTATCACACCTTAAAATACTGTGCCTATCCCACAATGATAATTCCGGCGTTTGGTATCCAGCGTGTAACTTAATCTAAGGCAATTAAAAGTTTCTCCCTCTACGTTTGGTTCCAAATCTTTTTCAGTTCAGCCGTTCCAGCGTGATTGAGTAGAAAACAGATAGAAATGTTCACATTTATGATATTATTTCTGGAATGAGATTCTCATTATTGCATTATTGACCATACTGTATCTAGTTGTTTTCGTGATGGTGGTTACAAAATGTAAACCAAAACCAAAGTATTAAATATTTGTATATCTAAGTAAGTACCTACTGTGCCGAAATTATTTAACGAATTGGAAATAGCCAATTTTTTAGAGCAGTAAACATTATCTGATTCAAATATTTGCTCAGAACTCGATGCCAATTTCATGGTATATACTCTGAATTTGTTCAGATTTATTTTAGTATTGATGACGTAACCTATTATATTTTGAAGTGTTATGATGACGTGTACACTTACCGAAATTACTGTTTGTAATAAATCAACGAATTTTCATTGAAAGCTGTAGGCAAACGAGGGAACAGTAAAATGAACTAAACACGAGCGTTTGCTTAACTGACTGCGCCAGGAGAATAATTATGGATAGTAGAATATCCGAACCTACATCGACCATCACTGAGCTGATAAAAATAAAAAAATAGTCTGTCCAGGATTTTTTTAGGCAACCCATTTTGAATATATTTCCTAATATACTAAATTCTTGATAAAATATGTTTCATTCTATTACCAGCTCGGTGAAGGTCGATGTAGGTTAGTATCTTAGACTAGGAGAGAGATTGCAAGAAGTGAAGAAAAAATATTAATTTGTTTCTTAAAAACAGTGATGTTCACACACTTAATACAAGAAACAAAAATAAACTAACTTTACCTGCTACTACACAAAATTAATAATCCATTTAAAGGTCTTTGTGTTCGCTTATACAATAAAGTGCCAAGCAATATCCAACAGTTAACCATAAATAAATTCAAAGATAATATAAAAAAAAAACACTTATTAAAAAGCTTATTACAAAGTGTCTGATTATATTACAGACAAAAATGCTTAAGTTCAAACTGTTCCAAACATTCCAACAGGTTTTCTATATTAAATAAATCATGATTGTATTGACATTGTAAAAACAATGATTTGTAAATGTTGTTACATTATACTTTTAATGATGTGAAGTTTTTTTCGCTCGTTTTTCTCCGCAGCTAAAAAATATGTCCAATAACGAGTGGTAGGAAAAAAAAGTTTGGACTATTCAAAAGTGTTGTAGTATACATCCATTTTGAATAAAGATATATTGATTTCTTGATTTCTGATTTCTAAAATTTTCATGCAAAGAATATCGAAAGTCAGCCCTACAAACACTGTAGGGCCATGTTGGAATCGTTAGTATTTCTATATTTTTTTTTGTGTAGTAAATAAGTGGCAAACAAGCATAATGACTCTGATGGTAAGCGGCCACCATAGACTATAGACGCTTACAATACAAAAATATCCCTTACGCCGTTGCCTACCCTGACCTAATCCCCTACCCCGTGGAGCCCTGGAACCTTACTCACTGACATAAACACAAAACCAGCAAAAGTTTGTGTTATTTTAATGAAATCTTCTGTGAGGTGGAGGTTACTTCCTCAGATCACGCGCTCCAATTCGAGCGGGAAATTCGCCCTACCTTTTAATATTTGATGATATTTTATTATTGGCAGTGGATACATAGGCAGTCCTTATGCTTTATATGATGATATAATTAATAATAATGTATTTTATTAGGTCCCGAAACTCCCATATTCTATCTAATTTTAAATCACCCTGTTTATAAAGTGCGGTACGATAGTTGATTTTTTTTTACAGAATTTCTCTTACCATTCTTGTTTTAACGGCAAATAATAAAATTTAACGAGTTAAAAGGGAACCTTAAACAAAATGAAGGTAATTTTTTTTGGTCGACCTAGTGTTGAAACCCTCCGTCTACAAGACCGGTTTTTTTTATAACCACACCCTTTTTTTGTTTAATTTTATTTCTTTTTCACCAATGGATTCATAGGACTTTGTAAATTTTAACGTTGTGTTTAACTATAAAAAGCCTAATGTTCAAAGCCCGTAGGCTGTAGCACATACTTACATTGTTAGAAACAAGGTTTCAATATTATTTTGCATTAAGTTTTGCTGTAAAGTTACTTTTACTAGGCGTCTGGAATTTTGTGTCAGATAAATTTATGATGCTTATAAGGCTTTTAGAAAAACTATATTACGTTTCTTGATTTTGTATTATGTGATAGCATTTTACTTTTAAGTAGTAATTAAATGCTGCCTGAATGAATCTTGAAGGCAATTGGTACATTTTTAAACAATTTTTCTTTAAATAATAATTCCCCATTATAAAAAAGTGAGGCTCTCCTGTGAAAAGAAGCCGAATAGAAGTGTCAATAGGAGTAGATTACAGACGCATTTAGAGAAGTAGGAAATAAATTTTAATTTTGACTAAGTTCATGCCTGACAATTTCTTTAACAATTGAATAAGACAATATGTGATTATGAAGCATTTAAGTAATTTGACGTTTCTGAGTAAGGCTCATGCTCCTTAAGTGTAATTAATTTAGCATGAAAATCCTCAAAATATAGACATCGCAAGTATCCAGCAGTAAAGATTTTTTTTTTGTAGAGAAAAGAAATAGAAAAAAAATAACGATTTTTTTCAGGCTTTTATTAAGCACCGCGTTGCGTACTTAATGCCTACTAGAGAATTAATAAATGCATACATTATTAATGGCATTATAGGAGCTGTTCGGCTGCTATCGTTGAAGTTAAGCAACTTTCGAAGATTTTGATCTTGGATGGGTGAGCAAATATTTAATATCTCGAGCTCTTCGTAAGACGTGTTAAGCCACAGCTCCCGGTTGCATCTGCAGTCGTTAGCACCCACCAATACGCACAAGGCCCGCGTGGTGGATCATGATCCAATCTCCCTATTCCATCCATAGTGAAGGCCTGTACCCCAACAGTGGGGTATTCACCACCACCAATGTAATGTTATAATATTAACCAAAGTTTACTTGTTATAATGAATCATCGTTGTTCATTTAGCAGCAGCAGCTGCCGCGGCCGCAGCTGCAGCCGCTGCCGCATCCGCCTCCGCCTCCACCACCATATCGGCGGTATCATCCTCCGTGTCCGCCACTGAGATCAAGCGCGAGATCGAGGACGACCGCCCCAAGAAACGCACCTCCATCATGTCGCCGGACGACGACAAACTGCGCGCCAAGAAGAAGATGACGGTCCGCTTTCAGGACGATAGCAAGATGGAAGAACGCGAGCGGCCCAACAAGATCACTTCCCCTGGTAAGTCAGTTTTATATGCTACTAGCTGACCCAGCAAACTTCGGACCGCCATAAAAATAGGGGCAGGTGGTAAAAGAGAAAATTTAGGGTTGTATGTATTTTTTAATAGCACATTATAAAAAAATATTGTCCAAAAAAAATTGGGTGTGTAACGTAGTCTTTTATCAATTTCCTGGGATAACATTCCTCATAACCCATATGAGAACACTACGTTACAATACCCAGTAATTAGAATTTTGGCGCGAAGGCGTATTGTAGGTTTCAGAACACTATGTTATAGGTGGACAACCATTATCACATAAGGATATGAAAAATAGATAATAGCCGATTCTCAGACCCTCGAAATATGCATAATATAAAATTTCATAAAAATCGGTCAGGCCGTTTCGGAGGAGTATGGTAACTAACATTGTGACACGAGAATTTTATATACATATAAGAAGAACCTTAGATACCTTTTTGACACTAGCGCACCTTCGGCTGGGAGTATAAGTTGTTTGGCGGTATGAAAAATAATTATTGGCATGTGTATTAAATTAAACATGAATATTGGGAGCGATTACACTGATGAGTATCTAGTTGATAATATTACTAAAAATCATGAAATGAAAAGTATTTTTGATCTATTGTCGTAGGTTGGCGGAGGCCAAAATGGCATCACTTGCCGTGTGAGGTCACATGCCTGTCGCCATATTTACTAGAGAAACGATACATAACATATTTACTAGAGAAACGATACCGCAGCATATTTGAAAACATAATTTTTATTTTCGCCTTTTTACTGATATACGCAACAGAATTCTAAATAAGTATCTACATTCTATAAAGTCACTATACCCTAATAACTAATGTATGAAGGTTTTCAAAAACTTGACGAATAGCCTATCATATCTGTTGCAAATGTTATATCGTGTGATTCAACATTCTTTGAGCCTATATGATCTTGTTTGGGAATATTTTACATCCAGGATGTCAACTCATCTCCTAAAAGTTTCCGAAGCTACTGGTTCCGTTGACATTCAATCGGCAAAACGGAACCCTTATAGGATTACTAGGTTGTGTGTCTGTCACAGTCGATCTGCTGGAATCTTCTGAACCAATCAAGTTGAAAATTGGTAGATACATACATGTCTGTGAAACGCACGAATAAAGTAAAATCCGAATATGAAGGTCACTTTTGGGGGGTGAATTAGAAAAATAGAATTTTAATTTTGGTAACTGTACCGCGTTCTATATCAAATAAATAGGGCTCATTGTGAATGATCCAAACGTATTTTTTTACAAATGTAAATTGAGTAAATATGTAGCTCAAAAATTTATTTCAGAAAATATTTGAAAACTGACCTGTCGTCAACCCCTTATCCCCCAAACTATAGCGTTTAAAATTTTGAAAAATATTTTTTATCTAGCATTTTGCTTTTAGATTACAGGAAAACTTATAAGAAGTTTTTAGCGGCCTGGTCCGCGTGGATTTTTTTCTAGTAAAACTTTTGTTAAGTTTTTAGTAGTTAAAATAAAATGAATATTTATGGGGGGCTTCCACACAACAGACGTGATTTTTTTGCCGCTTTCGCTTGATCTATACATATAATAAAACGGTAGGAAAGTCAATACTGTACATTGAATATTTTTAAGAGAAAATTTGAGGTGTGATCTACAATCGATACCGAATCGATATGGTTTTTAGATTTTTTGTCTGTTTGTCTGTATGTATGTCCGGGGATAAACTCAAAAAGTACTGCATGAATTTACTTCAAATTGGGTACTAATATTATTAAGAAGTCGGGTCAATATATAGGCTACTTATTATCACACTATCACCTCCTAAGGGGGTAATACGAGGGTTGGAAGTTTGTATGAAAGTCCTATGTTTTTGAAGTAAGAGTCTTGAAAAATATAACTATTTTTAGATTTGTTTGAAACACTGCGTTATATAAATAAGTTCTTTTTGTAATAACAAGTATTAATCATACCCTGAACAAATAACGCTCAATTGTTAAGTAACGAAATAGAAAAAAAATAACGATTGCTGCTATCGAAAATATTGATTATTCCGACCGACATAGAAGGGCGTGACGCGTGACGTATGAGTCAGAAAATAGTAACAGAAATGCTTAAAAAAACGAGCGAGCCTTACAGTAGTCGTGTATGATGTGTAACATTAAAAACCTCACCTAATATTAGTAAAAAAAAGAAATATAACCTACTACAAAAGGAATAAGCCATTTGAACATTATGTTCTAAAATCAAATCAAATAGCGCGCGCTTTCGCGACATCATGTTACACACTTCTGTCCCATTTCACGAAATCACTCCCACAAATTGCAGGAAAGCGAGAGGAAAGATGTTACACATCAAAAATATTTTTAAAAATGCGTAAGCGTCGTGGAGCACTCTGTAGGAACGAAGTTAAAAATATTAAGGAGAGCCATAACCTCTTTTACAACTATAACCAAAATTAAAAATGCAGTCTAGTGCGGTCATAAGTTTAATAAGTACTTTTTCGAAATCGAATACTTGATGTCAACAAAACACAGATAGGTTATCATAAAGGTTTGGTTAAGCGAACAATAATAATTAATATTAATTGGTATTCATCATTTTATAAATTTTCATTATTATTACTTTCTGTTAAATATTCATAACGTATCGTTAATTACGACTATGTTCTGTGAAAGTAAGAAGTAAATACATTTATATTTGATCAGATAATTTCATTTCATATTTATACCACCGACAAGTTTGCAGCACTTTATTAAATTTACAATAATATTAAGATTTGGTAAACTGCCAACACACTCCCTGAATATAAAACTTGATTTATAAATAATAAAAAAAAATGTATGTCCTTAAAATCGCTTATAGAAACCTGTTATTTTTACTTAAAGGTATTTCCACCGGAACATATTTTGAATAAAAAACACATTAATTATAGTCTTGTTAACTTTATCAAGTAGGCACTCGTGATATTATAATAATAAAAAAACATGTATAGGTAGTATGTTTGGATGTATAGCTAATTTTGTAGGCGCGGCTTTAAACTGTACTAAAATGTTTTACTTTAACATTTTATTTTAGTAGCTGTTCCTACACACGACACGGTATCTACTGTAAAAATATTATTGGTAAATAAATTTGAGAGAGGCAGGGCATAGCGGATTTCACGCTTGAACTGGAGCGCCTACCTGGGGAAGTAATCTCCGCCTTACAGATGATCACAGTAAAATAAAATAACATTTTAGTGCTGATGTGTTTATGTTGGTAATTAAGGTTGGGGATTGGGTCAGGGTTAGGGTCACCATCCGTCCGGATTTGACCGGACATGCCCGGACTTTTTGCCTCTTATCCGGACTTTCTCTGGCTTTTTAATTGGTCCGGATTTTTTTAATTAGATGGAATATGAATAAAACTTCTTATTAAGTTATATCAAATAAGTCAAATAATCTTTATTAAGTTCTCATTAATTTAGAACTAAATATAAATCATCTTTAAAAATCAACAACGAGACCCCGCTCGTGATGCGAGCGTCTACTGTCACGCGTATAATATCACTGTAACTAAGTGGGTGGTGTTTGCATTTTGTAACTAAAATGTCGGGACTTTTATCGAATTGTCCGGCTTTTTGTCAGGACTTTTCAAATTTTCAAATAGTAACCCTAATCAGGGTAGGAAACGATGCGATTGATATTTTTTGGTATTGCAAGCGTCTATAGTCTATACACTATGGTGGCCGCTTGCCATCAGGCGCGCCGTACGCTCGTTTATCACACTTTTATCATAAAAAAATATTGGTAAAAAATCACAGAGATTGAATCAATAGCGACTATTATATTTATTCGCAGTAAATATATTGTTGCGTTTATTTCAATTATGTATGACGCTGTAAGTGACCTTACTAAACATTACGCAATATCATTTAACAACTGTATATTATTTTAGTATTAAAAATATATTCGAATTCTATTGAAGATTATTTTGCGATAGGTTTTTCCAGATTTCAATACACCGCACCAATATAATATGTGAACTACATTAATTAATCGATTAACAATAAATTATTCTTCAATAATATCTTTCAATATTTTTGTTACAATTATTTATTATTACAAGATTTGTTTTCTGAACCTTGTTTCGCAAACAATAAGAGTAGTTTTGCTTGTACAATGCTGTGGGCATTTCAACGCCGATTTCGCCCACTCATATTTTGACAAGTGATTACAAAATCGCTTGAAATAATAGTTGATTTATAATGTTATCTAAGATAGAAACCAAGGTCAAGCATAATAATATTCATTTATTTGTCAAAATCACGAATATTGTTGTTCGGGTTCGAATTTGTATTTTAATAATATCCTTTTTTATAAATAAAATGAAAAAGTAAAATGTTCGGAGTGCGCTTCCTAAAATAAAAATATGAAAACAACACGATGCTAATAACCGAAAAGCGACGCCATTTTGTTTCGTTTCACACGTTTAAAATAAATTTTATTTTAAGGGAAGTGACACATGTCCCCAATTTAATTAAAAAGGTTATATAATAATAAAATATAAAACACGCTATAATAGCACTTAAAAATCGGGCGATCAACCACTCATAATAAAACCAGGAATCTCCATAATGATTACGATTTTTTTTTGTTTTTTTTTATACTCCAATTAGCCTAGCCCCAAAGTAAGCACTGTAGGCTTGTGTTATGGGATACTAGGGTAACGGATGGAATACATATACTGATACATATATAAGTATATTTATATGAAATACATATTAAACATACAAATGCTCGTATTCATCATACAAACATCTGCCCCCACCGGGATTCGAACCCGGGACCTCTCGAGTCGGCGTCACCATGAAACCCGGCTTACAAACCACTCGGCCACGGAGGTCGTCAAATTAACTGAAAACATTATAATAACTCCTTTTAATTTAAGTAAAATATTTCATATCGACATTTTAATTTTTAATTATGATCCATAAAACTGCTTTGATATTACAATTTACGAGCTCATTTTAAAATATTCCTGTTATTGTGATAGTGAATTGTTATTTTTAAAATGAAGGCGTCGATTATTGTATTTATATATATATACTCCCTACATTTGCAAATATAGTTTTTGTTTAAAATTACTTGTTGTAATTTTATGGAATCAAAACGTTCCTTTGTGCTCTTACTCATACTTGTAAATTGTATTTTTAAATAAAATGTTTACATTACGGCGTTTGTTTTGTTACGTACTATATACATAATGTTATAATACTTTATACAAAGACTTGACTCAGTACCTACCTCACGTGCGTGTTTTTTAAAACCAACATTTCTTTATCGTGGTTATTATTATTAATTACATCGACATCACTAGATACTTATTTAGTGCTGCATTACATAACCAACGTGTTACTTAATTAAGAGAAAATCAACTGTCTGTTTACATATTGCAAATCCGAAGTTTGGCTCTTGACGAATTCCTCCTTGAAAATTAGTTTATGTAAAAGATTTTTTACACAAAGAATAATAAGTAGTTATACTATGCCTCTATGTTTTGATTTTTCTGTAAATGCTTATTAAAACTCCACTCTAGATGTCTTTAGTGGTGATGAAAATTAGTTTATTTTTGGCCTTTTTCGACGGCTTCCAGTACCTACCTTACGTGCGTGTTTTTTAAAACCAACATTTCTTTATCGTGGTTATTATTATTAATTACATCGACACCACTAGATACTTATTTAGTGCTGCATTACATAACCAACGTGTTACTTAATTAACAGAAAATCAACTGTCTGTTTACATATTTTTTTTAAATAAATTCTGTTGCAATATCTCGGTGGCGCAGGTGGTTAGCGCTTTCGGCTGCGATCGTTGAAGTTTTTCTATCTCGAGTTCCTCTGTGCTTCGGAAGGCACGTTAAGCTGTTGGTCCCGGCTGCATCTGCAGTCGTTAGCACCCGCCAATCCGCACTGGGCCCGCGTGGTGGATTATGGCCCAATCTCCCTATTCCATCCGTTGGGAAGGCCTGTACCCCAGCAGAGGGGTGACATTAATAGGCTGATTGGTACGTTTAGGTTGTGGCTATAAACTATGAAATATATTTCCTATTTACGGCATCATGGGTGTTACATGTATGTGTAAAATTCTTTGGTTATTTTTAAACTAAGATCAAATATGTTTTGTATACATATGTTTTCGCCATAATATATTACTTGCGCAGTACCAACATGCCTACATGACAACATTCCTATTGATAGTTATCTTTATTCTCTTTGTCTATAATAATTTTATCAAGTAATATAATTTACTATAATTTATTGATAAAATTATTATATTTCCTAACTATATTTTCCACGTTTTCTACAATGGTGTCGATTCTGGCACGATTCTCTAAATCTAAACTTAAATTTGACAACAGTTTTTCCTTGTCATTCTCTATACAGAATGAAAAAGAGAGACTGATGTTAAATTTAGTTTTAAGTTTAGAGAATCACGCTAGAATCGACACCAATATTGTAATTATTTAGTTTACTTGCTTATGAATATTGTTCCAATATCAGTATGTACAATTTGTTAATTTATAATAACCGACTTTATTTAAGTGATATTTTTATAAAGTCAAGATTAAAGTAATATTTTATTAACTACACGATTATTGACAGTTTTTAAATCGCAAACTAAGTAGGGCTTATACTTATTATGGCGCAATTACACTTGATCGTTAACCCGAATACGAGTGCCAAGGGTATTCGGGTAAATGAACGGAGTCGAGTAGGTACGACCGTATTCGGAGAATTTTCGTTACACCGTCTTCCAGCCCGTATTCCAGTGTAAATATTGCCTTATTAATTCGAGTAATGTCTTCCGTGCACCCCTAATACGGCCTAACGACCAAATGTAATTGCGCTATTATGCATACTAAATAAGGTATAAATGAGTATTAAAATAAAGAAAGCTTGATTCTTGATTCGGAAACAAAAACAAAACACTCCACAAACTTGAAAATGGTACTACTACTTGAGTACTACCTAAAGAATTTATAAAACAAAACACTCGCTTCTGTTGCACCGCACCGGCCACGCAAAAAGCGGAGTGCAGTTTTTCTATCGAAAATGAACTTAGGTTGGTTTGTTTCGTTCGCACAAATAGAATTTTATAATGCAATCGCGTGGTACTCGCGAGACAACAATGGCCCGCCCCGCAAGATGATAATTCACTATAATTTCCTTTCGCGGCAATTTCGCACAATCATAACTAACGCTGCAATGGCATTGTATGTAGCGTTATGAAAATAAATATTTTTTAATATCACTGGTAGGTACATCATTGTTTTTAAATTGAGAATTTTTAATTTATAGTGACTTTAGAAGAGTCCTGCTTACAGAAATTCAGATGTTGGAATTTTAAACCATAACAAAAAGGGAATAAATATGTTGAACTACTAAAAGAATTCAACATCATTGTTTTTAAATTGAGAAATTTTAATTTATAGTGACTTTAGAAGAGTCCTGCCTACAGAAATTCAGATGTTGGCTTTTTAAACCATAACAAAAAGGGAATAAATATGTTGAACTACTAAAAGAATTCATGCCTTGTATAAAATGATCTTAAGAGCGGACGCGAGCTGAGAGCCATTTGAGAAATAGGTATTTGAAAAAGCTATTGCTGTCACGCATTGGCAAATCCCGTGTGATGGGACAACAGTAATTAACGCTTGAATTGCCTATAAATATTGCAAATTCGAGGTTTGGCTCTTGACGAATTTCTCATCGAAAATCTGATTATGTAAAAGAAATTTTACACAAAGAATAATAGGTTATAATACTATGCCTCTATGTTTTGATTTTTTTGTAAATGCTTATTAAATCTCCGCTGTAGACGTCATTAGTGGTGATAAAAAATCGTTTATTTTTGGCCTTTTTCGAGGGCTTCCAGTTTCTTTGAAACATAAGTTATTGAAAAAAGGAAGACATAGGAGCATAGAATGAGTAAATTTATATTTTATGTATGAAAATCAATTCTTTAGTGATAAAAATCAATTAGGAATCAATTAGTTTGTATGGAAAAAACATAGCGCGCCTCCCCTCTTAAGCCTAAACCACACGGCGAGTTTTGTTGGAAATATAGATAACTCACGCGCATTTATATTTTACTAAAAACAACCAAAATCTAAAGAAAATATAACTAGAAAAAATTCCACGCGGACCAGGCAGCAGACGGGACTCGAACCCGCACCCTTCGCAATCCGGGCGAATGCACTGACCAATTATGCTACCGCGGCCCTCACGGACCGAGTCGAAATTCTCTCTAGCTATTCTTAAGCTGCAAGCTAGCTATTCTTAAACATCAAGCAGTTACATGCTTTAAAAATAATAAAAATTATAAAAACAACCAGCCAAAATAAAACGAATCGAAAATATTTATCAATATTATTGTCATATTTATATCATGACCCGTCTCTTTGTTACAGGCGCTCCCAATAGCGACTCAGGCAGGGAGGAGACCAACAAAACTGGGAGCATTAAAGTAGTTCAGCTGTCTGTACTGCAGAAGAGCACCAACAACGAGCATGACGATTCAGATGGTGAGGGTAATGACGAAACACTTTACTTTTATACTGGTGATTCGGGTACAGGTGTTAGCGTAGCATGCAATTGTATTTTCAATTTCATTATATTATTTTATAATACATAGTTCATTCCATACCTAAGTTACAGACAATTTACGTCCGCTTTTTACAATAAAAATATTTTATGAAAAGTCGTCAATCTGTGTTGTTCCTGCTTGTAGGTTTTTGGAGATTTCAACCTTCTCCGCACATAAATATTGTTGTCGCTTGACACATTCACTATATTTGTAACCGCTTTGTTTAGCTGATTACAAGCAGCCACAAATCTATAGAAGTTTGCGATGCCAGAGTATTATCACTCGCTTTTTGCCTACCCTCTCAACAGCACCATCTTTGGTCTCTCTCTCTCTCTCTCTATTTTTCTTTCTTACTTTTAATCTGTTATTAACATTAACATCACTTCACATCATCACATAAGTGCAGATTATATGGATGCTGATGTAAATGAAGAATCATTAACACGAAACTAATACCACTTAACGTAACTGCTATGTTATTAAAGCTTATTGGCTAAGTTTTTTTTTTGTGTGCTAAAAACTATATTTATATTTGTTTCTTAGGTTTTCACGCACATCACTCATTAAAGGTAGCTCGACAAATTAAATAAAAGTTTTATTCTGACGACGAAGCCTGTAAAGGCTACGAAACGTCAATAAATAAATAAAGTTTCGTGCATTAACCCGTAAAAACTAGTTTTATTTAACTATATTTATTTTAATTTTTTTTTTTTTGAAAATATCCAATTTTTTCAGTGGATCTTATTCCTTTGATCCTTATTCTTTATTTAACGTAACATGATTATTTGCTTTTTATTAAAACACAAACATTCTTAAACTTTATTGTGACACATTGTTCTTTAATTTGACAAGCTATAATTTGGATGGTATCACATTATAGTCGATGAATTGGCAGAGAAACCGGGCAACAAGCACAACCTGGAGGACGACGAAGAGACCGACTCCAGCGGTTCAGTGTCGGACTCGGCTGTCAACGATTCGCAGGAAGGCCGGCCGCATGTTTGCGACGTGTGCGACTTGAGGTGAGTTATATTCATACATTTACAGAAAAAATTAAAACTGGGTTTAATTTAGTCAAACAACATCTTTGTTTCTTTACTCCTAAGGTTGAAAATATATATATTACATTAACTTAACATTCTTAATCCGATTGCCTTTTGGCAAAGGTCTCCCCTAGAATTCTCCAAAGCTGTTTGTCCATGGTCTTTCTACTCATGTTTCTCCTGCAGCCACTTATATTTCGTCCTCCCATCTCTGCCTTTGTCTTCGTCTCCTTTTTCCATCCCAAAGTTACCACACAGTAACATTTTAGTCCATTTAGTTGTCCTGCTTCGTATTATATGTCACGTCTGTCACACCAGTTCTAGTACTTACTTAGTACTTATCTTAGCCAGTTTTGAAAATGTAACCATGCTTTAATTTGTCAATGGAAACGGTACACTGTCTGACTCCGCTGCTAACGGCTCGGCCCTCCTGGCCTTGTGCCTTCGTGCCACGGAAAGGACATTAAGCCGTTGGTCCCGGATGCACATAGGAAGGAGATGTGGAGAATCTCAGCGATGGGATCACAAAAGGCTGATGAAGACCAATGGTCGGATTTAGAGACGTCAATTAAATTTAATATTCCCTATTCAACAGAAAAAGTAACATTTATTGCAATTTTTTATATGAATTTATTCACAGAAAAGAGAGTAGAGCTCTTTTTTTTCCAACGCCAGGTCTCCAGAAAAAGCTTTTTGAAAACATTCGACAAAAACCACATACACTCAACTTTGTTTCTGAAACATGTTTCTCTATAAACGACGTCTACTGCTCACGTGGCTGTCGTACACTAAATACACAGGACTGCGCTCAAAAAGTGCCAGGTGCAACAAATGTCAATTTTGACAAAAGTTTCGTACATTTTATGTCAAAATTTAAACATCAAGAGAAAAGTTGTATTCGGCGCGTAGGTCTGGAAGCTAGACCCCGCTAGCGAGTTATCAAAAAAATGGCCGATGAAACAATACCGTGCCCCTCGACCCGTGCGGGGAGATTTGTGTCCGTGTTTTCCATCAGGAACGTCAAGCAAAATTTTTGGTTATGCAAACTATATATAGTAATACAAAGTTTTGTGTATGTGATTTTTTGGAATGTTGATATGTTTTTGTTGATTGTGTAGGGCAAAGCACGCGCTGAAGACCCGGCTTTAAAGAAAACTATGTTACTGTCATTGACTAAAGTAGGGGATTTTTTTACAGTGTAATTACCTCCACTAATGACAGAAAAGTCTGTAATAGAGTATTATTATCTCTTCTTCACATAATGCCGGCGGCACTAGCCTCCATTCTATCGTTGAGCGACACGTGCCGCCGGCTATTGCAGCGCATCCGGGCTGCTGGCACATGCCTCAGAAATTAGTAAAAAGCCGTTGAGCATATCATTCCAGTTGTGTTGTCACGCTAGTAACCCACATTGCACGCCCGTACCCGGGTAGGGTAGCCATGCCGGCGGCTCCTTGAGCCGGTGGCTTTTTTAGCTCGGGGGCCGCGGCCCGACTGATGTTGGTCGGGCATTGTATATATGGAGTGTTAGCATCCGAATTTTACTTGCGCGATGTGGGCTTCCATACGTATTTTTTTTATTATTAGTATAGTATTGTTCGCAATGTAGGTAGCGCCATCTATTGAGGAGGCGAGTAATGATTTCCTCCATCCGTTGGATATATGTGGGGCATATAGATACCGCCGCCACATGTAGAAGCCATTACTACACTTCCGGACACATTTATCGGCCCACTCAGCATTTTAAGTTTTGACAGTCCCTAGCTACACATAAATGTTAAATTGAGCAAAAAGTTATAATAACCTTTGCAGTTTTGAAGCTAATTTATTAACCATCTTTTCGTATAATTTTGCTACAGACCGTTGATTTTCCAACCCTAAGCGGGCCGATAGTTTTGCCCGGAACTATATATCTGTGTAGGCCATCCTTTAGTTGCCGCCCAAATGGGTAGAATTGAAACGGTGTATGATTTGTCGCAGGTTCCAACGCTCGTCGCACTTGTCCCGCCACAAGCTGACCCACACGGGCGAGCGGCCCTTCACGTGCGGCGGCTGCGGCCGATCTTTCGCGCGCTCCGACAAGCTGCGCGTGCACACCAAGATATGCGAGCGGGTGAGTGCCGCGCGAACACTATCTAACAATACTACGGTAAGGATCAAAACAATAGGGTATTTGACATCTGACTGATACAGTGATCTATCAACGCACAGCCCAAACCACTGGACGGATCGGGCTGAAATTTGGCATGCAGGTAGATGTTATGACGTAGGCATCCGCTAAGAAAGGATTTTGATCAATTCTACCCCCAAGGGGATAAAATAGGGAATGAAAGTTTGTATGAAACTTTGTCGAAAAACTTGACTTTGAAGAATCATAGATGAATTGCGTATAATACAAGCCTGAGAACAAAAACTGTAGTCTACACTTCAGCTCTCAGAGGGAGGGCCACTAGTTAAAAATAAAGTGCCAATTGTTAGCTGTTTAGAACTATTTAGTTTAGAGCTGTTAGCTGTTTTGTCTGTGTTTAGAATGAATGTAGGCAGGGGTTTTTACTATTTTTACAAAAAAAAATCATAATTTTACTAAAAACCTTTGTCACGTGACCCAAAACGCTTGGGATTGGCGGAGCCTAAAATGACGTCACACGCAAGTCAACTTCCGGTTAAAGTGACATTACATTGTATCGTTTGACGTTTTAATGACAGTCCTGTGACGTCACACACTAGTAAGACCTGTCGTCCAGAGAAACGTTTTCGCGGCAACTTGAAAATGGAGTTTTTGATTTGGTTATTTTTACTGAAATACACAACAGAATGATGAATATCCACTTTTTACTGAATCCATAAACATTAGTGAGATCGTTTTCTAAAACTTGTCAAATACCCTATTTAGGGCAGCTCTTCAAAAATCTTGCCCCTGTCCTTAAACGCAAAACTTTCTTTTCGGCTATTACTCGTCGGTATTCGGTTAGATTTCCTTTTGTTTATCCGACACCGAGGACCTGAGGAGCTTGAGTGTGCAGGTGGTTAGCGCGTTCGGCTGCGATCATGGAAGTTAAGCAACTTTTGCAGTGGTCGGTCATTGAATGGGTGACCAAAAATCTTCTATCTCGAGTTACTCCGTGCTTTGGAAGGGACGTTAAGCCGTTGGTCCCAGCTGCGTCTGCAGTCGTTAGCACCCGCTAATCCGCACAGAGCCCGCGTGGTGCACCATGGCCCTATTTCCCTTTTCCATCCATAGGGGAGGCCTTGTGCCCCAGCTGTGGGGTTATTAATAGGCTGATGATGATGACCGTACACCGTCTTCCAGTCCGTATTCCAGTGTAAATATTTCTTCGGATGCCCGAATTCGAGTAATGTGTTTCGTGCACCCGAATACGGGCTAGCGCTCAAATAAATTGCAGCACAATCGCGCCATAAATAAGAAAATAAAGATCCGTAGGTATCCGCCGATCTTGACACTAAATATTTTCGGATCCGTATCCGCGGACATACACTTAACTTATCCTAATACCGTATTACTTCACAGGAGGACCCCACCGTGGACATGACCAACGACCCTATAACCAAACGCGAGAATAGTTCGGAAGTGATGTCCGGCATGGTGAGGAGCACGCATCGCGAGTCTGGCCACCTGGTGTTTACCGCCAGTGGGGACGTGATGCTGCCTCCGAGGTAATATAGACCTTAATACTGTAGGCAGTAAGACTAGTAGTCCTTGCATGAGAGATTACTGTGCTAGTAAGGTGTTAGGCTGCCTCCAAAGTAATATAGACCTTAATGCTAAAGACAGTAAGACTCGTATCACTTGCGTGTGTGTATGAGAGATAACGAAGTGCTAGTGGGGATGCCATACTGCCTCCGAGGTAATATAGACCTTAAAACTGTAGACAGTAAGACTAGTATACCTTGTATGTGTTTATGAGAAATATCGAAGTGCTAGTGGGGATGACATGCTGCCTCCAAGATAATATAGACCTTAATACTGTACACAGTAAGACTAGTATCTCTTGAATGTATGTATTAGTGATAATGAAGGGAGAGTGATGACGGGCATCCTGTGTTCACCGCTAGTGGGGACGTGATGCTGTTTCAGAGGTAATATAGAGCTTAATACTGTAGACAGTAAGACTACTATCCCTTGAATGTGTGTATTAGTAATAATGAAGGGAGAGTGATGACGGGCACCCGGTGTTCACCGCCAGTGGGGGGCCGTGATGCTATCGCCGAAGTAATATAGACCTTAGCAGTATAGACATTGAGGCTAGTATCCAGTGCGTGTATGATTTTTGAAATACGACTTTTTTCCTTCTAACTTCCTAATCTATCTCTCTAAGCAGAGGAGAGAGTGTTTTGATTAATTTGATGTGTGGCGAGTGCAACGTTATAGCCTGTGTATCTTTTACTCCCAAAGATCTTTGGTTATATGTATCTTGGCATAGACTAGTATTATTAGGTCTAAATTCCCTTGAATGTATGAGAGATGATGATGATGAGAATCACGCCAGTGAGGACGTGATACTGCCACCGAGGTAATATAACGATCTAAATACTAAAGAATTAGAATACTTTACAAGTGTGTATGTGATAAACTACTTTTTGAAATGCTTTTTATTGCACTATTCTTCTGTGTTGCTAAGAAAGAGAAGAGAGTGCTTTGATTGATTCTGTTTGGTGTTGCAACGTCACCGCCTGTGTGTCTTCTGCTTTAAAGATGTTAATTTAACTGGTGAACACAAATATTTGTGCTCAAATTTTATCGACTGGGCAATGCTCTGCTCTGTGATCCCAGAAATCCTGGATTCAATCTCTGGTTTGATGATACCAAGTATTTGTGGCATAGTCAAGAGTTTATATGTAAATATATCAAATGACAAATGAAAAGGTCTCATGATAACTAAAATTCATGCCACTGTGACGTGATATCTTTTGTATAAAGTTTTTGGCGCGCATTCATCCAACGAGCATTTAAATAATTGATCCAGATAAGGCAACATATGCGATTTGAGTAGACCTTTCGCCTCAGTGTTGTCACGAGGGGGCCAATCGCCTAACGGGATTGCTATGACTATCGCTTTCGCTTACAATTTCTCATGCTTATTTTCTTTAATAGTTTTATTAATAATGCAAAAGAAAAAAAGAGCGCGAGGCTTTTGAAAACCTTCGGCGGTCAGAAATAACAAAATGAAATCGTAACCCATAGCAATCCCGTTAGGCGATTGTCCCGTGGCGCCCGTCATTCCAGAAAACCCTCATTACTCGAACTTTTAGAATGCCGTCTTCTTAAAACTATCTCTCTTAAGAAAAGTTAACTACAAAAAATTACGCGTGGACCAGGCAGCAGACGGGACTCGAACCCGCACCCTTCGCTATCCGAGCGAATACACTCACCATTATTCTACCGCGGCCCTGACGGCCATGTCGAATTTTCTCTAGCCTTATACTGCAAGGCAGCGCCATCTCTTCGCATTGTAGGTAACCCACAATGTCAAATGAATACCTTTACAGCTATTAAACAAAACCGGTAGGTAATTTTAGGTTACCTACAATGCGAACAGATGGCGCTGCTGCGTGTGCAGGCGCATCTGCTGCCTGGTCCGCGTGGATTTTTTTCTAGTAAACTTTTCTTTAGATTTAAACATCTAGCAGTTAAATGCTTAAAAAATAAAAACATAATATCTCTTGCTCTCCCAGGGCGCCAGTGCTCCTCAACTCGGGCTTAGAACCTGTCCGCAACGAGCTCGCACAAGGCGACCTGATGGAAACCGTGACTCCTCGCCGGGGTAGAGGCCGTCCGCGCAAGACTCCTTTGCCTCTCACGCCCAAGATCAAGAAGAAGCGAGGCCGCCCGCCCAAGACTTCGCTCGGTGAGTGTGTTCGTACCCACGACATCAGATTTATACTTTGTTTCTGCCCGCCCCTCTAGCATGAGCACCGCGATATGATATATAGCTCGTTTGTTACAATTCATTAATCTTCTTAACCGTTTTTCTTAATCGTCTACGAAAGAAGAATTTTCATTCACCTTTTTCTTATGGGTCATGAAATATGATATTTTTTCCATTTTTATAACTGACTAGAGGTCGCCCGCGACTTCGTCTGCGTTAACTTAGTTTTTTGAAAATCCCTCTGGAACCTAACATTTTTTCGGGATCAAAGTAGCCTATGTGTGAATCTAGGGTGTCAGCTAACTCCATACCAAATTTTATTGAAATCCATCCAGCCGTTTAGACGTGAAGAAGTAACAAACATACACACACACAAACTTTCGCCTTTATAATCGTGATAAAACGGGTTCTAGTCTATGAATCGAGAAATGAAACAAAATATATATTTTTACGAACATGCAATTTTCATTGACATTTTCTTAGCTGGCTGATAAATAACATTTATTTTTCATTTTCTTAGTTGTTTATTATCAATTTTAAAAATGGAAAAAATATTCTTATTTCTTAACCTGTTAGGAAAAAGTTAAAAAAAAACTTCTTTCTTAGATGGTTAAGAAAAACGGTTTAGAATATGGAACAAAGGCGCGTTTTTACTCTGCTCTGTAGGGAAGAGAACGCAAAGCTCATTGAAAACGGCGCTTCAGCCATTCGGCCCATAACAAGCAACCTGGCACTTTAACGTTTCATTCTAATTCTACGCTTCGAGTACAACTTACATTGCGTCGTCTTAATTTTGCCATAAAATGTATGAAAATTATGTCAAATCTAAGACATTTATTGCACCTGGAGCGTAGGTTTGGAACGCAGCCCAAGTCTATCGGAATTTGTCGGTTTTTATGGGCCATTCGACACGGCCTCTGGCGAGATAAATTGGCAGTTTTCTTCCCACTGTCAAATTACTATGGAGTCTGAAGTTCGACGCGTAATTTATACTGTGGCGCTCATGCTTCGGGGACTGTAGGATTTCGTTCGACGGTAAGTGTCACGCGCGCAAGATTAATCAGAAGATTTCCAATACTTCGGTGAGTCTGTTCGTACCACCAGATCGGTTATATACCCAACTCTTCAAGTATTATGTAGTCTTCAGGTATGTAATATTCTTCTCTAAAAAAGAAAAGTCTTATGCGTGCGGTGATGGCAGTTAATGTATAGTTTGTTTAGTGAATTTCTCATCGGAAAACCGTGTACTCGTCTCGCAGTAAGTAAAGTTTATAAGTCTTAAGGCGTGCAGTGACGGCAGTTGATTGTATATATATTTGGTTTTTTTTAAGTGAATCTGTAATAAAGTCTTGAGTTTACGATATCTCAATAAAGAAGAGGTGAGTTGTGTTATTGAATTATTTTGCGCTACATATTAAACCTGTTCGCTGAAGCAACAAACGGTATGAGCACGGCCTATATTATTTTAGAAAATTGCTTTTTACTATTGTGTTACTGTTAGTAGCGGCAACGAAGCGAGAATGGAATAACCAGCACCATCATAAATGAGATAAACGACGCGTGAGTACTCTCTGTGCCTGTCTAATTTGCATGAGCTAACTTAGCATACACATAACCTCTATATAACCTAACCGTAACCAGCCCGATCGTTCAGGCAAAAACTTCTAGCTTCCTAGCAATGGAGAGAGTAAGAGAGAAAGAGAGACACCCAGAACCCGAGAATCAGTCGCGTGCGTACTTCGCTAGGTGATATTGAGTGGTCTCCACAGCCGATGACGTCAAGCCGGCGTGTGACGTCAAGCCGGCGTGTGACGTCAAGCCGGCGTGTGACGTCACGCTGGTGAGTGACGTCACGACGGCGGGCGCCGACTACAATCCTGCGAGTGACGTTTCGGAGGAGATTGACGTCACGGGACCCGTGCTCGGGCTCATAGACCCGATAGAAGTGCCCGAAGACCTACTGGTTCCGCTGCCGGTGCGCAGGCCCCGAGGCCGGCCCAGGAAGCACCCGCCCCGTATCATACCCCTGGTCCCGAGAAAACGGGGCCGGCCGCCCAAGATACGCGATACCAGTAAGTTTCTTTGGATTTGGATTATGATGTCTTGATGCCAATTCGAGATTTTGTCTTTAAAAGCGGTACATTATGATACCAATTCGAGATTTTATCTATAGAAAACAGTATCTTATAATACCAATTCGAGATTTTTTCTTTAAAAGCAGTACATTATGTTACATTCGACATTTTATCTATAGAAAGCGGTACATTATGATACCAATTCGAGATGTTATCTATAGAAAGCGGTACATTATGATACCAATTCGAGATTATATCTATAGAAATCGGTACATTATTATACCAATTCCAGATGTTATCTATAGAAAGCAGTACATTATGACACCAATTCGAGATGTCATCTATAGAAAGCGCTACATTATGATACCAATTCGAGATTTTGTCTTTAAAAGCGGTGAATTAGGATACCAGTTCGAGATTTCGCCTTTTATTGATGATAACGTTAAATAGGGTTATTGAGAAGTCCCTTAAAGCTTTCAAGTTAAAAAAGACATTATAGGCGCAAATTCAGATGATAACATTTACGGTGGAATCCATAAAAACGTATGTTTTTTGTCAACAACATTTTGTCTTAAGTTAATTGCGAGTCATAATTGTTCCTGCAAATCGCAGTGACGTGCTGATAAATATCTCTTGAAATGGAATGCATTTGAACGGATACTGGGTGGATTTTAATTCGGTTTCACATCTTCTATAAAGACGCTGGCTGTGATTGTCGATAATTATATATGTATCTGCAACAATGCTTTTTATTTCATGTTGGCTACACTATATATACGATTATCGCACTGCTATGGCCACGTAAACTTTACTGATTGCCAGAACATAAATATATAAGTAGTCTCTAGAAACATATGAATTATATGGCTGTTGAATTTTGTTAGTTGCTATGATACACACACATGCATGAGTCATACTCAACAGCATAACAAAATATTTAATTGTTACTTTAACTACATTTGAAATATTTTGATGGGAATGATAGTTATTGGCTTTCTCTGTTTTTTTTTTATTATTATTAAAGATGCGAATTTTATTAAATCAGTGTCCCCTAGACCCAATATCTGACCTTACATTAGATTGTATTGATAAAAATAGAACATTCCTTTCCCCTTAGGATAGGCATTCTCCCTGACTGTTCAGTCAAAAAAACCATTGTTCTGTAGTTGGTATGCTCATTAGGTTGCTGGGTAACCATTATCTCTTTCTCTCTCACTCTCTTAATACGTCATACTAAGTTCACATGTATGAATATTTTGAAAATAGTCACGTATTCACCAGTGATGTGGTGATTCATTACAATTTCAATATTGAGATATGAATTCGGAAAAATTAAAGCGATTTAAGGCAAACAAAATAGGTTCAAGTAGTTAGTATGCTTGGGTTGTAGTCTAATGCCGGAACTGCACTTGGCTATTCTTGTTTGCTATTTTGTAAACTTGACATCAGCCTGTCCTTTTCATTCCTTATTAAGCATGATAAGGACAGAATTATGTCAAGTTCACAAATAGCAAAAACAAGTATGTAGTCGGAAGAATAAGGATGCCTTATCTTATCTTGTACTTTGGTGATGGGGATATTAACTTATTGATTAGAATAAACAAAAATGGGAAAACCTTTAGTTTTTACAAAAAATCTGTTAAAAGTTACAAATATTCAGGTGGAGGGTTAGCGTTCAAGCTTGCATTAATACTTATATCATAGATAAATGTTAACATTACTTATAAAATAAACACTAACCACATTAGACGAGACGAGATGAATTTAAAGGTGCAGAGATGCAGGTTTATCTAAACTTTTATATGTTTTTGTATGGACCCTGGTAATGGGGATATTAAAAACAATAGGTAAGAACTGAATTTATATAAATAAAAAAGCAGAAACATGGGGGGGGGGGGTTCTGACAGTCTAACATTAACTGTTTTCGCTCTCCTCTTTAAAGCTGAAGCAAAGTGTCAATGTGACATAACAAAGCTCTTACCCAACAATCAGCCGTACAAGGAGCCTTCAAATAATTTTTATGACACTTAATAAAGTTACTCGTTGTCTTACTCCACTGTTATATCAAAGAAAGTGACAGTTAAAACTTTAATCGAACTTAAAACTTAATTGACGCCTCTAAACACGACATTCGATTTGTTATATCGCATTGACACTGCTTTAGCTTTCAAGGGATGGGGGATGGGTCGTATGAAATGAAAGCGGGAACCGAATGAGGTACACGCTGGACTTGGGTAAATGAAAAAAATCTAAATTGTGGTTCACGCGTTTGAAAGTTAAGAAACTTCAACTTGTCATCTCGAGCTCCTCAGTGATTCGTAAGGCACGTTAAGCCGTTGGTCCCGGCTGCATCTGCAGTCGTTAGCACCCGCAAATCCGCACTGAGTCTCGTGGTGATGATTTTTCTATTGTAGTGTATGAATTTAGACTTGTACCGTAACAGATAACCGTTGACTGTTACCTCCATACTGCTGACATGACACTTATGTTCTATTATAATATTAACGTAGTTCTAAGACTTACTAACACGACGCCGTACGTGTGCATTTTATAAACATGTGTCAAAAAAAAACTCATTCCGCGCCACCGAACCCAACAAGGGGAGCTTCCTCCATCATGCGTCTACCATCTGATCTTGCATCCTAATATCCCATGGCGACCCTACTACACCTACGATATTACACTATGCATTTCTGTTTCTGTGCCCTAGCAATAGGGTCACGAATAACGTTGATGCCCATTGTCTCCAGATATGGAGGGCTGCGTGCTGACTGGTGGAACAGTAATGGGGAGTGGAGGAGGACTCCCCCACCTGACGCCTACCGGGCAGCAGCTGCTTCTGAAGAGGAAGAGGGGCCGCCCGCCAAAGAACTATTTCATGCCCAAACCTGGTGAGTGCTCACCATATGAATATCTACTTTGTTAAGTTGAACAAGTTTAAAGAAAATCTAATATATAAAATTCTCGTGTCACGGTCTGCGTAATTGAACTCCTGCGTAACAGCTCGACCGATTTTCGTGAAATTTTATATGCATATTCAGTAGGTCTGAGAATGGGACAGCATCTATTTTTCATCCCCCTAAATGTTAAGGGTGGTCCACTCTAAATTTTATTTTTGGACTATTTTTTTTGTTTTTTTTTATGATACGTCATACATAAATACATACAATCCTAAATTTTCACCCTTCTACCACCCATATTTTTGTGGCGATACGAAGTACGCTGGCTCAGCTAGTTTTACTATAAATAATTCCACGCGGTCCAGGCTGCAGACGGGACACGAACCCGCACCTTCCGCTATCCGGGTGGATGCACTGACCAGAATAATTAGATTTGATCATCTAGTAGTTAAATGCGTTGAAATTATAAAACTAATAAAGACGTTTGTTTGACATGGCTATCGTATTTGATATTATTCAGTTTGACAGCAGATTGCCCTTTTCATACTATCATCATCATCGAAATGAAATGAATGTCTCCACTGCTGGGCCACAGGGCTTCCCTGGAAGATGGAATAGAGAAATTGGGCCATGACCCAACACACGGGCCCAGTGCGGATTGGTGGGTGCTAGCGACCGCAGATACAGTCGGGACCAACTACTTAACGTGCCTTCCGAAGCACGAAGGAGTTCGAGATAGTTAATTTTTGGTCACCCATCCAATGACCGACCACTGCGAAAATTGCTTAGCTTTAACGACCGCAGCCGAACGCGCTAAACACTTACGCCATCGAGCTCCTCATACTATATAGAAGTGAAAAGGAGAGACTCTTGTCAAGTTTAGAAATAGCAAATATAAATAACCATGTGAAGTGTCCAGAAACGCTAGTTTTTGATGAATGGTTTTATTTCTTTACAATAGTATATGATGGTATGGAATCTTGTTGGTGATATTATGTAATGCTAATCTTGTCGACTCCCAATTTGTGTTCCATTATATAATTTTAATTTGAGTACCAACCTTAGTATTTGGTATACATCGTGGCAAACTTCTTGCGCAACGACTATAGAATTCTCACATAAAGTAGTAGTCTCACAAGAAAGCCTGCGCAGTAGCAATTTTACATACAAAAGCGTGTGCTGCGCAAGTTTATTTGTCTGTGGTTTTGCTCTAGGAGTTTGCTGTGACCTATACGCGGCTCATCATCCTTTATGCTTTCTGGCCACACTTATAACTTCACCAGTAATAAGCTAAATTGATTATTATTCCATTATATTTTTTCATTCCTACATATTTTTTTTATATTGAATCATTTTTTTTTATTTCACATCAATGGCGTCATTGAGGTTTCTGTGCAGTAAGTACCCTTAGCAAGAACCAATATCGAATTCGAATAGTAGGCGAATGCGCAATGTCAATGTAGAATTTTGTATGGAAACTTGAACAGCAGCGCCATAGCGGACGTAACGAGATCTAAAAATCAGTACACATTGGACAATGACATGTCGCACTCGCAAACTATTCGAATTCGATATTGATTCGTGCTAAGGGTACTGTACGATTCAAACTTGACGGTTGTGAAGTTAGCAGCGAGCGCAACTACCAAAGGCGGACATTGCCATGTCGTTAACAGGTCATAGCAGACATATCAATTCGGAAAGGGAACGTATTTAAACGCCTCGCCTCGGACAAGCGCGTGTCCCGAAGCGAGGCGATTACGTTACGATTCCGATTAGTCTGCGTCGCAGTAGGGAGTTTCAAACAAAGAATACTGAGGCGGAAGCACGAACTTTGGCAACTCCGTAATCATATCGTCGTCTTATTTTGTATGGAAGGAGCCAGTTTGTTTTCATAGAAACTTTTTAAAGATGGGATACGTGTCGTGTAAGGCACGTACTTTATACATGGCGCCTTACGTTCCCTAAAAATGATTGAGCGAAGCGATGGCTGGTTTATGCGTCATGCTCGTGAACGGGTGCTGCCAGCGGGGATGAGTCTGCTTTATACTGCGTTACTCTTGAGATGTTATCTGATATGAACACTGCAACAATAATCAAAATGGGAGTGAACGTTGTATCGGTAGCGACATGTTTTCTTGCGCCCATTCTTCACATCAGCTAAAAGATGTCCTGATAGGAAAAAATATTGAACGATGTAAAAGATCTTTCAAAAAGTCAATTTGAATAAAGTTTTATATCATTACGGAGCTGTCAAATTTCGTGCCTGGGCCTCTGAATGGCTTGAGTTTATACGGCGACGATCCCTTTCCGAGTTGATATGTCTGCTACGACCTTACTACTCCGCGACTTGCAATAACTTCACCGTCGCTATTAAGTTTACATCGTATTGTATATATGTGAGTGAGACGAGAACTGTTAATTCATGGGAACATCAGTTTTTGTTATCATTGTGACATAAGAACTTTTCCTACTTGAACGACAATTTGCAATTATAATATGTTGAATGATATATAGCGTCGAGTGGCCACAATTGGCTGGCAAGTCGTTCACGTAGGAGAAAAAGTCATTGCTGCCGCCTTATTCATAAAAAAACAAAAAACACAATAGTGAATATCACGGCCATGATAAATCGATTTCACCTTTTTTTATTATGTTTTGTCTTTTTTCACGATTTGCGTGTGGTTATTATTATTTTTTTGTTTTGCTTCTCTGCCTCGCTGGATCTTATTCCCTTTTTTTTCTATTATTTTCTTATAGTTTTACTTCCTATATATAGTAATAAACCGTGTACATTCAATATAAATATACCCTTATCAATGTAAATTTGTAGATGTATTTTATCAAACAAATCATCTTTAACAAAAAAAATATATAAGAAAATCGTAAGGTATAAAAGATAGATAAACAAAAATCGCCTTTAAAGAAGAGGGAATAAGGTCCTCTGCCGTTTCTCCGCTAACCATCGTCTGCCCCCTAGGTATGGACATGTCGATACCGCTGCAGTTCGGCCTACCCGCAGACATGAACCACATTTGTTAGTACCCTCCACTTGATTGGCATGGCACCGGTCCAAATTTGGGAACCCCTGGCACCCTAATAATGCAGTAGTGTGACAAAATTCATTTTGACACCCCTGAAACTATTCCTATCTCGCTAATTTTCCACGAGCAAGAAGGGGATAGCATGCGTTTCGTGATTGTCAGAATTTATCACGGAGCACAGTTGTTTACTAATCTGAATTGCTGAATCTGTAGTTCGTTGGCACCTTAGTTTGGTTTGAAGCACGTAATACTAGGAGCGAAAATGCAAATGTATTTTCTAGTATTTAATGAATTGATATAATAAAATTACTAACCAATTATATAACTATACCTACTAACTTGCCTGCTTTGCCAAGTAAATATAATTGTATATTTTATTCAAAGGACATAACTTTTAAACATAATAATTATTATTTATTAGTTAGTTACTAAACTTATGTAACTTGGATAAAGTTCAAACTGGGTAAGTGACTGTTTGTGTGATAGATAAGTAATGGTTGCCGATCATTACACTTGTTGCTTAGATACTCTAAACAAGAAAACGAATGGCAAAAAAAACTAAATTTTAATAAAAATTCTGAGATGACAAACAACAAGAACTTATCATAAACACACAATGAATAGTTTTGTACTTTATTTCTATTTTATTTAATCCCATATTTGAACAAAGTATGTACTTTTAACATTTATAAAAGACTCCCTATTTGCAATACTTGATTATTATAGTAATTTATGTCATTTACGGGATTGCTAACATGCAAAAAAATGTACCTCGTTTGTATCGAGTTTACACTTCAATCACTTTAGTAAACTCGCCTCGCCATCGGAAACTCGCCAAAAAACAAGGGCAGCAATGTCGTAAACAATACAAATTACTATAAATGTCAGTGACCATTAAAGTTTAAAACAAAACACTTGAAAATTTTCCAGACGGACGCCCCAACGAGAACTACAACGCGACCAATCTGCCATTCGGCGACTTCTCCTACCTGACCGAGATGATTTACAACCCCCTATCGTACAATTACGGCGTGACCAGCGTTGACCCGGACCGCAACGTAGACGCCGACCAAACGATGACCTCTGAAGCGTCGCACGACCGGACGATCGACGTGTCCGACTCCTCGTCCGAAGACGACGACAGTACCAAAGTCGAACCGGAGGAGAACGTGCCTCCGGTTGCCATGGAAACGCAGATCATGACCGTCGGAGACTGCCAGATAGTGAAGCTGCCGCCCACCAACGAGGAGAAAGAGGAGAAGACAGAACCACCCCCGGAGACCCAACCGCCGGCCGTTTCCACCCCCAGCTCGGTGACTATAACCCCAATTACCACAGTCGGCGATTGCACCATCAGACCCGTAGAGAACACCTAATACGATTGGGTCATTGTCTACCCCGTGCTTGTTCGAGATTAGGATGTTCCGATCTTACTAGATGGACTGGTCTCCCCCTTTGTTGTTTAATAGAAAATCAAGTTTGAACTTGTCGAATTCACAGTCACATTTGTACCCAGTGTTTATTTTTAATATGTCAACAATTTACCACTCTAGTGAAAACTAACTCTGTGAATGTTGATTTTGAAACAATCGGTTTTGATATTTTGCGGGAGATCATAGGCTTTCGAAGATAAGGGGTAGACACATGGCGGGCTATGGCTACATTAAAAAAAAACACTCAATCATTATTGTGGTAGCATTCACTGCGCCTCTGGTGCGCGGAAACCTGCGGTGTTTCTATGAGAAATGTTTCTATGAAAATGGCCTTGCATATTATGGTGTCACTATACTATTATTGGGTGTTAGAATGTCTTCCTTTAAGAGCGTGAGAACTAATGTTTGCTACTACAATGATTCGCAACATCGCTTTAATTGAACGTTCGACCGCTGCCGCGTCGTATGTGCGTCGATATGAAATTATGCATTTAGATTGGTGGTGAAATAAATGTTATTTATTAAAAAACTTGATACTTGTGTATCGTGCGCCATAAGCTTTACATGTTTTAACCGTGATACTCAGTGTTAACAATTTATGTCTGAACAAAAAATATTGATGTCACAATTTACGGCAATGTTCTATGTGTTAATTAATCGTGTCGTATATAGCAGCCCATCTAGGTGGATATCTGCCAAATGATCTCAACGCATTTTAACAAATTGAATCGTAAGGTTAGTAAGAGATAATATTCATCACAAAACATATAAATATTCTCTTGTGTATTTAATATTCAGATGTAATTTTCTTTTGTTCTATTTTAATAGTGTCTGCGTAGTGGAAGCCACATAGTTATTAAAGTTTTCCCTCAGAGATCTTATCGGTGTTGACATAATCTAAATTATAGAGTATCCATTCGATTTTCACGTAGAACATTGTATGCCATAGACTTGTAGAAATTTAATGGGGACGATGACGAGGTTAATTAAACGAAATCATATTTAGTCTGTCAGAATATAAAAAAATAACAGACACTTATTTTTTATTTTGTGAATCAACTAAAAAATGACGTGGATAAAATGACAATTATTAAAAAAAATACATGGTTTGGAATTGGGTTTCGTGACGTCACTTCTACGTAAACATTTATGAAAAAAATGAATCGACAATCTCTGTAATGTTTTGATTATGTGAGTAAAGAAAAAATACGTGTCCAATACTTTATGATAATCTACCATATATATGAAAAAAACCTTAGGCATCGTCCCTATTGTAAACGCTGCGGCACACCAATTGCATGTTGTATTAATACGGTTAATATCTTTACATAAGTTCTGATAGAGGAAAACAACGTAACGCTGTACGTAACCAACGACAACATACGAATGAGAAAAATGAACTAAAGAAATAATGATAAAGTTTTTTTTACTTCGTCAGTTTTGTCAGCTGATCGTTCCATACCTTAAGTTATTATGTGGACTGTATACGTAGTTGAAAGATATCCGACAAAAGAAGTTTCAGCTATCATTTATATAGGTTCGAGTATTAATGTAGATATTTAAGAGGGCGTTTTATCCCATGCAGATAGTGAAAGCCAATCAGAGGATACGGAAACTTCGGAAAACCAGTTTTGGGTGTATTCCGAATTATACATCAGTATACTGGCCAGTGGTTATGAAGTCACGAATCCGACGCCATATTGTACTGGTATGCTACCATATTTTTAGCGGGAAAACGAATATGACGTATGACCGAGCGTGCGTGAGACACATTCAAATTTTATTTCTTTTTTATTTAAAGAACAATAATGGCATCTGTACTAAAAGAATTCTTTTTAATTGATGAGGTGAATAAAAAATCTTCTTTATTCGCACTATTTTTAATATTTCGGCGATTTATGACGTCAATGCACTGGCCAGTATATTTCGGAACAATTCACCAGTATAGCGTTGATTCATGACGTCATTAGCGCTGGCCAGTATACTGGTATATATTACGGAATACACCCTTGGTTGTACGACCCCCGCCCCTTGCTTATTTGACTAACTAAATTTTTGTTTCACCTATTGACTGTATGAATTTAGCGAGTGTTCAACGTGGTCCTTGCTTTTGTTGTTTATTTTTGTGCAATAGATTAATAGAAGATAACCTATCTGGAATTGCGGGTAGGCCCTGATTACGACATTCAACGTTTTGTCATTTTATTTTTTGTAACCTTCGACATCCATTCGGTGTGCCATGGCGTTTGCTAAAGGCAGCGTATTTACGACGTTAAGCGTCGAGTTAACTAATTAGGTATTATAATACGATATTTGTAATCGATTGTGCACTGTGACAGAAATGCCTTTTGATTTTACTTCGGACGGCATTATGGGCGGCAGATGATCTGAGTTTTACTAGAAGCCGCCCGCCGTCGCTCGGTAACCACCGCATATGGTGTCACTACAAATTGCAATCTAAGCTAAAAGAATCCCTAAAATGTATGAATTAATTTGATATGGAGGCTTTTATCATAATAATATCCGATGCGGTTAAACTTGCACCATAGATTCAGTATGTGATTCTTGATCTTACGAATCTTACGCGTTTGGTAATAAGTTAAATATATATATATTGAAGTATTACCATTTGGTTATTTGTAATTAGTGTAACTGCGATATAATTAATTACCTTAAAGATCATTTTAGGAATTCTTCTCCCTTCGCTTGCAATTTGAATTGACGCAAAGGAGTCTCCATATACTTGGGCATTTTTTCGTCGCTCCACCAATTTCTATTAGCTAGAAACTTCGCTTCGTAGATTGAAATTACGTCAGTAAACCAATGCTTTGCTATCTCGCTATAGAACACGAAGTTTCTATACAATAGAGAAGGATAGAGCTACACAATAGTAAAGACTCTGCAATTAGCATCTGATTGGCTGTCTATTACGTTAAGTTCAAATTATTTTTATAGTAAGCTAATGTATATGGTACGACAATCGTTGTGTAGTTTAAGTATACACGCTATTTCGCCTTTTCCATGTTCTTGTATCAATCTCTGTGAATACTAGATCGTAGATTGTAGTGTCTTAGATAAAAATGAATAAAAACTTAATATTCTAAATATAACAAACTCGGCAACACCACACGAACAAGTGATACGACGTAAGTTTATTTATAGCAGACAAAATAATTGTATTGTCATAATAGTATGCGTACTCGTACTAACATATATTTCTCTAATCGTTTTGCCTTAAAAGCAATGGTTAACGTATCGTAGTGTTATATCTCATAATATGTTAATGAAATATACCTACATGTAGACATAACGCAATACAATATGATACTTATATATATATATAAACCCCATAAGGTCTGACAGCTATGGCCGCGTGGTGGCGCTGTAAGACAGCCCGCGGCGGCTAGTAATTTTAATCATATTTTTATAGAGAAGCCATTTAGTTCCTTATTTTTACTGTAAAATCACAAATAAGTGTCCGGATCGAATTAATCATTATAGTTATTTGAATACGGTTTAATTAACTACTCATAGGAGAAATGCGTCTTTTTAAAGTATTATAATAATATGAGCTACTAATATCCAAGATTATTTTCCTTATCGTCTGTACAGTAGAATAGTTCCTAACTTGTAATCGATACGAAATATAATCCATTACATAATAGTGTAGTAGCGATGACGTAAATTAATTTCTCTTTTAATCATTTTAGAATTAAGGTGCCTATCATTATATCATTTTAATTCGATCAAAATTTAGTTATTAAATATTATTATTTTCTTAGTATTTTCACCTATTAGTGATATGAATTCGAATCGTTTGTAAGTATCAAATGACGTTGAAATATAGTTTTTTCATATTTTAATTGAAGACTGCTCGGATCCGTATGTTATTTCCTGTTCGATCGCCTATAGTTGTGTCGTTAAGGTAGCCCACAGAGGCGTTCATGAGTCTCAGACGGCAAGCTAAGCTTCTTGAGAATTATTTAATATAGGAATCTGTATTTTTATAATGGTAGTGAGCTAAGTTGACTAAACGCGATACAGTTACTCTCATATATAACGTAGCGAACATGTATGCAGTTAGTTTTAGTGATACGCGTTAATTTGCTTGACGCGTCCGTTTGGCTCTGTTCTCGTTAAGTTTCCTGTACCCGCGTAGAAGCAGACGCATCGACATTCCCCTTGGAGATAGCGCCCATCGAATAGGCAATTATTTGCTTAAATTGATCCTGTCATCGAGAAAATAATCTTGTAATATAAACGAATCGTAACGCTTCCATTTTAATCTTATATTGTTGTTTATCATCACAATCGTTCTCGTGTATTAGTATTTACCACTTTGGTTACTTGTAATCGAAAATTTACAAGTTGTTTCTCTACCGGATGCTGTGTCGACGCGTCGCTTGTACGATCTCCTCTTTTTACGGAAATATACAATAAGTTTTATTTATTTCGGGTTGTTTGTGCGCACGCGGCTGATTATATATACGTTTCGTTTGCATTTATGTTTAATATTCTGTTTGTCTCTTTGATTTGAAAATTAATATTTCAAAACTGCCTACTGCACAGCTTAATACGTCTCATATATTGAAGCCATTTGGTTATGTAGTCGTCTCAGTACATTTGTTTCTTATCACAAATATTTTTTCTTGCCCATAGTCCATCTCGCTAAATCGACATTAGGGGTAAACATATTTTTGTCCCAACATGTTTATAATAAAGACTTCCAGGGGGCCATTCGCCTAACGGAAATGCTTTGGAAAACGCTAACGCTTACGATTTCAGTTTGTTATTTCTAGCCGCCTGAGGTTTTCAAATGCCTCGCGCCCTTTTTTTTTCTTTTGCATTGGTAATAACAATATTAAAAAAAATGAGCGTGAGGTATTTGAAAACCTTCGGCGGTCAGAAATAACAAAATAAAATCGAAAGCGTTAGCGTTTTCCAAAGCATTTTCGTTAGGCGAATGGCCCCCAGAAAACTACTCAGTTAAAAAGACACGCACATCTTTTGAGCGAAAATAAGAGAAATGATCCTTTTCATTAAGGTAGTAAGGTGTAATTTCTCGTATTTGTTAACGGGCAAGTTCACCTTTACTTTCTTATTAATAAAGATTATAGTTGCTGTCTTTATCAGCAGTTAAAAAATACTATGTAGTGTGGAGTGCTGGCAAGAAAAATACCTTTGGAACTGTTTAGATGGGAATTTGAATATTATTGTCATTTCTAATCAAAATACATATACTTTAACTGAAATAAAGATCTGCCGAATGCGTAGATTTACGACTTTTACTGTGTAACAAATTTAATCGCATGATATATGTATTTTTAATCATAAATTTATAAATTATAATCAGAATATTTGTCTTCTGTCGCATGGTTAAAAGTCTACGCATTATTATTTTGGCGATGAAAAACTATTTTAGTTTTAATGTCGAATGTTTATTATTCCTGAATTGTGAAATGTTTATTCATTTTACGTTGTGATCATGTGAGTGCAAAATTTTTTATTATTAATATCCAGTTTCGTTGACAGTTTGTCAATTTAAGGGCAGCAGAAATAATTATAGTGTTTCGTTCTGCATAGTCCAAGAGCAGTATTTTTTAGATGTAATCTTTATTATTATGAACTTTTTTATTATTTTAACATTTGAAATTCGATCGTTAGTTAATTTCTAACAATGAAATATTTAATAAAGAAATCACAAAATTTTAATTAGCCTTTGATTTCGCATTATTTTGACTTTAGCCTATGTATAACCTTTATTATTAGTAGGTACCTATTCCAGTGGATTTGAAAATTGGATTTTTATGACACATGCAGTGGCGATACCTTCATAAAAGCTGAAAAGCCGGGGTTGCCTTAAAACTCATTTGCACTACTAGGACTGCTAGTAAATCGAAATTAATGTCAATTAATTTTCTTTGTCATCATTTGAATAAACGGCAAAGAATAGCATAATTGATAGGCAGCCCAATCGGCGGGGATCTTTGAATTTACTCGAGCGCGGCAGAATAAAATAAGAGGGGCAACCTTGCACCTGAGCCCTCTATGCAGTGCCGAACGTATACGTCAACAAAAAAAACGAGCGAGCCTTACAGTAGTCGCGTATGATGTAACAGTATTCAAAAGACTGACGATTTGGACGCGACTAAAAGTCATGGCCGTTTTTGATTTTCCTGCTTTAGACGTTCGGCACTTCATAGAGAGCTTAGATATAGTGGGAGTACTACTCGAGGTCCAAGGTTAACATAAGGGGGCTACCTTATTTTATTCTGCCGCGCTCGAGTTAATCCAAGTCCCCGCTTGGGTTTCCCCACTATTGTACTGGCCCTAAGTGCCCCAACGAACGAGCCTAGAAACGCAGCGGATGGCGGTCGCGTCAGTGCGCGAGCACACGATGCGCTGCGGCGCCGCACCGCAAAGATTTCGCCGCATCGGTGGGCACACGACCGGTGCGGCGCCGCGGGTAACCCAGCAGCATACATTCTCGATGACGCATAAAAAACTGAGCGGTGCCGCTCCGACGTCGCAACGCAGTCTCCGCTCCCCGCCTCGCCGCGGTGGTTGCATATCCGGTGCGGCGCCGGAGCGCATCGTGTGAGATGCCACAGATATTTATTTCTATGTAAGCGAAACCGTTCCGGCGCCGCAACGCATCGTGTTCTCCCGCTCTCAGTTAATATAGGTACGACAACGCACTGGCATCTGTGTAACTGCGGGTGAGCGGACGCTGCCATTAGGCGCGGTTGTAAATTTGCTCAATCTTGTAGAGAATGGAGACAACGCACGACACCGCAAGTTCACGCGGTTGTGTTCTAAACTTTATACTCTAGATTGATTGACTGCGCGGTTTCCGCAATGCACGTAAGAACTATCGAAACACCCCCTTGTAAAAAAATAAGACATGGTCGACCCCCCTTCACCCTATGTCGTCTTACGTACAAAATGAATGGCCACTAACTGAACCTTGGGCACGTCACTGGCAACCTTAGATTTCCAGAGCAGAGAGTTTATGAACTTGAGTTTGCAACGAAGCAGATTTACTAGTCCAGTCAGTATTGTCGCGAAATCCGTTTTTCCTCAAACAGCTGGAACTATTAAGATAGTAAAGAACACTTTACATAGAGAAAAAAATGTTTCCAACCCCGGGCAAGGGTGAAAACCACCCTTAATAATCTATTTTTCCAATTATCTCAAAAAGTATACGAGATACGGAAAAAAACTTCAAATGAAAATTGTAGATCTTTTTGAAATCTACAAAACATTATTCCACCCTCTTGCCCCTATTTTCAATAGGGGAGCCAATAATCGAAGTCAAAGATTCAATACTTAAAAAGTTAAAGTTAGTTAAAAAAGTTATCTTTGACTTCGATTATTGGCTCCCCTATTGAAAATAGGGGCAAGAGGGTGGAATAATGTTTTGTAGATTTCAAAAAGATCTACAATTTTCATTTGAAGTTTTTTTCCGTATCTCGTATACTTTTTGAGATAATTGGAAAAATAGATTATTAAGGGTGGTTTTCACCCTTGCCCGGGGTTGGAAACATTTTTTTCTCTATGTAAAGTGTTCTTTACTATCTTAAGAAACTTTTTAGCATAGTTCCAGCTGTTTGAGGAAAAACGGATTTCGCGACAATACTGACTGGACTATACTCCCAAAAGTCCATAACAAAGGTTTATTATGCACGTTGAGAAAAAAAATCAAGCATACCACAAGAATTATTTATTCCATATAAATATAAATTTATTTTTGGATGACAACACTTTAGTATTGTTAGATATAATTAAAGACTAACTATTGACTAAATATTACGAGAAATATCTTATCCGAAACGCGCGCGCGCGCGTAAAGTTCGCGCGTTTAGGTCCCGGGCGGTGGTGGGGGCATATTATTGACCCACTGGGGCTGCGGCCCGGGCATATTGCAGTAGTTGGTGCCGAACACTGGCACGTTATGTCTGAAGGGCGGCACTACCATGGAGCCCGCGGGGGCTAACATACGAGGATTATCACCGAACTGGAACGGGGCTCGCATGAACGGAGGCGGCGTCGTAGGATTGAACGGCGCCGAGTTAGGATTGAAGGGCGGTGGGAACATCGGCGGCCCGTTGAACGCTGGCGGGGCGCTGAATGGACCCGGACGGAAATCTGGAGGCCCTCTTTGATCACCATTGTGCATCCTCATATCCATATTGCCGAGCCACGGTCTCGAGCATCTTGGAAACGAATTGGGGTTGTTCCTTCTAGAACTAGCCGAGAAGGGATTCCGTCCCCTGCTAGGTCCGCTGCCGAATCTGCTGCTAGACTCTGAAGGTCTTTGGTTTCGCCGTGTCTCGGCTACTTTGCGACTTTTCGAGGTCTCTCCGTTCGCTTCGTCTTCGTGCTTGTTTTGACGCTGCTCTTTTCTCGCTCTGTTGGCTCTCTTCTCGTCTTCGTCGTCCGAATAGTCTACGTGAGTAGGCGGAGGCTCCACGTCGTTTAGCCATGACGCGTCGGATCCTTTAGCTCTGCAAATTATAGTAAACAAATGAAAAAAAGTTATTCTCAAATTGTTCTTATAAATTGATAATAAGGTCACACCTGTCTCACAATGAGATTTAACACTCCCTACACTTGAATTTATTTGAGAAACGAAATTATTAGAACCCAATTAGTGATATATGTAGCTGCCAATGGAAAATAAAATCATGACTAGGATCACAGGTCACAGGAGCAAATTGAGTAATGAAAAATATATTTTCAAAAGATAGGTATACTTACTTCATAAGTTCACTTAAGAAGACATAGTTGGTATGCTGCTGATTCTTCGGTGCAATAAATACTTCCATCCCAGGGCGCACACCACGCTCTTTCACATGGTCTTGTGAATTAAATCTTACACAGTAGTGGGGTTCTGTTACCTAGGACAAGTGCATAATTATCATTAATAATAATAAATTTATCAAAACAGACTCTGATATTGTCATATATCAATGACCTTAATTATCTAGAACATATTTGCAATTGTTAATGAGTTTCTTGATAATTTTAATAAAACTTATTTGGAAATATCTAATGTGTCGCATCACCATGCCTAGAACAAAAATTGGTCAGAATACCAGACAGATTACAGAACCATCAGGTTAAATAATTCACCCATATGTTTGCAATCTTATTGGCATTGTATAATATTCATATATTGTAGTCAATGGTTGGATAGCGAATAACCCCCCTTGAAACTGTAATTACCCTTTTTTATCCACTAAAGGTAGTGCAACTAGTGGCCCTTTTGAGGAGCAAAATTGCAATTATTTTTAGTCACATTTGTGGTATCAAGAATTGAATTGAAATTTTTAATGAAACGAAATGGTTTTTTTTTATGTTTATTTAATGGGCTTTTAAAATAACACCAACATTTATGAGGGTACATGAGCATATTAAGGGTGAACAACGGTTTAATGAGTGTGTTTGTTAAAAACTCAACAATTAATTAGAAAAATGCAATGAACTTACTTGACCAAAGACATCAAACACTTTTCCTAGTGCTTTTGCTCCATTTTCAAGAAAAAGGACACTATCTATATCAACTGCAGGTGTGTCAGGGAAAGCACGAACTATAACTGAAAGAAAACAACAACAGCCTTAATCCGTGCCTCATTTGTTTTCAATATTTACAACTAGCATTTGACTACACCTTTATAGACATTGACTAAAAAAAATATTCTATAGTATCCATTTCTGAGGATAATAGTATGCTGTGAAATAATCCAAGGTAAGCAAAGTAAGTATGTATATAATTGCATCTTTTTTCATCTTTATCTGTAAATTTCTTGCAACAACATTTCATGTATCTGCAAAATGGCACTGAACATAAAAACTTTTACACTAGTATACTAATTGGCATAGTTTTCATTACAAGAGGAATGTAATTATACCCAATATGTTTAGCAAGATCAAAACAATATGAACTTACAAATTACTCAACTTAAATACAATGTTGTGAAATCATAAAAGAAAAAAATTAGGAGAATGAAGAATGAAACCTACCTAGCCTATCAACAATACTGGCTATTGTTCCTATTTTCGTTGTTTCCTGTGCAGGCAGGCTGATTGCGAGATCCTCTATAGGCGGTAAATCATCTAGACCTAGTTCACCTTGAACTCGTGGAGTCTCTGGTTTTTCTACTCGAGCATTTTCTTCCTCACTGCAACATAACTTTTAATGAGTACAAAGTGATATACTGTTTATGTTAAGTGAAATGATATTGGTAATGGGCAATATTTTACTCATCAAAGAACTGAATTTGCGGAGAGTTTAACAAGAAATAATCTTACAAATGTCAAATGAAATCAAAAATATATTTATTCATCAATACAAAAATTTTAACTTAGCTGACAAACAGTGGTTTTCGCACTGAGCTGAGCTCGTAAAGCAAAGACCTAATATTACAATTTTACTAAATGGTTTGTATTACAACATGTTGATGAAACCAAGGAGGTGAATTGTGAATTTAAAGAATTTTGTTGAACAAGACCAAGTATTATAAGCCTAAATAAACCACATACCCACTAGAGATCTCTTCTACATCCTTGACTGAATCGACATCGCTGTCGCTGGAGTCGCTCGTATCTGAATCACTGTCGACGTCCCTGTACTCTGTGACCTCGTACTCCACTACACCACTTTCACAACTGTCTATTATCATGTGCCTAGTGGAAATGTCTTCCCGATCGCTCGGCTGCGACCTAGGGCCATGTGCACAAGCGTTTATTATGTTATTTTTCAACACCATCTCACTAAGCTCTGCAGTATCAGAATCTTCGTTCCCAGTGTTCGACCGCGTTTCTGTATCATCAGAATCTGAATCTGAAGCACCGTACTGCGATATCAAATTAAGCGACACGTTTTTGTTATTGCTTTGATCAAAGTTTTCCATTGTGGGGAACGATGCGTGAATCCGCGTGTACAACAATGTTCTATTTGCTTTGCTTACACTATGTGTGCTACCAATGCTACGTACATAATCTAGCGTTCTAACCGAAACAACAAAATGAAACAAAAGTAGAGTACAGTAGAGACAAAAGAAAATAAAGGAAAGACAATGGAAAATATGAAAAATCACCAAAGCTCACTTTTTACACAAAAATGAATGACATTACAATTTAGTGAGGGGACTCGAGTCGTGTTATTTCTCAAGTGAATTGGTGATTGAAGCTCCTTATCAATTCGAGAAATTAATAATCCCAAATGTCTGATACCAAATATTTACATTAGATATACTCTCGATATACACAAAAATAAAATGCATTATTTCTTAATTTTAAGTGGATTGGTTTTTATAAAGTCGTATTTTATTGTGGTAAAGGTGTTTATTAACTTTTCATATGGCAAAGTAACATTAATTACTTGAGTATAATAATCTAGGCTGCATTAATAATAATATAGTTAATGCAGTCTACATTTCTTAAAATAACAAAAGATCAAATATCAACTGATTGAAGAGTGTCATTGTTTATTTTCAAAAGTATTCATTAAACCATCATAAAAACAGTGTTTCCACTTTAATGATTTCCTTTCCCCACGCGTCAATTAAGATTTCCCCTTCTTAAGACATTTTTTCCCTCAAAAATTATTCTGCTGTAGTTTTTAGATTTTGGCACTAGTGTAGTAACTAAAGAAAAAAAAGGTCTTACACCCATATTCTTAATCGCGTCCTCTAACGTTCCTCGACTCAAACTCATTCGAGGGCTCCATAAGGAGTTCCTCCAAATAACCTCGAAAATGGTATTCTAGTTGGTATCTTGAACAAACTTGAGAATTCCTCCACCGAGAATTCCTCAACATTGTGACGTCATCATTTGGAGGATTTTATTTCTATAATGGTTAACAGAGGAAATATTACTTGTATGACTGTATCTTTTCTAAACCGAAATCTTCTTTGAAACCAATCATTGTCGTAAACCTTAAAAGGATTTGCGGCATCACGTAAATACCGTCGCGCCGGATAATTATATGGTTAATCATCGTGTATGTGTTACTGAATAAATAAATATATAAATCGTATACTTAATCCATAAAATCCACAAATTCGTCAATAATCTCAAAATCAGACATAATTCTCGATAAAAGCAACTAGAAAACACCACTCGAGGAAGCCTTAAGGTACGTCGAGAGCTACCTTGAGTTTGACAGTTTATTCCTCGAATCGACCTCCACTCGAGTGAGGAATATCTCAAGTGAAGGATATTTTTGTTGTCTAAGCATACGAATTTCCTCCAATGAGGTTGAGTCGAGTGGAAAAAATCTCGAGGAAACGACTAAGAATATGGGTGTTAATCTATCTTATTCTATAAAAGATAAATAAAATATATAAAATCTGCACGTGTTACCACAGTTTCTTTTATACGGCAACACTCTAGTCCACGGTATCGTTCCATATTTTTTTTTTCCGTGCCGCATTATTTTAGGCTAGACTTTACCCATAATTTTCTTCCCCTCTGGACCCTAATTTCCCCTTAAAAGGGGAATTTCCCCTCATTGTGGAAACACTGCATAAAAATCTGATTTAAACAAAAATAAATCATCGAAATTGGTTCCGAAACCTCGGAGACACGAATGAACAACAATACAACTATTTTTCACATTTTTTTAAAATTTTCACTTTTTTTAAACTGTGTGTGATTGAAGAGTTCCATTGAGTGTTTTCGAAAGTACTCATCCTAACTTTTGCAAATTAATTTGGGAGCATGATCTTGCCAACTTGCCATAACTCAGATTCAAACAAAGAAAAAATTATCAGAATAGGTCTACGCGTCTCTAAACTATCCTATAATATGCCGGTTGAAAAAAGTTTGCGTGTTAGATAATCTTGCTCGAGATCTACAAAGTAACATAAAATTAATTAAAAATCAAGACTAATCGATTACCCTTAAATTTAATCGAGTGATCACAAAATTCAACTCAAGTCGGATCACTGACAAAGTGTCAAATTGACAATTATTTGATTTTAAAATTCTCCTTCAAATAAAGCACAGGATAACAAATTCATATGGTCAAACTTAAGATATATTTAAGAGTCAAAGCAAATACTATAGAACTCGGTAGAGTTTCTGGTAAAAGTAACATAATGGTGTCGATTGCGGCATGACTTTAAATTTGACAGCAGTGTGTCCTTGTTTTTTTCTATACAGAATGAAAAAGAGAGTCTGATGTTTTATGTTTAGAGACTGTTGGCACTAGAGATCTGTACCCTTCTATATCTGGTTTGCAAACTATTCAAATTCGATAATGGTTCGTGCTAGGGTTACTGTACCCCTAGCAAGAACCGATATCGAATTCGTATTGTCAGCGAGTCCGAAATGTCATTGTCAAATGTGTACTGATTTTTAGTTCTCGTTAGACCCACCCCACCAACTTATCTGTGAACAGAGTGGTAGTGCCACCGTCTCTTTAGTGTTGCAAATTAATAAAAGTTAATTAACATAATTTTATTATTTTAAACAATACCTACATTGTTTATAATAATAAAATGGTAATATAAGTACTAAATAGTCTTCAAAAATAAGAAAATTAATGTAGGTAGATACATACATTAGCTTTTTCTCTGGCATTCAATTGATATAATGTAGGTACCCCACTTACAAACTAAATGTTTAGTAAAGTAGGCAAATGAAATTTAATAAAGTTATTAAATTTCTTGCAAGTGCAAGAAACTTCTTCTTCTTGCCCTTTTCCCACTCTAGGACGTTATATTAAAAAAAGTAATTCTGCATTTAGCTTAAGTACCTACTTAGATAGATTCGGCAGTTACAAGCTTGACACAAAATGCCCATAGTTTAGTACTAGCTTCTCTATTTAAACAAAACTCAAATATCTAGACACTGAAGATGTGTCCTGTAGGACATGACCTAGTTAATAAATAGAATAAAACAAAAGTTTCATCATCATCATCAACCCATATACGTCCCCACTGCTGGGGCGTGGGTCTCCCTTAACGATGTGAGGGGTAAAAAAACAAAAGTTGGCTTAACAATACTTTATTACAATCCCGGCTTACAATAATTATGATCTTTTGCTGAACTTGCACGCCCAACTTCACCCTGGCAGTGAGGCCACACGCCGCTTATATCCATGTCATCATTATCACTGTCACTTTCAGTTTCCGAATCACTTACCACTTCTATAATGAACGGTTTATCCACACACAGAACACCCGAATGTATGTAGTAGACACTGACAATCGAATGACATTTCAACATGGCGGCAGTAGTTCCCATTTTCTCCATTTCACAGATAAGTTCAGATAAGTTGGTGGGTCGTACGTACTTTGTGCCGCTGCTGTTCAAGTTTTCATACAAAATTTGACATTGACATTTCGGCTTACAAATTATTCGAATTCGATAATGGTTCGTGATAGGGTACTGTAATTTTGTTGAGGTACCTATTTACAGAACACACATCAAAAAAATGTAAGCAACACGCATTATTTACAGAAACTGTACCTTTGTATAAAATACTACCTATATAAATATATTTTAAAAGTGGAAATCGGTCTTTGGTTCAAAACCGTAGATGTTGCTTAGACTTTTTGGATAATTATATATCAATCACGTCGACAAAGGGTAGACAAAGTCTTCTACATGTAAAGTGGGGATGATATTTTTTATCCATATCCAGCCTCCCCCCCCCCCCGGTCATGACCCCACCTGAGCTGGGTCCATCTGTACCCACTGTGACTTGACCACGACTATATGACCCCCCCCCCCCGGCGCCGGATCCGCCCTTGTCGTTGAATGGGTTCTTTAAAATGGCTTAGATGTTACTCGGACAATTTTTCGATTTGATGCTCCGTTTGCGAAATAATAATAAAGTACAAATTTTTGTTAGAAAAATCTGAAAAAAATAATGACGGTGCTTCTTTTCCTAAACTTGCACCAGTGGCGGATTTACAAATTTGCCGCTAATAGGCTACTAAATTTTTGCCTCCCTTACTGACCTTTGAAATTCAATACGCTAGTTCACAATTATATTTATTCTGAAATTGCAACTTTATGATTTGTGTTCTATCGTCCACATTACGTCGGCTTTTCCCCGTCAGTTTAAAAATTTACAAAATTTAAATTGTAATTAATATTGAAACGCTAATGGAATATTTTAAAAATTCATGATCTCATAAGTACATACCTATATTTTACAGTGCGTTTAGTAATCTTTTATATACGGATTACGGACGTAAGAGTGTTGAGTATTCGCTATGTGCGAAGTACATGGTGGGGGTATAGTGAAGCGATCGCAGCGCTTATCGTGGCAGAAATACGCAACAATCCGGGAAAGTAAAGTCAATTTGCACGGAGTTCGTAATAAACAAAATTTTTTTAAAATGCCTTTTAATAGATGTTGTTGTGTTGTGAATTGCAAAAATAAGGGCACAAATAGTCTGTGTATATATTTCCTACATTGGACTGGAAATTAAATCAAAGAAATAAATGGATAGATGCCATAAAAAGAAATAAGTAAGCGAAATAACCTTAAATTATGATCAATTTTATTTGCGCTATATATTTTATGTGATATTCATTATTGTCTTTATTATTTTAGTGTTGATGGGTCGCCATGGTATCCCAAACCTGACGACACAATTTGTAGTGAACATTTTATGGGAAACAAAAAATCAGACGAGGAAGAAAATCCGAGTTATGCTCCTACGATATTCCCTGAAATATATCGAAAGAGGAAGGTTAATGATTCACAGGTCCTAGCTAGATATACACGCTTGACAAAACGAAGAACCACAAAAGTCTCAGATACCACATCAAGTCAAATAATAATTGAAGAAGGGAGTGAATTAAATCAAACTCAACCTTTTATGATCGATCAAGGATGTCAAGTCAATATGTTTTCTGAATCGGAATTAAGAGATACAACTTTTATTTGTATTAGATTAATTTACAGTGATCACTGTGATCCAACATCAAGAATTTTAATGACAAATAATTCAAGAAAGAAAGATAAAAGCTGTGGCACTGACAAAAAATCGTATGAGGATCAATCTACCGAAACAAAAAGTCAAGAATTTGTTGGTATTTCATCAATAACAAATGATCAAGAACTCCTAGATCCTTCTGGTGTGTCATTTAGCAATTTTGAGTTTTTATTAACAAGATTAACTATGAGAAAATGTACAGTTTCCACTAAAGACCGACTTCTGATTTTTTTGATAAAAATGAAAACTGGCTTGACATTTTCAGCATTGAGTGTGTTATTTGGTGTACAAAAAAACCACAATCTCACGTATATTTCATTCGATCTTACAAAATCTAGCTTGTTCAACTGCTAATTTAATCTTTTGGCCGAATAGAGCCACCGTACAAGCACCAATGCCCAAGTGTTTCAGTCCAGATTACATCAATACAAGAGTTATTATTGACTGTACTGAATTCCGAATTGAAATCCGACATTATTTAAATTATTATACAATATATAATAATTTTTATTTATCTTTACCTTACTATATTTACTAGAAATCAATAAAATACAAACTGATGTCATTATTTGGCATAATCCCGGAAAGTTGCGCATTGTAGGTGGCGTTACTGTCGTGCACATAGCGAATACTGTGCATTACTAAAATATTAAAATTTTTGTCACTCGTTTTTCTGTGTAAATTTTGGGCCAAATTTGCCGCCCCCTTAAATCTGCCGCCCTAGGCTCCAGCCTACTGGTAAATCCACCACTGACTTGCACTGAGCATTTCAATCCACTAGCGCCATCTAGCGCTGGATAACTGTAACAACCACAGAACATAAAGAAACACACAGATACATAGAACATACATGGAGATTAGAAGGGTGATTATAGACCGTTCGTGCGGGAACCGGTGTCACCGACTCGCCCACGCTACTGTTCCACCTAAGGCCGTATACAGAAAGAAATCCGAAAGCCGACCAGCGCTTATCAGTAACCGGCGCACACATTTCTATGGACCAACGCTGATAAGTGCCGACACGCGCTGGTTAGCGCAGGCACTGCCATTTTAAATTAAATTAATGATAATGATACGGAACCCTTCGTGCGCGAGTCCGACTAGCACTTGATTCAGATTTTTTTATTATGATCTATGTTGTCCGAATAATAAATGATTTGTATTTGAATTATTATCCTTAGATTAAATCAATCTAAGTTATAATCTTTTTATAAATGTAATGACTTTATCTTTTATTAACTTAGCGCTAAAATTATTGAAGTGAAACTTCTTTATCGGCGTTGGAAAAAAATTTACCGTCACATTTTTCGGTTACGCGTCACGTTTTTTGGTTACGCGCCATCTTTTTTTTAAAAGAGCACTATTTACCTCATCCGAACAATTGCTTCTTCTGTCAACTTTAAAAAAAAAAGTATCGACAGCAAATATTCGTGTTTCACACAAGGTAAGGTAAGGTAAGGTAAGGTAAGGTAAGGTAGGTTGATATGAGATTAGCTTAAGAAGATGCTAATATACCGCGGGCGCTTACGGACTGCGCCTTTGGTATTAAGCTTGATTTCAGTTTTCGTTATATATGTGTTTTAGTAAATAGTATTAGTTATTAGTATTTAGGGTTTTACTAAGTGTGTTTTATGATTTTAATAATATGAGTTTATGTTTTTCTGATATGGCTTAGTTTACGTGTTATTGAATTTTTTGAGGTTTTTAATAATGTGGAATAGGTGCTTTAAAAATAGTTCACTAGTGTCATTTTTGGTAAGGTAAGGTAAGGTAAGGTGTAGTTATACCCCTTTAGTGGGTGAGTTTTTGAAAAATCTTAGCGCACGCCTATATATATATTTCTGGAAAGTTGCATGTAGATCATTTTTCGAAAAAAATAAGGCCATAAAGAAGTTTCACTTCTTACGTGTGTACACTAGTACACGCACACATTTTTTTTGTTTCGTACTCACCGAAGGGAGACAACAAGTCTTTCTTCTGGAAGGATTGGTTGTTTATGCCAATTACACCAATTATTCATCAAACGGTTTTTCACTAAATCAAAAATGTAATAAAATGTTTCTTGAGTCATTCTTGTATATGTATAAAATCTTTGATCATCAAATTTCATTTTTTTTACAAATTAAATGATGGTATTCTCCGAAACGTTACCTTTCTCTATTTATAGGATGTATAGCTTTTTAAATACACATTTTGTAACAAAACCAAATCATCGTCCGATGAGTCCAACATTTTGCTCGCTCTGCTTCCTAAGTAACTGCAAGGACCAGCGCCGATAAGCGCTGATCGGCTTTCTTTCTGTATACGGCCTAATAGATAATATATATTTTTTTTTTTTTTTTTTAGATCTAATAGATAATAGCCAATTAAACGACGCGACATCAAACAATCAAACCAATCAGCGTTAACACCCAAGAGCAATGACGCAATTAGAACCAAGTTTTGGTCAAGTTATAAGTATTTGCTCACACATAACTGTGGCGCGCCTGCCCCGCCCACAAAGCCCTTCTAGCCTCATTGTGTTCTGTAGTAAGAAGCATAAAATACGGCTTAATAACGGTTAATAACGAAAAATGCGTTTAAGATAACCGTGATCGCATCTAAAAGCCCATAGTTTCACAATAACGGGCAATTTATTTTTTCTGAAAATAGTGTCTGATTATTTTTTTGAAATGCGGGTGATGTTTGTAAGGGAATCCGGGATATCAGGAGATATTGACTTAAAACAGTGGCAAAAAGAAGTATAAATAAAATCACTGATTATAGCGCTATCGTGAATTTATTGGGTATATAATTTACAACATAACATACAAGTTTAACAAGCACTCTAACAAAAATAAACAAAATTTAACAAACCAGTCTTATAAGTTTTTGTACACAAGAGATTGCAAATGGGGAGTGCCTATTTAAAAGAAATCTCTTCTCTCAAAAAGTTATTATTTTTTTTTTAATTTCATACAATAATAAAGGTCTTGTAGGTAGACTGTTTTTTATTTTCGATTTTCAAAGAATACAAGTAAAGTTAAAATAATGTTGTAAACTTAGATGAAAACAAAAAGGGAAGATACTGTACGCTCATGCTAGCATCAAATAAAATATGCTCCGATTCAACTACATGCATCTCTCTCACACACACACTTCTGTAAATAAACATTCAAATGAGCGAGCGAGATAGAACAGTACGCTTCAACGCAACGTGAGCGAAACGGCGCGTCCGCGTCGCTTGCCTTGACGACTGCGTTTTCTGTCCTCTCTCTACAAACGGCTGAGCTGTATTGTTATCCTTTACTTGATAACAAATGTCGAAAAGGTAAATAACATTCATAACAAATCGTGATTTTTGAGAAAAAGAAATGTTTTCATAGTTTTACGAATGAAAAGTGTTGCCGTGAAATTTGTTATTTGATCTTGAACTATTTGTGTTCTTTATAAAAGCATCGAAGGCATTGGTTTATCTTTATAACACAAAATTTACGCAATATTGTTATATTGAGTGCACATGCATCGTGTTTGAATGTCGAATTCTGACTAAAGGTAATTGTGGTCAATCACCACAATTTAAGCGGATCACTTTTGAGCCGCGAGTGCCGTATCTTCCGTTTATGTTTTAATCTAAGGTAAGTGTTTATCTTATATTATAAGAGCCACGGTTAACCATCAGGCAGGTTTCATACTATTTAGTTGGTAATACAAAATTAAAAATTAATACAAGGCAAGAAAACGAGTACCATAATGTAGCTGAACTCTATTACATATTATTATATCATTCGAAAGGCGTCGCAGGCAGCAAAGTTCCCTCGCATTTGCCGAAGCCGATTCTAGCGCCATCTTGTCCGACGGCGTGTCCGCGTAATGTGACAGTGTCGCCATCTTGGATAAACTTTCTTTCCTCTCCGTTCAGAAGGCGGATGGGTTTGGTTCCCTTCCACGCTAGCTCTAACATGCTGCCGTATGAGTCGACAGTCTGAAAAAAGGTATAATTTAAAATGCTTGTTATATTATTAGACTAGTGGAACCGACAGACATTGCTCTGCCCTAAAGAAGGGAAAATTGCAGCCTTCAGTTGTGGCTTTAAAATATATGTATAAGTGGTTCTTAAACGTTGGTCCTTGGAAGCGCTCGAAGTGGTCAAGAAGTACCTTGATTATTTTTTTTCTCAATGACCCAATAAAGACACGAATTATAATAACTATCCTAGTAAGGAGGTAATATATAATAAGGTAATAATTATCCTAGTAGGGATAATAATAATTATTATCCTAGCAAGGATATTAATAAATATTATCCTAGCAAGGATATTAATGAATATTATCCTAGCAAGGATAATTATATAACTAGTGTCTTTATTGGGTCCGCGTGGTGGGTCACGACTTAATCTTGCTATTCCATCCAAAGCGAAGGCCTGAGTCCCAGCAGTAGGGACTTTAATAGGCTCATGATGATACTCACATCTCCACTGATAGTGCCAGAGCCGAGCAGATCTCCCGGTCTAATGTTACAGCCGGTGATAGTTTGCTGTGCTAATTGCTGTTTGGCCGTCCAATACAGGAATTTGTAGTTGGAACGGCATATGGTCGTCGACACTGGCGATTTCTCCGCTGTTTGGAACGCAAATTCATTGTTAAAGATAGTCGCAGCTCGAATATTTTTCAATAGATTATTCATTTTATTTAAATTTTTATAGAGCTCAAAGTCAGTTGGCGTTATTTGATAGTTTTGGGTACGACAGAAATACATCATAATTATTCATAGATATAGTATATTTTTGTAGAAAAATATATAAACAGCTTATTGCTGTTCTACAAACTGTTGCCCAGGTACATAATATGCTTATGTTCATCATACAAACATTTGCCCCTACCGGGACTCGAACCCAGGGTCTAAGAGAGCGACACCTAGAAAGCCGGTGTACAGTACATACCACTCTACCATGGACATCATCACAAATTTCTATAGTGATAATAGTCATTTCACACCCTCAGAACGAAAGTGACCTAAGTAAAAGAATCTGTCTATTTATTTTTTAAAGTTTTGAAGTAAAATCAGGTCTACCGAAATTTTTGAGTTAGTCACTTTCATTTAAAGCGTGTGATTTGTAAACAAGATAAAACTTCTACACTCACATTTCAAGTCCACCTCCAGTTTGATGTCGAAGTTGAATTTGTCTTCGTGCTTCAAGTAGGGGAACGGTTTCGGGTCTTGCGGGTAGTTGTCTATAAGGGCGGCCTGAAGGGCTTCCACCGGCACCACCCATGGGGATATGGAGGTGCCCAGGTTCTTGGCCGTGAAGGGGCCCAGCGGAACGTACTCCCACTTCTGGATGTCTCTGGCTGACGGAGAAAGAGATACCATATGAATCCTACATCACGCAAACGAAATTCGGACACACAACCATATAAAGAATGCCTGACAAACATTGGTCGGGTTCGAGTGAACCAGTGGCTCCAGACGGAAAGGAGATTCCTCCCGAGGGGAGATGCCATCCGCCTGGAATACATACTTATGGGAAATCCCACCCACGGGGATATGGAGGTGCCCAGATTCTTGGACGTGAACGGGCCCAGCAGGTCGTACTCCCACTTCTGGATGTCTCTGGCTGACGAAAAAGGAGATGCCATATGAATCCTTAATCACGCAAACGAAATTCGGACATACAACCATATGAAGAATGCCTGACAAACATCGGTAGTTGTACAAAGGGGCGGCCTGAAGGGCTTCCACCGGCACCACCCACGGGGATATGGAGGTGCCCAGCGGAACGTATTCCCACTTCTGGATGTCTCTGGCTGACGGAGAAAGAGATACCATATGAATCCTACATCACGCAAACGAAATTCGGACACACAACCATATAAAGAATGTCTGACAAACATCGGTCGGGTTCGAGTGAACCAGAGGCTCCAGACCGAAAGGAGATTCCTCCCGAGGGGAGATGCCATCCGCCTGGAATGGAATACATACTGATGGGAAATCCCACCCACGGGGATATGGAGGTGCCCAGTTCTTGGACGTGAACGGGCCCAGGGGAACGTACTCCCATTTCTGATGTCCCTGGCTGACGGAGAAACATTTTATGAATGATGTTTTGTGGGTCAAAATGAGTTTTTACTTATGACGGAGACATTTACAAGCGTCACATATAAATAAATGGAGGTAGGCATTACTTTGCTTTTCAAGAAATGGCGCTACTTGTGGAGCGCTCAATGATAGCATCCATCACGCTAACGAAATTTAAAGACACGACCATATATACAGGACGGGCCGCGGTTTCGTGCTAAGATACACCAACTACAGTCCGGGGATTTCCTACATACTTCATCATCATCATCGGTCTATTAATGTCCCCACTGCTAAGGCACAGGCCTTCCCTATGGATGGAATAGGAAGATTGGGCCATGACCCACCACGCGGGCCCAGTGCGGATTGGCGGGTGCTAACGACTGCAGATGCAGCCGGGACCAACGGCTTAAAGTGCCTTCCAAAGCACGGAGGAACTCGAGATAGAAGATTTTTGGTCAACCATCCAATGACCGACCAATGCGAAAGTTGAAACTTGAAATAAGAAACTTCAAAGATCCTATCATTGGCCTGTTGCGCTGTTAAGTACTCTTTCTCCAAAAGCAACCTATATATAACTTTAAGTCCATCAACCCGCAAGTACCGCAGAATATATTCCGCTCCTAGAGAGAGTGTTGGAATGAAAGGTTACTTACCACTCCAATCGTTCATGAGGACGAATCCAAAGATCCTATCATTGGCCTGTTGCGCCGTAACTCTTTCTCCCAGTGCAGTGGGCGGACCGCCTACGAAGCAACCCATTTCTAACTCGAAATCCATCAGACGGCAAGGACCGAAGAATGGGTCTGCACCTGGTGAGATAGTGAGAAATATACTCTTTGTCACCCAAGAATAATGTAGCTTTCCAATCCCTCGTTAACACCAAGGTATAATTCATATATTTAACAAATTTTAAACAATGTCCTAATTTTTTGTTCACTCTTATATACAAGAATAAAAAATGTAGTATACAATACTTGTATCAAACTTGTTGGATAAACAAAATATGTGAAGTAATAAGTGGATTTATACTTATTTGTTTCTTAGGTTTTCACGCACATCACTCATTAAATAAAACTAGTTTTTACGGGTTAATGCACGAAACTTTATTTATTTGGATTTATACTTGTCTATGAAGCAGTGTAAACGTAAGGATGTTTTAAACAGTCACAACAAGTACAGGTAGTCCTCGTACTTACGCCATGTTAGTTTCTCGAAATACGCGACGTAAATCGAAACGACGTAAGTCGAGACATATTTTTTCATATGTCTACATGTAAAACACAAGGGTTAGGATCCACACGGACTCAAAATGTCTTGTTTAGGTGGCATAGTTAGATTAAAATTAACTTAAATATGTATGTAAAAACAAAAACTGTCAGAGATGCAAAAAAACTAATGTATTACGTCTTGACTGTCCATCGTCCCGAAATTAACTAAAAAAAATCAGCAACATGTGCGGGGTAATTCCCGCTCGCCGACACCGCGCCCCGCCTGCCCCACGGACTTTGCTTTGACCTCGCGACAAGAGAATTTTCCTTTGCCAGAAATCGAAACAAATGACGTATGTTTGAGGAATAGTGTCAAAATATTGTTCGACGTAACTTGAAACAACGTAAGTCAAAACGACGTAAGTCGAGGACTGCCTGTTTTCTACAAGTTTTGTTTAAAACAAGTATATATGACTTTGTTTCTTGGAGGAAACGAGGGGTTATGGTGAAAGAAGTTTTGAACTCAGTCCAGTAGTTTTTGAGTTCATTCGTAACAAACATACGGGTGGAATTGCACAAAGCAACCCATCTCCAACTCAAAGTCCAACATACAGCAAAGACCGAGAGCCCCTACCCCTGATGAGAGAAATTGACTTATTGAAAGTTTTTTTCAATGGTCCAATACTTTTAACTTATTTAATAATAAAAACGTAATATGTAAATTGTGTATCCCATGCTACTCGTATCAGCCGGCCTAATCGCTAACTTATTTGACTTTTACAGTGTAAGTTACAGTTAACTAAAGAGAAATTTGCATATCCATTGATGCTTTTAGAACAAATTTCTAAGTGACGTTACAATAAAGTAGTAGTCGATCACAAAATAGCTCGGTGATTATCATTTCCATCTGTCAAAAGCAGTTAACACTACAGCAGGCCTACTGGACAAGACGGCTTATAGCTGTTAAGATGGATGGGCGCTAGAAACTCACAGAATTTCACAAAAGTAGCAACATTATAAAATCGGCTTCAGTGCCACCAATCCATTCAAATTATCATCAGCCTATATCCCCAAATCTGGGAGATTGGGCCATGACCCACCACGCGGGCCGAGTGCGGATTGGCAGGTGCTAACGACTGCAGATGCAGCCGGTACCGACGGCTTAACGTGCCTTCCGAAGTACGGCGGAACTCGATATAGAAGATTTTTGGTCACCCATCCAATGACTGACCACTGCGAAAGTTGCTTAACTTCAACGATCGCATCCGAACGCGCTATATAACCACCTGCGCCATCGAGCTTCTCTTACTATCTGATCCATTTGATTAAGTAAATTTATTATGTTTTAGATTATGGTAGTATGTTTGTAGTCTACAATTTTTTACCTACACCGTTAAGATGTACAAATTATTCAATTAATAGGATGTCTTCAATTAATTATCAGTGAATATATTAAAAAAGTTTTTTTTTTACTTTTCTCTGCCACAAAAAAAATAAAGTCGCTTTCTGAATATAATACTACACATGAATGAAGAATGAAGAAGATGAAAAGCAAAATATTGACTCCCTTACCTTCCACTGGTAGTGTTTGTCCGAAAGGTCGTCTGATGGGGGTGCCCGATATCACTATGGAACTGGACCTTCCGTGGTAGCCTACGGGAATGTACTTCCTGGAAATCAGGTTACAATAAATAAGTACTTAATTAAAATTTTAATAAAAACACGAAACAATTAAATTTCTGCAATTTGAGTTTTCATTATTTTCAGTCAACGGAACGAGTATCATATGTCATGCTCGTGAACGGAGCAACCGTTCACGCGTTGCCAATGGAGTTAGTTTAAAACAGTAGCGACATATCAATTTGATAGTAACATGATAATTGATTTAATATAGTTCTTTCGCGAGTTCTCCACAGCTAAAAGAAGTCCTGAAAAAAAAACAACGGATTGCACTCCGGGAGTGCCGGCAGAAGTGAAAACTTAATATTAACGTTGTACATGTTTGATATTTTGGAATGGTTAGGGAATAATTTTGCAAAATTGCTTTAATTATCAGTATAAAAGTACTATCATTTATGTGGTAGAATACAATATTTATTTATTGCGCTATCGTACACAAACATGACAATTTATATTACATTAAAAAAGTTTATCTCTGAGAAAAATCACGTTTAAGCGCACTTAGCGACATCTATTGCAAAGAAATCAACTTACATGAACCACATTTAAGCGCACCTAGCGACATCTATTGTAAAAAAATGCATTTTATTCGCAATAAAGCTGCCACGTGGACGTCCTAGATAGAGACTTATTACTATAATACGGTAAAATAAAATATTACTATGTTTCGTCCAATATATTGAAAGTCAACAACCTTTCCAATTTTATTGTGTGTCATGATGCGATCAGCCCACGTGTTTAACCTGACGCGTGTTTAACATTTTTTTACACATACAAAAAAAAAGTGTACAACGCCGCTAAAGAAGTTTTCATTTCAAAAATCGATCTATTCAAAAGAGTTAAATTATGCTTCCGTGCAATTTTTGCGTGAATATAGCATCTATTCCTGAATTCGCAGGCATCTATCCCTATCCCATTATTGGTGTGTTGATCGCATTTTTTTGCCCCGCCCACTTGCTCACGCGCGTAGTTCGTATTCCATATTCGGAGCTTCAAAATTAGGTCTTTAAATATGATAATAATAAAGACCAGTTTGGCATGAGAGCGCTCTACTTGCTTTTAAATATGATGCCTACATTGGTGGCGTGAAGTGTGTTGGTGGAATAGAAGTCCGTGTAGTCGCCGATCTCAGTCGACACGAGCCTCTGAGCCACGAAGCTTCTAAATTAGGTCTTATAATATGATAAAAATGACCAGTTTGCGGAACATGAGACGTGCATCTGAGCAATGGAGCTTCTGAACTGAATTTTGACGACCTGCGTGGCCGAGTGGTTTGTAAGCTGGGTTTCATGGTGTCGCTGACTCGAGCGGTCCCGAATCCCGGTGGGGGCAAATGTTTGTGTGATGAATTTGTACATGTAATGTAATGCATTTGTACTCCAGTCATGGATGTTTAATATGTATTTCTAAATAAATATACTTATACATGTACAGTATATGTATTCTATCCGTAACCCTAGTATTCCATAACACAAGCCTTACAGTACAGTGCTTACTTTGGGGCTAGACTAATTGGTGTGTGTTGGAAATATTTATTTATTATGTCTTATGTTGATAATAATAATGACCAGTTTGGCATGAGCGCGTTCTCCTTGCTGCGGAACATGATGCCCACGTTGGTGGCGTGGTGTATGGACGAGTAGAAGTCCGTGTAGTCGCCGATCTCCGCGGGGACGTGCATCTGAGCGTCGCTCTGTTTCACGAATGCCCTGCACACATTACAAGGTAAAAATGACTCTTATTACAAGGATATAAGGATTGTTTTTCCTTGACACAATAAGAAGAGAGATAAGAGTAAAAGCTTAAAACTTTATTACAATGAGATATGGCTCTTTAAACAAAACCCTTTTTAACGGGTTTTAAATGCAAATGATGATATGGAAAATGATGCAATAGATTTTAACTAGAAGTGAGATTTTTATTTTACACCATCGGCCTACTAGACTACATTTACACTTCACATCAGGTTGTGTGAAATATTAGACACACAGATTTGGTATATAACATTGAATGGGGCCCTTTAAATTTTAATTTTCTTTAATTTTTAATTCTTTTTATGTTACGATGGCAAGCGAAATATCATTTGAATATTTGGTGGAATCATTATTTTTGAGCTATTTTCCATTGTAGGTATGTGTGACTTGATTGACCGCTTTAGTTGCCCTATTTTTATAATTAAGATTTTCTTACAATAAAGCTAATACTGCACTGGCACACATTTTGGCACTTACTTCTCTCTGAGTGCGCTATCACTTTGTAATGTGGTGTTGGATTCATCTAGGAGACTCTGTATGGTGTTCCTTGCTTCGATCCAATGGGGTTTGGTGAGTCCCATAAAAGAGTTGAGTTTCTCCTCCTGGAAAACATTACGAATTCAATTTCATTTTCAATTGTAGCATGTTCAAAAACTTTAGCATGACAAACAATAAAATCAGTACCCTTAGTACCGAGTGCGAGCTCACGAAAACTATCATAGTTTTCGTAATTGTAAAACTCGTACTAAGGGTACTGAATTGTAATTAAGTATAGTCGTGGCTATATAATGGCATAGATTTGTCTTATCAGGTAAAGCTTTTATTACGAAACAATAATAAAACCGACTGTGTCGACTGTCATAGCTATACCACAAACAATGATACGTAATATATCTTTTACTTCATTAATACCTATAAAGAATAAGTTTGTACCAGTAAAACTATTGCGAAATACTGTGCAATATATATTTTAAATAAAAATTAACATACTGGAATTTGCTCGTAAACAAGTCATTAGCATACAAGATAACCAAGTTTCTTGTTTATACAAACCAGAAAGTTGGTAGGTACTAGATGGTACATGAAGTTAAAACGCTATTACTGCAACCTCCTTATTATTAAACAAGGAATAAGCTTAGACTAGTTACGCCGTGTTTTATTCATATCACTTTAAATGCCATTTGTCATTCAATAAACAGAGACAACTACACTACACTCTCACACATACTCAAACCACACTCAACAAATCATGCTCACACACTTCTCATGCAATAAATGTGGGGACTGCCTACTCACATATAGATGATTGTCTTGTTTTAAATTGTGCAATTAATATATATATATATATATTTCTTTTTCTTCTAAATATTTTTGTTAACTGGCTACAAAGGTTTTGGAGCGAAACAGACCCATCACAAGTATTTTGCAATTTCTTACTGGGACCGTTTCATCGATTTTTAATTGTATGCATTTATGTTAATAAAAATACTTTTTACTTACTTTACTTTACACATGGAGTAACTAATATAAGCGTACTCGTTATATTGTCATATTGAATTATATAAAAAAATAGTTACCTTAAAAACATTTTGTTTGTCTTTGAGTAGAGGTCCGTTGAACAAATGGGAAACCACATTCAGATCCAATATCCATTCTCCGATCGCCACACCTATGTGCTTATCGGTCTGAAAAATGCAATGGAGAAATGTTGTTTACCTACATTACGAACTAAAGTGCGAAGACCCTTTGATTCGATCACGTAACACTAAATAACAAGCGAGATTAGTAAAACTCATTGAAAAATATACCTTATTACGTACATGTTAGTAATTACATTGACTGTATTCGATTACAATGTACAAAATAGAGGTTAACTTACGTTTTTAGGCGAAGTGAAGACTCCGTAAGGCAGATTTTGTATCGGAAAGTCCGTATCCGCATTGTATGGTATGTAGGATTTCATGGTGGTGTCCTATCTTCACACACTTCACAACAAAAATGAGGTTACAACGACGCCGGCCGACTAGTTTAATATACTAACTAGTTGTATATGTAAATGTAGCCGGTTTGCCGCGCGCCTCCGCCGGTTGTCAAGCGACTAAATGCTCTAATGTCAAGGTCATAGAACAGACGGCTGTTATCAACTTATCAGTCGAATTATTTTTATTTGAATGCAGTTTAATGACTTCGACGAGATGCTTGAACGCTTACTTTGAGTTTGAGTAGGGGACAGTGATGCGTAAGGTTGATTTGCCTTGTTAGATCTGCGAGACCTGCTATAAATAAAGTCGGCAAGATTATTATATTTATGTTAATGCATAATTATGACGCAATGCATAATTTAAAATTTCCAGCAACGAGAAAACTAAATGGAATTTGATTTACGATTTGAAAGAAGATGAAATGACTTTACAAAAATATTTTTGTCTGGAACTTATAACTTAATAGAAGGAATGTTGCAACGCCCGTTTTATTGGTAGGTACGTTTTCTTAAAAACATGTTCTCATCATAAAAAATCCTAAAAAACAAAAGGAATAAGCCATTTGAATATTATGTTCTAAAATCAAATCAAATAGCTCGCGCTTCCCAAACTTCCTGTTACACACTTCCGTCCCACTTCACGTAATCACTCCCACAAATTGCACGAAAGCGAGAGGAAAGATGTTACACATCAAAAATATGTTAAATGAGATGTTACGAATGCGAGTTGAAGCATAAGTTAATGGAGTTATATCAATTTCCGTGTTAATAATGTAAGAAAAACAGTGAATGTCCCACTAGTTATTTTCTGCTACAGCTAGAACCTATTGAGCAACAGTCTGTTTGTATAAATGTCCTACCTAATAAGGGTTTATGTCAATATTACAGTCGCGTAATGGGCTAAGTCTAGACGTAGGAATACCACAGTAAAATATTATAATAATTTTCATCGAATAGTGTTGTTTAATTCATGTTCTGCATACCACCTACGAGCCGTATAAATACTAAGTACAGTAAAACCCGAATAAGCCGATTTCACAAGGACTCAACCAAAAATGCGTCTTAAGCGAGAAAGCGTATTAAGCGGGATGTAGGTATTGAGATATTAAATGTACAATATTTAAGAATTGTGTACGTTATATCAAATGTAGTGTAGTATTGTGACGTTTGTATTTAAAGTACAGGAGTCATTAGTAATTACAAGATTTTCAACATAATTTAACTTTTGCAGTGCATCTTCGCTTTGATTCAAAGAAGTTACATATTGTCTTAAATAATTAATTGCTGATAATGTCCGGGCGTGTAACAAAATCGTAGTTGACTCATCTTCTTTTGATCATTAAAACTTAGGGCCGCTTCTTGTGTGTTATTCACATTCTCATTGAATTATATGATGCAACAAGAGGTAATAATGTGTGGTACGTGTTGGCGATTTAGGCGTATTAAACGGGATGACGTATCGTATTAAGCGTTAAGAAATGTATGAAAATATGTCTCCAGTTGCAGGGGCTGACGCAAAATGGCGTATTATGCCAGAAATCGTATTAAGCGTGATCGTATTATACTGTATTGAGTGAATACTTAGAACTTAGAGTTAACAAAAAAACAAACAATTAACACATAAGTCTATATAATTATTTCATTTACTTTCACTAAGCACATAATTGTTAATCTACCGCTATTTACAACTGGAAGTTGACTTTAGAGAGGACGGTGTGGTGACGTAGGGTGCCCGCTGCCTCCTTGCTGAGCGCCGGCGCTTCTGGCGAGTCCACGACTGCCTGAAACAAGGCTGCGTTGTCGATCCAAATATTTCATCATTATCATCAGCTAATTAGTGTCCCCACTTCTGGGGCACAGTCCTTTCCTATGGATGGAATAGGGAGTTTGGGGCAAGACCCACCACGCGGGCCAGTTTGGATTGGTGGGTACTAACGACTGAAGATGCAGCTTGGACCAACGGGTTAGCGTTCTGAAGCACGATTAATTACTGAGAAAGTTGCTCAACTTCCACGAATGCAGCCCAACGCCGTAACCGCTTTCGCCACGCAGCTCCTCATTGCCCACCCTATAATTCGAGTGTTCGAAAATGACTACAGTATATAAATTAATTTCCACCTGGTCGGCTGTCCTTTGTAGGAAAAATGCATAGCTAACGCTAATGAAACATAAACAGCGGACTGGGATAGGAGAACGATTAGGAAATAATTGGGTAACGGAATGACTTTAGAGAGGACAGTGTGGTGAGGGAGGGCGCGGGCTTCCTCCTTGCTCAGCGCCGGCGCTGCTGGCGAGTCCGCGACTGCCTGAAACAGGGCTGCGCGTTGTCAGACCAAACATTTCATCATCAACATCAGCCAATAAATGCCACAGCGTATTTACTACACAATATAAGGATTACAGAAAAGTAGAAATTGTTCACAATAACCTATTTATAAAGTCCTTCTTGCAAAAGACGACACGCAAGGATGTTCGGTAAGTATCTACACTAGTAAATATCTAAAATTCCTGAATCTGACATCTGTCTTATCCAAATAGTAGTCATCCTATTAAAGTCTTCACTGCTGGGATACAAGCCTTCCCTATGGATGGAATAGGGAGATTGGGCCGTGGCCCAGTGCGGATTGGTGGGCGCAGATGCAGCCGGGACCAACGGCCTAACGTGCCTTCCGAAGCACGGCGGAGTAAAAGATAATAACTTTTTGGTCACTCATCCAATGAATGATCATTGAGTTAGTTGATTAACTTCCACGATCGAAGGCCGAAGGCGCTATCCACTTTCGCCATCGAGCTCCTCAAACTAATATCGAGGAGAAAATATTTACACCCAGTAAAAGAAAAAAATACCGAATAAACTGAAAGTGAACCGAATTGACAACCATCTTCTTTTTGAAGTCGGTTAAAAAGAAAATATTCATGTTATTTGATGTATTTGTTCTACACTAATTAATGTGAAGCAGCAATGAAACCATCGGATGTTTTTAAAATGTAATGCTGGCACTTCACTTGGCTATTCGTAAATTTTAAAATTCCTTATAAATCATGATAAAAATGGACTTCAAATAAAGTGATGATTTGTGATTAAAAAACTTTGTGAGCGTTGTTTGGGGAAGATTCGCTTATTTAAATGCCATAATTCGGGTTAATTTATTTATTAACATAGGAAATATCGGTACATCAAATTCTCATACCACATTCACGTTTCAAAATAAAATCATTCATTAATGTAAAAAAGAATATCATTAATAAACTCCAGTTAAGTGACATCGATAATTTAGACCCAAACTAAGTATCAACTACAGATACTAAATAAATAATTTAAATACTGAGACTAGGATATAAACGATATAGGTACTTCATTTATCACATTAATATTTTAAAAGCGATAGTTTGTGAGTGTGTATGTTTGTTACTTTTTCACGTCTAAACGGCTGGAGCTATTTTAATAAAATTTGGTGTGGTGTTACCTGACACCCTGGATTAACACATAGGCTACGTTTTACTGCGGGAAATATCGCTAATAAAACACCGCGGGGCAGAGCTAGTAATAAATAACTACACTAACCAGACTTAATTGAAAGGTGCCTTCCGCACCGGATCGACACGTGTTTGCTGCGTTTTCATTTCCGTACCCCTAGCACGAACCATTATCGAATTCGAATAGTTTGCGTGTCCGAAATGTCATTGTCAAATGTGTACTGATGTTTAGTTCTCGTTACGTACTTTGTGGCGCTGCTGTTCAATTTTCCATACAAAATTTGACATTGACATTTCGCACTCGCAAACTATTCGAATTCAGTACCCCTAGTACGAACCATATTCGAATTCGAATAGTTTGCAAACCGAAATGTCAATGTCAAATTTTGTATGGACACTTGAACAGCAGCGGCACAAAGTACGTAACAAGAACTAAAAATCAGTACACATTTGACAATGACATTTCGGACACGCAAACGTTACGATTTCGATATTGGTCCCGAATCTGTACAGATTCTATACCGAGAGCATGTAATTAAATGAGAACTTCCACATAGCAGTTTCGGTACACATTCTTTATCGAGTAAATGGACACCTTCCTGTACCCCTAGCACGAACCAATATCGAATTCGTATCGTTTGCGAGTCCGAAATGTCTTTGTCAAATGTGTACTGATTTTTAGTCCAATCGGCCATGCCACAGTGTTGCGCAGTTCCGTTTTGTTCGGAAAAAAAGGAGGACATAATAATTTTTGTTTGCTCTACTTTTAGGCGATTTGCAGACGGCTGGGCGGAGCGGCCCGCCGTGGATCATACAAACCAGTTTATATGCAGTAACGCAGACGGCGCGGCGGCGGCGCGGGGCGGCTAGCTCAGTCCGCGCCACGCGCTTTTTAGTGATGGACTATACACTAGAACGAACGTCCTGAACTGTCTGCCTCTGCCCGTCGTGTGCTTTGTGACGCGGCGAGGACAGCCGCAGACATCGACGGGCAGACGCGGTTTTTATTGATTCACGGACAAAAAGCCCGCCCCGCCCCGTCGCGTCGTCTGCAAAGCGCCTTAAAAAACTGTCATTCAATACAATACAAAAACTCTTTATTAAACATCACGAAAAACATTGAACATTAAGCACAAACACATTTAGGACAGGTGATGCAATAGGCGGCCTCATCGCTTAAAGCGATCTCTTCCAGGCAACCTTTGGATGGAGAGGATTAGAAGTGGGAGAGACGGCGGTGTAGATCGCTAGTATAATATAATCTGACATTCATTGCCATGTAAGTCATATTTGCCATAATTAAGCCGAGTCATTACCAAATATTCACAATGTTATTTTAATTAGAAATAAACCCGCGTAGTCAACCTACAAGCAATAACATTTGACATGTCGGAGACCTCACGCTAGACTAGCGCTTCTAGCGGCGGATACATACGCGATAGCCCTCATTGTTTGGGGCCGATGCTCGGCTCGGGCACGCCACGGTGAGTCATCCTTAAGTGTAAGTGGAGTCAAGTGATATTAAGATAGTTGTTACAGCGGGTAAAATACTGGTCTAACCACCACCTGGGACTTTTATATCTTAAATACTAAAGAAAAATAAAAAGGTTCTAGACCTTAACTTTCATATTAAGCGTCTTTTATCGTACGCGGAAGCGAACTCTGTCCGACATTTTCCTTCCTATTTCCTACCACCCGGTAGGAAAACATATTGGACAACTCAAAAGAGCTCTCAACAAGTCAATTTGAATAAAGTATCATTTCATTTCAATAATGCTACAATGTATACAAAACAACAGCTATACAAATATTGACAACCATAATGATAAAAATTTAATTACTTAATATGTTCCAGTAAGTATTGTATTCTCAATTCTTTGACAATTTCCTTAGAAATAGGCACTTTGTTTGCTTATTAGTTATGTTCCAGTCCTTTAGTTTGGATTTAAATACGTATACATACATAAATTCTGTATGATATAAATTAAAATTAAGGGGCGGATTCACATTTAATTAACGTTAGAACGACAAATAACATAGTTTAACGCACTCTTGTGTAGGAATATTTTAAACACTTTTGTAATTTACAATACAACCATAGTTTATTGTATATGCAGGATGGACGACTTATGATTGTATATTTTCCAACGTTTAAGTATTTGTCCTCTTTTTTGAATAAATGATCAAAAAGATAAAAAGAAGATAAATAACATAGAATAGCTGCAGATTATATTGCTTAAATTGTAACATTGACAATAGAGTATTTGACAATATGAAAAATTAAGTACCAATTATTGGCAACTGTTCAGTAATTTTAATCATGTTGTGTACACATTCAAAGGAGTACTATAAAACTGTATTCTGCTAGTGTGCCTATAGTAAATAAATCTGTATTTAATATGAATATTAGCAGAGATTTTATCTATTCTTTCTTACATTTAAATAAAATGTTTTTTTTTTAAATTCATTTAAATAAAAAGATTTTTTTTCTATGGTCACGTAACCGAAAACGTCTGGTATTGCGAGACAAAAATGACGTCGCAGCTTCCGGTCAAAGTGACATTACTTGTATCGTTTGACGTTTTAATGACAGTCGTTTGACGTCAAATACCAGTGGCACGCAACGTAAGACTTGGCAGTATGGCTTAGTACCTTCGCCTGTCCCAATGGACGAAAATAAACAACCAGTGGCACGCCATACTGTCCAGAGTTATTTAATTTTTGAATTAGTTTTTTTACTGAAATATACAACAGAATCAGAATATTTAATTTTTGAATTAGTTTTTTTACTGAAATATACAACAGATTGATGAATCCACATTTTTTTTTTTGGATCAGTGGTTTTTTTAGACATTGTCAAATAATACGCTATTATAATACTTATTCAATATGGACAAAACATCACTACAACACAATACCACTACATAAAAACTGGCTAAATTAAAGAATAAAAATATACACCAAATATTATCAATGCTAAATGCTACGCAATACACAAGTAATGTTTATATTATAAGGAAATACTTTCTATTTGGCAACTGTAGCTTCAATGGACTCTCTTCCATTGTAGGTATATTATTTTCGAGAAGTGCTGTGCAAATGAAGCCAACAAGTACATTTAAAGATATGTTTAGAGAGGACGCACATCCACCAACATTTACACAAATATTTTCTAGAATACAAATACAGTATGAAGTAAATGCAAAATCTTCTCTGGTTATGTGATTTGTGTACTTTAAGTCAAATCAATGCTATAAAGCCTGTGTAACAACACCTGCTCTTGTTATTCAACCAATAAATCAAAATACCTTAATACCATTGTAATCTCTACATAGTCAAGTACTGGAGTATGCGAAATTGGACAGCTTTTCTGTAGAATGAACTAACATTTTTAATGAGATTTTCTGAGCTACATATCAAATAACAATAAAAACAATCCCAAATACTTATAGATGCTGCAATATTTTGTGATTACCAATTTATTATGACTTCCTAATCCAATAATCGACAAATTTTGAATTGAAAATTAAATAATATATTTTGATTGCATGTAATAATGTAACAAGTCCAATTCCACATATTAAACTAACTACAGTACGAAAATAAGAAATTCTTATCTACACAAGGTGGCATCGATCTGCTGCAGCCACGGTAGTGTGAGTTTCAGTTTCCGTCGGTACGCTGGGTCTGAAGCCAACGGGTTCCGCTCTAAGTATATAGTCGCTAGTTTCTTGTTCTCCTGTAGATAGTCTATTGAAGACCAATCCGCTATCTGGTTGTCATTCAACTGCAATCAATTAATATGGTTATTGATGAAATAGAAATAAATGGTCAATATAGAATTTTTAAATTCTATTGACAAATATCTATTATTATATCTTAGAGACATGTTCTAATGTGAATACATCTAAAATTATATCAATATCAACCAGTGTTAAGTTCGTTTCTTTTAAAAATGCATTAAATAAGGCTCATATTTTATATAACATGAAAAAGAAATTGTTAATGATCCTCAAAAAAAAAACAATATAACTATTTATTTGCAGGTGATTTTTTCTAAATCATTAATTTTTATTTGGTGTGTTAATTTACCAACTTTGATTTTATTTACTCACCCATAATTCTTCCAAAGTACTTATATGCCTCACATTTTCTATAACTGTGATTCTGTTCTTTGCCATATCCAGGGTTTGTAGTTTGCCCTGGCTTCCCAAGTTTTCTATAGTTGTAATACCATTTTCTGATAAATACAATTGTTCCAAGTTAGTCAGTTGTTCCAAATTTTCAATCTTACTGAGGCGATTGCTTTGTAGAACAAGAATTTCAAGGTTGGTAAGATCATCTACATTTTGTATTTGGGATATTTTGTTTTTGCCTAAATACAGCTGCTTGAGGGTTGAAAGACCCTCAAGATTCTTAATTTCCTGAAAGAAAATACATATTAAATGTAATATAATAATAATGACATGGTAATGACCCTATACACACAATGTCTGCAATGTTTACAATGTCATTGTATTATTGCAATATGAACTGCAAAGTGCAACTTTCTTTATAAATATACATAGATTTGACAACAGTGTATTCTTATCATTAAACAGAGTGAAAAGAGATACTGATGTTAAATTTAGGTTTAAGTTTAGAGAATCATGCCAGAATTAACACCAGTGAAAATGTATTTTTCATTTTACTTTATACAGAACTTTTTATTGATTTTTCTGCTATATTATTTTTTAGTAATATATGGCTGTTGATTTTCCATGAAATAAATTAATAGAGAATAAAGTTGTTGTATTATTTTACACAGCAATTAGAGACAGTTACCAACTCTCTTTCTAGAATTTATCATTGCGATAATAAAACAGTGACTCTGATTATGTATAAATTTTATTCAGTGTATCTTTTTGTGTAAGAAGAGTTTGTTACTGACTCACCCTCAATCTATTATCACCCAACTCCAGTAGCTCTAGCTTGGGCAAGTGGTTGATGTTTTTTATCTCAGCAATTTTATTAGAACTAAGGAACAACTTCTTGAGATTTAGCAGGTTCTCCAGTCCTGTGATCTCTTTAATTCTGTTAAAAGATAAGTCCAGAGTCCTAGAAGTATAATAGTAATAGTCCTTATTAGATTAATACAATTTGTTTATACCATGATAAAAACCAAACTATGTAATTTATGTATATATGATTGGTTATAGAAACTTACTGAAGATTGACAAGATTGTTCAAGTTTTCAATAACAACAATTTGGTTGTCATATAACTCCAATTCGACAAGAGTGCTTAATGTATCAAGGCCTTCAATTTTTTTTATAAGATTCCATCTCAAGTACAACCTGCCAAATAGACATTTTAAATATTGAAAAACACAAAAGTTTATAGAACTGCACCATACCAAACAACCATTTACATGAGCAAAGTTTGTTTAAACAAAAACAATTTACGTTATTACTTCAACTTCTGGAACACATCTATCAGCCCACTTAGTGTTATAAGCTTCAATGGTCTGTAGCAAAAATATAAATAAGTTAGGTTGGGCAACAATAATGTAGTTTTAATAAAACACAAATAGACCCTCAGTAAATGAGCTTCAAAATTATGTAAAAATTTTTGCTCAATGTAACATCAATTAATAGCTTAGTACCATACTGTTGATTAGATGTGTCCCAGAGTACCTATATACTATCTATATAACTCTTAGTCGAATAAGATCAAAACATAGTGACACAATACTTAATGCTATCAGCACATTGAAGATATCAGATAAAAACATGGCATTGCTTCTCTAGATATCTCTTAAATTTCACAGAATGACATCAGCTTATTGACATTATCATTTATTTGATGCTAATAATGTTTGAATGTCACTTCTATAGCTAAAACTGTTGATGTGCAAAATACATGTTTCTTTAATCAATGCTAATAGAAACTAAAATAAACTAGACTAAACTAACAATTATTAGTGAGATTACATATAAAATATAGTAGTATAATTAACACAAAAGAAAGTAATTTATTCATACTTAAAAAAATGTCATTACTTCAAGATTAAAAGCACAATGCATGATCAAATTAAGATAAAAATCCCGAGCGAATGCGTGACTCATGTGCTTATTCTAGTTAATCTTTACATATAAAAATTAGTACCTTTCCAATTTCCTTAGTGGTTCTAAGTTTTCGATCTTTCCGATTCTGCCATGGTTCAAGTCCAATTCCTCAGTGTTCTCGTTAACAACGATCAGTTCTTGCGTGTCCTCAGCGACTGAGGGTGGGGTTGCAGCCGGCGGGGGAGAAACTTCCCTGTTCCCTGTTTTATTAGCTGGTCCGTCACCTTTCGGTACTTCGTCCGCTTCATTGTTAGCCATAGGTATATCCTGGTTATCTAGAAAACGCAATAAGAATTAACGAGCTTCATGTGAATACTTACATGTTCGATAGTAATACAAACAGGATAATTTTAGACATACCGTTACCCGCCATTCTTGAACTGAAAACTGAGTAAATAATCAACGGTACACAGTGAAAGTTTAAGTGCTAAAATGGTTGAATTCTTTACAAAATTCAGAAATAACAGATATAAATTTATACCACAATTCCGCAAGAGTTTTGGCCACCAGCAAAGATTACTAAGACAGTGGAAATTACTGATCGTTTGTCACTGTCAAAACTGTCAATATCAATCATGCGGGATTTACACTACCCAATGTTTAGGGCCCCGGTGAGTTAGGGACTGACGGACCCGATCTGGCATAGGGTACACCGTGATCAATAAGGCGGTTCCACCAGGGCGAGGCTCCTCCATTGCACTGCGGTGGGGTTGACCCCTGCGATTATCCGTGGATAACTTGGATGCGTTATTTTTGGTAGGTGGGACTGCGTACGTGCTGCTTTTTTATTGTAATGGAAGAATTACTAATGTATGCCAAGGAAATCAATAAATGACAATGGTGCCAATTCTGGCGTGATTCTCTAAACTTAAATCTAAATTTAACATCAGTCTCTCCTTTTCATGCTTTATAGAGAATAACAAGGATACACTGGTGCCAATTCTGGCGTGATTCTCTAAACTTAAAACTAAATTTAACATCAGTCTCTCCTTTTCATTCTGTATAGAGAATGACAAGGATATACTGCTGTCAAATTTAAGTTTAGATTTAGAGAATCATGCTAGAATCGACACCATTGTTGTCAAATTTAAGTTTAGGTTTAGAGAATCATGTCAGAATTGATACCATTGTGAATCATCTAAAATCAGTATGATGCGGACTGTTTAGCAAACATAATTATTATGTGTGGTGACAGTTCTAAATTAAAAGCAAGGGATATGTATAGAAATATAGAGATGCTACATATCTATCAGTCTAGATGCAAATGAATTATAATAAGCGCTTTCCCATATGCAGAAAATTTAACTAGGGAACAAAAGAAGCCCATCGTTAGTTTGAATTGAATTATTTATAAGTTATTAAATAGTCGTAGTGACATTTTTTTAATATTTGATATAAATAAATACATCAGTAAATTTAAGTTGCCCACAAATACTATGTACCTTGCAAAAAATATATGACTCAGATAGCTACTTTGTTAGCTTTTAGTATACAAAACTCAGTTATACAAGTGATTGTGTTAGAATTGTTGTTGTGTTCTAGTGTCTGTTGGAATGTTTCCCAACACTAAATATTGTGTACAGCACTAGTTGACTCGCAGCGCCTTTCGCTGACTCTCTCTCTCCATTACTGGCCATCGTACCATACGGACGTAAACTTGTTCTCTTATTGGTCTGTGCGGACGTGCTTCCAAATATATATATTTACACCACATAAGAGTAAGTTCTAACCAGATTATAAGTGTTTCAGTGTCAGTGCTTACAGTGTATTTATCTGTGTCTGTATGTGCCTAAATATACCTTCACCGACGAACCGGTGTTTGTGTTATCAATAAACCAACCTATCTACAGTCCGCTAAAAATCGAACAGTGTCAGCACTGATACAAATATTAATTTACAAAATAGGATGACAAACTGAATTTTAAAAATAATAATAATATTTATAAGAATATTCAAGGTTTGGCTGGCAAGGATTTAAAATTAGAATTGTTTTCAAAGAGCCAGGATATTCATGTAATCTGTTTATCTGAACTCTAGCCTATGTCATCTGAGGTGTGTTTTAACATAAACAATTTTCAAATCAGAGTGCATATTCGTACTGCAACATACAGCCATGGCGGGACATTAATTTTTGTAAATATAAATTTAAAGATTAAGGACATAGTTGGCCACTCAGTAGAATGTAACGTAATGAATTTATTGTAGAATGTGTATACCGACCCCCTCTAGGCAACTTAGGGTTTGAGCTTGATTTAACAGTGATGGAGAATGTACTTCAAAACTTAAAGTCAAAAAATTAGTATTTGGTTATAGTTGGTGACTTCAATAGTAACATCATTTAAAATAATACAATGTTAATTCGCCTCATATCACTGTTCAAATGTTTTAATTTGGTACATCAATTTTTTGAGCCTTCTAGAATAACATCTCATTCAGCCACTTGTTTGGATAATATATTTACTAATTATTATCCAATTACTAAATCAATTATTAAATGACACTACTAAGCCCAAACTCATTAAATGCTGGCCAGTAACGAATAAACATATAGATATTTTTTAAAACAATTTTGATGATAAAATGTTTCAAATGCCATGGACACACGAGGACCCTAATATTCTTTACGGCAATTTGTTCCATTTAATTAAGAAATAATTTATTAAGGCTTTTCCGCTTAAAACTTTGAAATTAACTCAAAAGTTGAGCTTTTGTGACTGGGCTACGTCTGGTATTTATAAGAGTAGACATAAACTTTATGTATTCGTTTATCAGGTAGATTATCAAAAAGTATTGGACAAGTATTTTTCTTTTTTCACATAATATAAACATTGTAGAGATATACTGATTTCAAAAGTCGCATGACGTCACGTTTTGGTACAATTTTCACTTAAAGGTGACGTCACGAGCCCCTACTCCCAAACTTTGACGCGCTATAACTTTGTCATTTTTTGGTTTATTGCCCAAAGAAGAAATACGTGCCGATTATTTTTTGATCATCTAACTGACGGACTAAATAGAATTCGTTTACTGCAAATACAAGCACTCTCAAGGATCATTGATAATGTTAAAAGGTACTCAAAACATTCAGCAGGGTATGTGCAACAGCCAAATTCCATAAAAAATAAAATCATTAAATCTAATAATAAAATTAAAATGACATGGTATGTTATTAATAGAGAAACTGGTAAAGAAAGAACCCTCGAAGATTGGATCACACTTAAAGTACATAATATTTCATTTAAATTAAAAGAACAGATTGCTAATACATTTAATGAAAATTTCGTTTATATACCATTAATTAATTACTACTTCTAATTTGATATCGACGTCAGCGGGTGCTCGGAGTTTGCTATAGACGTGGGTGCCTAGGTGTAATAATCTGTTTACGTTTAAACCAAATGGTTTTATGGATATTATAAAATGATTTCATTCACTTATAAAGAGAAATAGATGTGATTTATTTGGAATGTCTATTAAAATTGTTAAAAGCATAATAACAATTATTATCGCTCCATATCTTGCAGATATATTCAATATTATTGTATTGATCAAGGTGACTCGATTTTCCAGACCTTATGAAATAAAATAATGATCTCCATCTTTTAAAAAACGGCAATAGAGATGATCCCGGTAATAACAGACCTATAACAAATAAAAAATAGTTTTAGATCAATTTTTATCGCATGTCAATTTGAACAAACTTTTACATAATAATCAATTTGGCTTTACTAAAGGTAGATCAACAACGGATGCGGGTATTGCACTTATTAGTCATATAATGGAAGCCTGGGAGAAGTCGCAGAATGTTCTTGGAGTATTCTGTGACTTATCCAAAGCTTTTGGCTGCGTTGAGCACCACACGTTTGTGTTAAAATGAAATCACCGTGGAATCAAAGGCGCAGCCCAAAAATTGCTACTATCGTATCTCAGTTCCAGAGTTCAAACTGTAGATGTAAATATTAAGGATATGTTAAGTCATCTGGATGTGCAAATGGGCGTTCCCAGGGATCGATTTTAGGTCTGTTTCTATTTTTATTGTACATAAATGATTCGCCATGTTTGTGGAAAATTTGGGTGAGATTGTATTCTTTGCTGATGATACCTCTTTATTATTTATGTTGACCGATACTAGAATAACTTTAACGATGTAAACAATGTTTTCTCACAAGTATTGCACTGATTTAATGTAAATAACTTAAAATTAAATGCAAGTAAAAACAAATGCATTAAATTCATTTTACCTAATATTAGAAACGAAACCGTTATAATTAAATTAAACAAAGAAAACCTAGATTTAGTTGAATCAACGATATTCTGAGGTATAATCATAGACTCGAAATTGCAATGGTATTCTCATATTTCTTTACTAGCTAGTAAACTTAGCTCCGCAGTCTATGCTATAGGTAAAATAAGACAACTTACTGATGTAGCTACTGCTAGAACTGTATAGTTTAGTTACTATCATAGTATTGTATCCTATGGTATTATTCTCTAGGGAAGAGCAGCCGATATTTAAACATATTTATCTTGCAAAAAAGAGCTATAAGGGTTATTAACAACTAAGTTCTAGTAAACCCATTAGAGAAAAAATTTAAGAAATCTGCATTTTGACTGTTGCTTCACAATTCATTTATAATTGTATACTTTTTGTTCGAACCAATATTTACTATTATCTTAAACAAAATGACATACATTCTTTTAATACAAGCAATAAAAATAAACTTTAGATAAAACTATACTCAACTATACTCTTGTACCAACTTACAGATGACAGAAGGTTCATGGATCATTTATGGGTTAAGGTGTACATTTCTATAATAAGATTCCTAATTATATTATTGCTCTGCCTCTTTATAAATTTTAAATACACATTAAGAATTACTAACTAAAGAAAGGATATTATGAATGATAAAACGGCCTCGTTTTTATTTACCCGTAGATAATTATTCAAAAGTTATTTTAAAATTGGGGGCCCTAAAAAGAATTTTGAAGAGAACCTTACACTTAGTCTCTTTCATATATTTGCTCAAATTGTTTTGAAAATAGTTACTTGCTATTTTGGGACTATTCTTTACACTTATTGTTAGTAAATTCGTTGATTGTTACTTATTTGTAATTATGTGATGGAAGTTGACAACAAAACATGTTTGCAAGTTTGATATCAGCCGTCAATTTGACGACACTATTTGAATTAATTCATCATAAGGTAGCTAAATTATTTATTATTACATTTTTCTTTATTTAAATACATTTTATCCGAGTGACATAGGCTATATTTTATCCCGATAAAATAAATTTCGCCCGTACAATGCGGGGGTGGATCACGCAAAAGTGAGTTTGTTTGTTGCGCTTCCATGCACTAATAGCTAAATCGATTATAATGAATTCACCTATAGAAGTAGATGGGAACTTGGTTCTTAGCTACAACATCGTAATACTTATAGGCGTAGGGTGTTTTACCTAAAAAACTTTATATTATTTACTTTGAATTTTGCAGAATTATCGTTTATAATTACAAAACCAATATTATCGCGAGCTGAGTAATAAATACAGGGATTCCAATAAGTATATACCTACTAGTGAAAAAAGGGTTATTTGTCATTATACTAAGTAACCCTTTATTTGTAACATTAAGTAACATCGTTAGAAAAACAGTATAATTCTGAGG